CTATGAATGATGATATTTCCGTTTTCTTCCCCTCCGTCTTTTTGGTGAAATGGCAAGCTGACAACACTTCTGTAGCCACAGTCAAAATTCATCTTGTTGTTCCTGTAGTGATTTTGATTGATGGAGGATGTTGGTACACTCATCTCCCCCACTTTGATGCTGGATACCCTCCTTAAAACAAGTTTCTATGCAAGTTCAATTCATGTGGCTAGACCATGATGTTCACATTTTTCCCCACCTGCCAGGTGAGGGTTGTTAGATTTTATCTAAGTTGCCTTCTCCTCCTCCTGCCTGCCTCCTCCTCTCCTCCTCTCCTCCTCCTCTCGTCGTCCTCCTCTCGTTGTCCTCCTCCTCTCGTTGTCCTCCTCGTCTCGTTGTCCTCCTCGTCCTCCTGCTCAACTGCGACTCGCGATCCACAGTGTTCGCTGCCGGACCTCAACCACGACCATCCACGCCCAGTGTTCCCTGCCGGACCTCAACCACGACCATCCACGCCCAGTGTTCCCTGCCGGACCTCAACCACGACCATCCACGCCCAGTGTTCCCTGCCGGACCTCAACCGCGAGTATCCACGCCAAAAGATATGCCACATAGAGTGCCAGAAGATATGCCAGATAGAATGTTAGAAGATATGCCAGATAGAATGCCAGAAGGTATGCCAGATAGAATGCCAGATAGAATGTCAGCTAGAATGCCAGAAGATATGCCAGATAAAGTGCCAGAATGTTTGCCAGATAGAATGCCAGCAGATTTGCCAGATAATATGCCAGAAGATATGCTAGATAGAATGCCAGATGGAATGCCAGAAGATTTGCCAGATAATATGCCCGAAGATATGCCAGATAGAATGCCAGATGGAATGCCAGAAGATATGCCAGAACATATGCCAGAAGATATGCCAGAAGATATGCCAGAACATCTGCCAGAAGATATGCCAGAACATCTGCCAGAAGATATGCCAGGTAGAATGCCAGAAGATATGCCAGATAGAATGCCAGATCGAATGCCAGAAAATATGTCAGATAGAATGCCAGAAGATTTGCCAGTAACAAAATGTATAAATGTCATGGTGGGGATCACACGAAGTAAAGTAATTTTGTGGGGAGTCCACAGCACACGTCGCTTAGTTTGTTTGGGGGATGCTATAGTAAAGATTTCAGGGTTTTTAGCCTCTGGTAGTCTAACATATCTGTCAAATATGGAAAAAAAGGTACGTACATCCCCAGGTTTTAGTAGATAAATCATCTATAAATCAACTAGAATTAAATGGGTCCATAGCTATCTTCGTTTTTTTTTTTGAGGCTATCCCACTGCACCCAGGGTCTCGGAGTCTCGCAGCGTTTCTCTCCTCAGGTCCTGGGACTTGTGTGTCACTGGCTGGCGTGCCTGTGGGCCCTCACCCTCCAGCTGTCGGACGATCAGCGACCTGGTTTCGGTCGTGTTTTGTTTTTTTTCGCAAACGTCCATGGTAGATCCAGGAGTTGCAACAAAGTTTGTTTTTTAATGTTTTTTTTTGGATGTGCCGGGGGGGTTCAACATGTTTCAAAGTGATGTTTTACATGTTTTGTTTTCCTGTCAGTCCTTGCCGATGATGATTCACCAACAAAAATTGAAAAAACAAAGCCATTTTGAAGGGAGATGCATGTTTCAAGCCCGTTCCAGCTTAATTAGTCTTCTGGAAGCCTTCCACTCTAGGTGAGCAAACTTTTAATTGGATGTACGTGGGGAGGAAACAACCGCTATGCATCGATTAAAAAACAAATATGTAAAAAAAAAACAATTTACAGTTTCTTGGCAATCCCTGGCACACACAACTTTTTTTGGAGAGACAGGTCTGACAGTTCCTTCCCTTTGAATAGAAAAGTATGCCATTCCCAGTTGGGTTATATATATATATGCGCGCTTGCGTGCACGTGCCGAAACGGATGTGTCACAGCATTCTATTTCTACCAGCCTTGCTGGTATCGATTTCTTCAATCTTGGGTCCCATTCCTCGGTGTTGCTATCATTATCCTCATTATCCAGGATGGGTTGGTTAATGATGGGTTAGTATCCCTTTTGATCCTTAGATCCTTGGGTTCCTTGAATCCACATCGTGACTGACAGAATGGCTTGTACATTGTGATCATACATCATAGGGTAATAGCCATCATCTCAATATCTCACTAGGTTGTTTGATCCAGGATATCCAGGCAATGCCTGCATTGGGAAATTGTTAGATCTATTCGCTTGATAAGAAACTGAATCTTGACATTCATGTCGTCATCTGAGGTCCCCCAAGTGGATCGATGGTATCAGAGATTCGGACCAAGTGAATCAGAATCAGATGCTTGCCTCAAGTTAGAAACTCATGGTTTCTTCGGCCAAATTCTTGAGTACCCTGAAAATCCCTGAAATGGGAACCATAGATACTTCAACCTCTACTCGGATATGTTTTTGACCCCTTCTAGTCTATTATTGATGAAAGTACTGTAAGTAACCTTGAAGTATGTTGTAGCATTGTGGTGCTGCCAATAGGTTTATAGCCTGTGAGTGACGGTCGCGTTCCAGGCGTAATCTCAGTCTCAATAGAAGCAAACTGGAATAACGCAGAAATTTCCGATGATTTGGGGTTACAGGGACAAAATTTAGCTGACTGACCCGTTTTTTTTCATTGCAGTAAAGCAGAGCCCTTGGCCATTTGGTGGGGGGATGCTCTTTCCCGGTGCCAAGATTCCTGCAGGATTTCGAATGTCTACATCTATTTGTCTGCGCACTTTGGCAGATCTTCGGTGACCAGTTGACGAGCAGTTTGGGTCTTCTACTGCCCCACATAATGGGGATTATCATTATGCATCAGCCAGGCATCCCTATTAAACAACCGCTCCACCGACTCCACCGGTGTATTTGTTTAAAACTTAAAAACCTTGTTCTTGTGATTGCTTCTTGTGAGGATTGTGAGGAAGGGCGAAGAACTCCCCACAATGTGAAGAATCATGACTCATTAGGTCCCAGAAAACCCGGTAAGGGCAGACTCGAGCTGTGATTGGATTGGAGACTCCTCTGGAACCCGTTGCACCACCTCCAGGTGTTTCATTTTTGGATCATGGAACTCTGCCATTTTGGGAAGTTTACACGCCAGAACTCTGCCATCATGGTCACTCATATACTATATATATGTACGTGCGCAGACATGTATGTAATTGAAATTATACTATATATATATATTCATTTAAAAACATGTGTGTACCACAGAGGTAAATTATATATATAGGTATAGATATATAGAAATTGTCATGCGTTATACCATCGATACCGTGATGTATACATATCTTGGTCATATCTTGTGTCCCCTTAGTCCCCGGCATTTGTTGGTGCCTAGGTTTTACTTCTGCAGCTACACGATGACCTCAGTGGGATATGGTGATCTGGGGCCCAAGAACATGACGGAACGCACGGTGTGCACCATGATGATCTTGACTGCTGGCTTGTGTTGGGCGTACGTTCTCGGCTACTGGACCCGATGGGGGCTGTGTCACCGGATAGACATGGATAGACCGGATCCAACTTAGCCTAGGTTGCAAAGAGCATTGAGACGTATTTAGACGTGTTATGGGAATTTTGGAGCCCAAATTCTGCACATATATCATATTCACAAAGTCTGGTGGTTATTTTTATTATTTTATATTTTTTATTGATCAACAAATTGTTGATTTCTTTGTGCTCCCCTTGCTATGAGGTGAGGTCTGTGGCATTGTCACCGAGATGAGCATCGACAGCCAGAGGTTCCGCAAACGAGACTCGGTCAAGTTTTGCCGGGGACACTGTGAACTCGGCAAAATCAGGGGGTTTTGATCCACTAATATTTAATAGATATACCTATTACATCCTTGTGAGAACAATCAATACACAGCTCTTTTTTCCGACCTGGCACGGCGCACGTTAAGACGAAGTTGTTCGATGTTGTTAGACTAATTAAGTTGCAGTCAGGAGCGTTGGCAACGGGCATGATTTGGATGGCTCACCGCAGAAAACTAAATACCTCCTTCATCCCACTTCGAAATCCTGTTTAATAGTGCATCTATGCAATTTGGGATATTTTGGGGTCCCATATTTTGAGAATAAATGTATGATGATTGTAATATTGTTTAGCTTAGTAACAATATGTAACAATATTTAATAGTAAGAATAGTAGTGATATACACATGGCAATCTTCGGGAGATGAGATCATGCTCACCCTGAGGCATGCACCAGCTGAATGCCATGATGGACCACCAAGATTTGCCAAAGGCTTTACGCTTGAGACTTCGGAGTTTTTTCCTGCAGAACCGCTACCAGGCCTTTTATTTGACGCAGCAAGAGCTCCTGAAGGACAGCCCGGCATTTGGCTGTTAGTGGCCTGGCTCTGTTTTGTTGCATCATGATATATCATGATATTTTTTGGAGGCTGCTGGAGGTAGATAAAAACCAGGAATCGACATCAATCAACATCACTGGAAATCCACCACTTCCCAGAAATCCAGAATTCAACTAAAGTTTGGACGTGCCACATGGTTTGGATCATTTCGGATTTTCGCAGGAGATGAGCCCTCAATTGCAATCCGAGGCCTGGCTCATCGAATTTCCGGTGGATCTGGGGAACAGATTTCGTAGGTCAGTAGCTAAGACCTTTTGGCATTTTTTGGCCACATAGGCTGTTGTAGTTTCTGGTCTTTTAGACGATTTTTTGTGGCATGGTCAAAGGCCCATGCCAAGAATTCCTTGAGAGGGAGTTTGTTGAATGTGGGTTCAAAAGTTCCCCACTCTTCCGGCGCTTCTATCAGGGTAAGGCTTAGTTGACCCCAATAATGAGTGACTTAAAAAGAATCGTTCCATTTGAAAATTGCAGATCTAGAACCCCGCCATCGCACCATTGTGCCAGGTGTGCACAGCTTTGCACCTGCCTTGGATCGAAAAGGCCATTTGATGCTGTTTTGTTTGAACTGTAAGGGGCACAGTGTCCATGACTTCTACAGAAATACAGAAGATAATTTTATGAGTCATCAGTTCGAGTCTCAAAAGCTGAATTATTTGGCAGAAACTAGATGCAAAAACAACATTATGCACATCATGGCAAGTCTGGCAGGCTGATTCCAGTGTTTTCATGTGTTTTCATACATTATATATACTGTATACTCCCCATACTTTCCAAGCTTCATCAATCAAAAGCATCATCCCATCTTGGCCAGGTGAGCTTTCTGCAGCAGTTCATGAAGTTGATACGATTCCAAGAGGCTCATCTCATGTGAAGATGTGTCGGGCCCTACTCGGATCAACTCGGGTTGAACCTTTGGGATGTATCGAAAATATGGAAGGCAGTTCATCCATTATAGATGCAATACGCGTATGTGATCTTATGTGTATGATATACAGTAGCTATTTTTTTTGTCAAGGTCTAAGGTGTTGCCAGTTGCATCCACTTTTTCTCTCACGCCGGACTGGAATATTACAATTCCTATGTTTTTAAATCATAGTGTTTCCGTTAGAGTTTGGTCTCAAAGTACCACAAAATGGACATCATGGCCATGTTATAGTTGGGAAATGTTGAAAAGTATGGGATTTAGGGGTTCCAAAATTTGCCACCCACAGCCCATTTGTTTGGCTTAGGAAGGCAAAGGGGTCCACATCGGGCCTTACCACGCCTGCATTGCCGACATCTCCCGCGAGCTGAAAAGTGTGGCCTATGCACAGCAAGAAAGCTTCGAAAACGTCCAGGCCCGGTTGCGAGATGAGACGGGCAGATGGGGGGATTCATGGGGATTCAGCATATATTTTCTCCAGTAAACACAGAAAAAGTTAGGGAAATCCATGGGCTTTCCATTAATGATCAAGAACTGGTGGTGTTTTCCATAGTGAATTAATTATAGTAGTTTGCTGATGGTTGGCTGGAGGGTATATAAATTCATGCTACCTTCTGGTAATCACGCATGGCACTGGACAATCACCCATTTAGTTCGATGATTTTCCGAATCACACTTCCATTCACCATCTCGGCATGTTTGTTTGCCGGAGGTTAAGAATTGCTAAGTCATGAGGGGAAGATAGGATCGGAGACAAAACCGGGGAACTATGGGATTGAGGACAGAAGGGATCCGGAGGTCTTCTGCAAGTGCGGAGAAAAGTAAAGGCAGTTGAGAGATGTTTTGATACATTCTCGTTTCGAATTGGATTTCATTGGACACACTACCCCTTTGGCACCTTTGAACATAGCTATGTTGAGCACCACCAAATGGGCGATCCGATCTAACCACCGCAGCCAGGTGCTCTTCATCCTTTCGAAAGGACGGGTTCCATGGACTCCCCCTGATGTGGTAAACGACCGTAAACCATCCCAGGCCCAAAACCATACTACAACCATAAACCATCCGCAATGGTCAGTAAATATGAATTGAACCCTCCCCAAATAGGATGAATATGATGGCATTGGATTTGCCACATGATTGTCTTTCCTGGATTCAAAAGGGAAGCAGTCTCTGGTTTCGCGCAAATCTTCCCATACAGCAACCCCCAAAAGAGATAGACAAGTGTTTCCAGGTTGTTATACATGTTACATTTGTTGGAAATGGTTTAAATATATAACTGCATAAACAGATAATAAGTATAGCTATAGGTCTATAGGTGACGGTTTGTTCTCATCATTTCCAGTTTCCCACGGTTTTTGATTGTTTCAAGCAGGGCAGGTGGAAACCACCAGGACTTGTGGCGCTGGACAATCGCATCGGCCACGATGGCACCGTTTGGGGAGAAGATTTCGTCTTGTCGGACCTGAGTGCCTTGTTTTTGATCGTTTTATGGTCCAAAAATGTCCCAAATATAAGGGAAATCATCCCAAAATGGCCGGGGAGGGGTGGCACCTTTCTTGAAGTGAATAGTGGCCTTAATTCAGGTTAGTGATATATTATAATTTGCCCAGAAAAAAGTGTTTTATGTGTTTTTATCCCCTACGGAATGCCAAGGTACCATTGGGGGATGTTTGATATTGGGAAGGGATGAAAATCTGGAGATTATATAAAAGTTTTAATCTGGCTCTCATAAAGGGATATTCATGGTAATTATATTAATAGGATTATAAATGGGATGGTTGATGTCAATGGGATATTAATGGTGGTATTGACGGTATTGATGGGATATTAATAGTGGGATGGAATATAATATATATATAATATAATACATATACACATAATAATATATATATATATATAATAATATATATATATATAATTATATATATAATTATATATATATTATATATATATTATATATATATATTGATTCGGAGTATTAGAATGCTACTGGTATGGAATGTTAACTGTCCAGTGGTTGGGAGGGAGCAATTGGGAGCGGTAGGGGTATCCATATTCCCAACCAAACATGTAGAGCCAGTTGGAGCTACAATCAGAATTTCCCAACCAGATGATAGATTGGATTAATTTATGGGAGGTTTTTTTGGGATACTATTGATCCAAGTACCTTCTGAGGAAATATGGGGCTGGATCCATTGCGAATGGCTTTCCCACTGGTTGATTTGGTTGATTAGAGGGTTAGCCTCATTCACCAACCAATAGCTAGCTGATTGTAGAAAATAACTAGTATACCAAACCGGCCCATCTATTCTTCCTAGAGGACAATTAATTGTATTTACTGCCCTCCCAGCCAACCAGTATCAAAGTGCTGCTGGACTGTAGGATATATGTTTGCTTCTCCGGTGGAGCTTGAAGTATTGAGTTGTCCTTCCCCAACCAACATAGACCCTGCCAAATAAGGGGTTGGAAGATTCGTTTCCACTAAATATTGACTGCTTCTTGGGTCTCCTTTGATGTGCTGGAGGGCAAACTAGGGGATAGACTAATATCAAATAGTGGTACGCCAAATTAATGCCAAATTACTTTTCATTTTTTTTGGGTGGTTGTATGACGAGCCACACTCTTTGAATCTTTGAACTTCAAAAAGCAAGATATGTTTGTGGTGTAGAGTAGTGGAGGAGTAGGACACAATCATACGCAAACATCATTTGACGATGCATCGAAAGTTTCGATAGGACAGTCCTTTGACATATCTCGATTTTCAAGTTACAGTTGATATGTTGGAGAATTGTCTGGAATCAGGACAGCCCGAACATAGATCCTTGATGCTGTTTTACGACATTTGCTTTTGTGTGGGATGTTTAATTGTTATGGCAATTTAACATGGCTATTGAAAATGGCCATTTATAGTGAGTTTTCCCATTAAAAATGGTGATTTTCCATAGTTATTACCAGAGGGTAATTGTTATGGCAATGTTATTGCGTCCTTTTTTCCGCCAGTTTTTTTTGTTGTCAAGATGCCAGGAACTGAATGGAAGATGTTTGCTGTTGATGTTGAGGCAGGATGTTCAGCAATATTTCAGTAGCATCTACGGTAATTTCAGACCTATATATAATTAGTTGGGTCCTGCCTAGCCCTCCAAATCTTTGTGGTTTAGATATCGTGAGTTTGCTATACCCATGTGGCTGGTAGAATTTCTACTTGAATCATGACAAAAAATAAATTGGCACCACCAAATGCTCATGTTGACCGCGATTTTGGAAGTATGGTATTTGGGGTTTTGGGGTTGGCTTTGCTTCTTGGGCTTTGCTTCGAGTGGGTTGTCTGAGGCTTGATTCGACCAGTTGATGCTTTTGCCTTGACCTATGTGGAGGTGATGTGCTTGTCTCGGGAGGGCATCTTACATGCAGCTGGTGACGGATGTTTCTTATGGGAGCCCCAAGTTGTCATCCGAGTTACTTTCCATGAAACGTGGCAATTGCCAATCACCCATAGATGATTTTCCCATGAATTTTCAGAACCTACATTTCAAGGGGATTTTCATGGATTTTCCATTGCCACGTTTGATTACCAGAAGGTAAGTAAAAGAAAATGCACCTAATTCCTTTGAAGCATCCCAATTTTAAGAACCCACTGAGCGGGATTGCTAAGAGTGTTCGGAGGAAGGCGCATGTTTTGCAGAGATGGTTGTTCACGGACGCATCACGAACAAAATTTCGCGATTTATATGCATTTTGCAGATGAGTGTTGCAGTTGGCTTTGGATATATCTGAATATAGTTTTGTCGTGGTCACCCCCATAGTCTATAGAAACAAATTGAATCTTCTGGGTTCCCAAGACCCCTTGAGCAAACAAACTGTGAGAATGTGTGAAATTGATACGTAACATTGAACGTCAGTAGGTTTCCGCGAATTGATTGAAGGTAATCTTACAGGAACCCCCTTCTTTGCGGGTAAAAAAACGGTTTCCTGCACTGCACACTCAGTGTTTGTTGCAACATCAACGACATAGGCTCTAAGAAGGCCCGATCTCACAGTACCGATGTGTCAGCCACGCATCATCGATGAATCATCTGCCCCCGAGCCTTTGGGTGTCAGCAACAAATCCTTAAGGACTTATGACGGTGGTCGAAAGACGCAAGCGAACCTGCCCATACTTGGGACGTTTGGTTCGACGCTACTGTGTGCCATGGCGGGGCATTAGAGTGCAACTTCTCATGGGTTTGATGTCATGGTATGTCCTTGGATGTCTTGGGCTGCTTCATCCCTGCAAATTGATAGTTGAAAGAGACCCACATTCTGGGGCTCAGCAAGATATCTTGTTGGTCAAACTCCTGGGTCAAGCTTGGATGAGTACTTCAGTACTTTTATATACTTTTATCACCTGTTGCAACCTGTTGCATTATTTTGCTATAAAGTGGAATAATAATAAATCATAATTAGTGAATTCATAACCAGCCAAAAATGCACTTGTGCACACATATTTATATATATAATTATATGTATAATATATATATATACCCATACCATGATACGCATATACAAGCACCATGGAAACATGCACATTTTAAAACCTTGTGCATCAGACTCGCCATGAAACACCCAGCCGCCCCCAACGTTCCGAGGTCCGCATGGCCGCCAGCCGGGGGCTACTGGCCGAAGCCAAGCGCCGCACGCGTCTCACACGGCTCTCGAAGCTGCGCTCCTCGGCCGCGGCGCCGCGCTCCACGGTGACCTCGGCCACCGTGGCCTCGGCCCTGTCCGAGACCCCGGCGCCACCGACGGAGCCGGTGGTGCGGCTGCTGCCGGATCCGCCCGAGCGGGCGGAGCGGGCGGAACGGGCGGAGCGGGCGGAACGGGCGGAGCGCCATGAGGCCCCGGAGGCACCGGAAGCGGAGTCAGAGGTGGGGATGGTGGGGAGGATGGGGAGAATCTTTGACGTTGAGTGGAAGACTTTTGGTTGCTTCAGCTTGGGTAACTTGAAGATGAACTGAAACCAGACTGACTCTTCAAGATCAAACTCCCTGATGCCATGATTTGTTGTGACTTTTTGTGGATGCCAACCTGGCATTTCTGCGGTGGTTTGGTAGGGCCGTTTGGTGGTGTTTTCTCCCCTGCTGCAACGCCCTATAGGACTGAAGAACTGTCGGTTTGCAGAACCCTTAGGTCCACAAAAACAAACAACTTAAGTTGTTTCAAAATTCAAAACCCCCAAATCCCATGGTTCATCGTCATTTTCTGTTCAACATTGCCAAACATGATCAAACGTTCAAAATCAACAGATTCAGTGGATGTTTGGCGTCTCCGATTTGAACCGGCTGCTGGAGCTTCTCTCCCACTGGTTGCTAGGCATGAACTCAAAAGCAAAACTGAGGCCGTTCACTGCCTAGTTGGTTGGTTGATAAAGGGCACTACCCCCTGAAAAGCCAACATAGATATAACTGTGATATATGCACTATAAATCACTATAATATAGAACTTAACTGTATATTTATGCGTACATATTATTATGATGACTATTATTATTATTATTTCTATTTTTCTTTTTAATTTCTATTATTATTATTATTATTATTTGTATTTGTTTATTTATTTATTTATTTATTTATGTATTATTGTTAGTATTGTTATTTATTATTATTAATTATTATAACAAAAACAATAATTATATAGATTATATATATATACATGCATTGAAATATATACACGTATGATCACGTATGTATGCGCGCATATGTATGCACAATTGTGCCAGCAAATTTTTGCAAACCCATACAAAAACACAAACCTATAGGCCTATAATCTCCTTTAGATATATAGTAATTATAACCTGTATATAGTATGATAAATAACTACATGATCCAACTATCACGACACTGTACTATATAAATATGCATAGCCATTGACTGCAAGAAAAAACCCAGCGACGTTCGGCTCAGCAGGCGAGCTGTTCAGTGACATTGCCGCAAGTGCCCATGCAGCTGCGTGAGCTGCGCTGAGACGTTGAGGGATGCGCTGTTCGCTGGTTGGGGATACCATCCAGAATCAATAAATCTCAATTAATGTGGGCAAAACAATAATGAACCATCCCCCAGTCATCACCATTTTTATAGGTAGTATAAACCATTCCCAAATGGGTGGTTTATTATTGTTTTAACCACATTGTACCTTAAGGTGAGACTTGACAGAGGAGAGAGAATTGGTGGGTGCAATCTGGAGAAATTCTAACGGCCTCACTGCGACCTCACTGCAAATGATAGTGCATATATACATGGGTTGCTATCCCCACATGACCGAACTTCATAGCTGGGTGCATAATGTCCGTTCAAACATTGATGATTGCGAGTGTTTGTGTTTCAAAAGCCGAACTTCTTAGTCATTCTGAGTGGAATGGGTCGGTGATAATACTTGCAAGATCTCGCAATTGTTTCTTTTTCAATTCAAAGACATTCGACAATTATTACTTGACAAGTTGACAACATTTTTTTGCAGGCAAAATCCACCAATCAGTTTGTGATGGGTAAACCTGTAAGTAAGGCAACCCATCATTTACTTTTATAATTTTACGAGCCGAGAGGCAGGGCTTTTGCAAAGGCCAGTTGCTTCCTGGCTAAAGTGCAGCCCTGAAGTTCAATCCGGAAGAACATGAACATAACAAGCCACTGCCCGATGTCTGAGCCATTTTGAGCCCTGAAAATCAAAACATTTCGCAGAAGTTGTACTTCAGTGGTTCGCATATTCCTTCCGCCTGTGCTTGTACCATTTTTGAAGGAAACGCGGGGCATGGGAGGCTGGGAGCATCCATTCCTGGATCGTTTGGATGGTGCCATAGCATGCCCCAGTAATTACCCACATTGGCAATTTTTGGATATTTTGGGTAGGTAGTTGGTGAATTGGTGGTAATTTACCCATATGTCTGGTCAATTTACCATAGGAGCTTACTTGAACGTCAAGATGACATAGTTGCCACGACTCTAGCGGCTTTCCAACAGTTGTCCAACTTGACCAAGCAGTTGATTGAAATCTGCCCAATCAAAGGAGGTTTTCCAGGACTTGTTGATTTTCTGTATCGAGACCTTTTCCTCTATGAGGGGACAAGGCTTTCCACATCTTGCGCCACCTCCAGCCCCGCCATTGCACAGTCCTGGACTTGGGCCCTGGCGAAGCCAGGGCGTGACGCGAAGAGCAGCGCACCCTAAGGGAACCTTAAGGGAGCCAACAAGCAATATCCATAGCCGATGGGTGGCCTACCTCAAGGGTTTTACTGTAGCATGGATAGGACTGATAGGACTATGATAGAACGGTCATGCTCAAAGCTTCGGGAAGGGTTAGTGGATACTGATGGCTTGATGTGGTTCGCAGTCTGGTTAAAGCACGTGCTGTTCTCGTTTGGAATGCTTAACCATTCTCAACCGCAAGCGCCAAACTGGTATGGAATTGAAATGATTATCTAGCCTTCTTCATAGTCATAGTCTTGTTGATTGAAGTTGCCATTGAAGGATTCCCCCCAGAATCCTCCAGATACCAGATACCTTTGCCCAGAACATTTCTTGAATTTATGGCAGCGTAGCAAGTGATGTGGAGGGGCCACCATCGGATGGTGAAGTCAGCTGGAGATGCTGGAGTTGTCCCCAATTTGGAGGTGATCGAACTTGACCTTAGCAATGAGGTTTTTGCACTTGGCAAAGGTGTTCTTGGCATATCTTGGCATATCTTGGCATATCTTGGCATTGTTGCCGCAGTTTTTTGATGCAACTCTGCAAAATTGAAACTCTGCCTCACCGACAAGGTGTGTAGATAGAGACAAGAAAGATCCTCGACAAGCAGCTAATGCTGAGAAAGTGAAACGATGTGCGATGATTGTGCTGCCGCTACACTGCTAGGATTTCAGGCGACTTTGGGTGTGTACTAATTCCCACAGGCAGAATGCAGGATTTTTATAGGAGCCAGACCATTTGATCGAACATTTTTCAGGATTCTCAGGTAGACTCGACGTTGGTGCATTGCTGCAGCTTTGATCCCTGCTTTGTTGGATGTGCTGGGCCCCTGAAATCCATGTCGCACTGTGGAGGTGCCCAACTGGATGTAAACTAATGTAAGCGCGCACCAGCAAGACATCCAATCAACAAAAACATAAGAAATCCCAAAGAACTCCCATGGAATTACATCCGTGCGCTTTTGTGTTATCAATCCATGTTGGAATTCCGGAAGCAGCATGACATTGTCACAGGATTCATTGCTTCATCTCTGAACCTAACTTCATGGGACGTCAGCGCCAACGGCACCTTGGTCAATGCGCATAATTTGCGAAAATTGTACGAATCTGAAGGAAGTCTTTCGTTGCTAAAGATTGATGGGCATAATCTGTCAGTTAGTGCAAATACGAAACTGTTAAACATATCACAATCGACGGTATCAACTTCAACCTTCAAAGTGCCACGTGCTGCGCAGAGGAACAATCGTGTGCTTTTCTTCCACCCTGCAACAACATGATTTTTCACATTGATTCAGGTCAACAAGCATCCGATTTGATCCAAGTCGGGGGTACTCAAGTTTGAGGTAGCTTAGCCCTATGTATATATATATAATCTTATCTGTCTGTCTGTCTGTCTATCTATCTCTCTCTCTCTCTATATATATATATAATTATAATATATGTGTCTATATACATATGTGTATATATATATAGGCATAGATATAGTTATAGTTCCTTTTTCTTTGGGAAGATCACCAGTGAGATTCAATAGTTTATTTTCTGCCAGGTTGGATCTCTGGAGGTACCCAGGGTATCCCAGGGTACCCAGCCCCAGGCGAAACTTCCCGACTTCTACGTCGGGAACAGCATCGATTCAAGTTGTGGGAGGTGCACGTTCTTTTTTAGGGTGCTGGGTAGGGCCATTGCAAAAAAAAAGTGTTTGACATTTTTTAAACATGCGTTTTATTCCTGTGTTTTTTCCATCTCGATCATTTTGGTATATTTTGGATATTTTCCCAAATGTTAATTATATATGTTTTTCCCACATGTTTTCCCCTATGTTTTCCCATCTTTTTCCTCAACATTTCACCAGTTTCATGTTGAAGTTCCGGCTATCTCGGCTCGGCCAGGAGGCCGTTGAAGCGGCCACCGGTGACCAGGTGGCGCCCAGCTTTCGGCCAGAGATACGGCGCTGCAACTACAGCAAGGCCGGGCCATAGTTCCTCATTATATTATGTTATATTGTGATTATGTTACATGGGGTAACTTGTATGGTTTTATAAATTGTATATATATATATATATATGCCGCAATATAGTTTATAGATGCTTATAGCCTTATAGCTTATAGTTTTGACCTACTTATATTGGATTTTCATATGGGTTTATGTTTTAATGTATATATAAATATATACATATGTATATATGTACATACACACATGTTTTTTTTTTAATTTATTTGATATATATATATATGATCTCGCCATAAAGCTTATAATTGTGATTTTAAGCATCTAAGCAATCTAAGCAATCACTCCCCTTGACATCCATGGACTTTACCGTAATGGGTTTGCCCAGTGGTCTACTGGAACCATGGCTTTCCTCAACGGGGTGAAGCAGCACCCAAACTTGGTGTCGTTTTGCCACAAAAACACAAGTTACCCCCCTTGTGTCTGGGGTGTTTGGGAGCAACCCTTAAGAATCTCAAAAACATCCTCTACCAGGTGGTTCCCTCCAGTTGTAAGTTAGTTGAATTTCACCCATCCGACTATAAATATATCTGCAGTAAACCCAAGTTTCAGCCACTAATAAACCAACTTAAGGATTGGACTTATAAAACAATCATGAAATTATAGATGGTCCCAAAATAGATGGTTTATAATGGAAAATTCTATTAAAATGGATGACTTGGAGTACCACTATTATAGGACCTCCCCCATTTTGAGACCATATACATCCTGAGGCCGTTTAAACATCGAAAGGCCGGGGACATCATTATTTTAGGAATCCCCCTATAACTTTTTTTTTTTTAATACATGCGCATCCAAAAAAACTCGGTTGACCTCAGTTCTACCAGTTGACTGCCAGTTGACCCCCCCTTAACCCATTTTTTCCCCACCTGCCAGGTGAGGGTTGTTAGATTTTATGTCAGTTGCCTCCTCCTCCTCCTTCTCCTCCTTCTCCTCCTCCTCCTCCTCTCCTCCTCCTCCTCTCCTCCTCCTCCTCTCCTCCTCGTCCTCCTTGTCATCCTTGTCGTCCTTGTCGTCCTCGTCGTCCTCGTCGTCCTCGTCGTCCTTGCTCAACTGCGACCCGCGATCCACAGTGTTCTCTGCCGGACCTCAACCACGACCATCCACGCCCAGTGTTCCCTGCCGGACCTCAACCACGACCACCCACGCCCAGTGTTCCCTGCCGGACCTCAACCACGACCATCCCCGCCCAGTGTTCCCTGCCGGACCTCAACCACGACCATCCACGCCCAGTGTTCCCTGCCGGACCTCAACCGCGAGTATCCACGCCAAGTGTTCCCTGCCGGACCTCATGTAGGAAGATAAAATGTCAGATAGAGTGCCAGAAGATTTGCCAGGTAGAATGCCAGAAAATATGCCAGAAAATATGCCAGAAGATATGCCAGATAGATATGCCAGAAGATATGCCAGATAGAATGCCAAATAGAATGCCAGATAGGATGCCAGATAGAATGCCAGAAAATATGTCAGAATATATGCCAGAAGATATGCCAGATAGAATGCCAGAAGATATGTCAGAAAGAATGCCAGAAGATATGCCAGAAAGAATGCCAGAAGATTTGCCAGATAGAATGCCAGAAGATATGCCAGAAGATATGCCAGATCATATGCCAGAAGATATGCCAGAAGATATGCCAGAAGATATGCCAGAAGATATGTCAGAATATATGCCAGAAGATATGTCAGATAGAATGCCAAAAGATATGTCAGAATATATGCCAGAAGATATGCCAGATAGAATGCCAGATTGAATGCCAGAAGATATGTCAGATAGAATGCCAGAAGATATGCCAGATAGAATGCCAGAAGATTTGCCAGATAGAATGCCAGAAGATAGAATGCCAGAAGATATGCTAGATAGAATGCCAAATAGAATGTCAGAAGATATGTCAGATAGAATGCCAGAAGATATGCCAGATAGAATGCCAAATAGAATGTCAGAAGATATGTCAGATAGAATGCCAGAAGATGTGCCAGTAAGAACATGTATAAATGTCATGGTGGGGATCACACGAAGTAAAGTAATTTTTTTTAAGGACAGACTTTACCAATGGTGGATATTTCATATATTTCATATATTTACTTTACCAATGGTGGATATTTCATATTTCTATTGGGGATATACTTTTTTTTTTTAAACCCATAGAAATAGTGGATTTTCCCATGAAAAATGGTGGATCTTTCCATATAGTTATGTTAGTTTACCAGAGGGTATCCCCATAGAGGTTTTTTCCTCAGACCCCTCAGACCTCTCGGATCCCTCGGATCCGAAGAAAGCGTCTGGAGGCCGATGCCCAGGCCGCCAGACTCCTTGCGACGCCGCGGCGCAGCCAAACCCAGCGGGCGCTGAGGGAGGCCTGGGGATGCCTGGGGGCCATGGGGAGGTGTTTATTATAATGGTTATATGGTTATAATATGTTATAATCTCATAGTGATATCATATTGGTTAATATTGAATGGGTTAATATGGGTTAATAATATGTAACACTGTTTATGACTGTTTGAGATATTAGAGCCATTGGATTTGTGAGGTTTTAATATGGCCATTTGATGAATCTTAATGGTCGATTAATGGTATGACCATTGTATGATATGAAGACCATAGACAGTCGTAAACCATTAAATGAACATTATCCCATAGGATCCATGTATGCTATATATGGTCACATTTACCATCAATATACCCCCAATGTTAGCATATATACCATACATGGATCCTATGGGTATATAATTGCAAGATTATAAACCAGTTACATGTTAACCATGTCAGAGGGATGATGCACATTGATAATCATTATCAAACCATTGGAATGTAGAGGTGCAAACTGTTGCCCAATCTTTGGACGAACTCAGTCGCAAAATGATTTTGGGATATTTTGGGAAGAAATCTAGGAAGCCCTTAATGCAAATTGAGCTGATGGATCCTACGAAAGTTTTTTTTTGATATGCAAATGATATGGGGGATCCACGTGCCCATCTGAGTGAAGTGAGGGAACATCGACACGTCCAGATCTTCCATCGTGCGCCTTGGAGGTCAAAGAGGTTCTTGCACGGCATCAGGTTGCAGACTCAGCGCGGAGCGCAGGAACCTCGAATATCATTGACATGTCGATAGGATGAAAAACAGTAACTTATACATGGACATTTATGGTATACAACACACACAGACAGACAGACAGACAGACATACATACATACACATACACATACACATACACATACACATACACATACACATACACATATACATATACATATACATATACATATACATATACACATACACATACATACATACATACATACATACATACATACATACACACACATACATACATACATACATACATACATACATACATACATATAATATCATATAATATACTTATATAATATATTTATATAATATATTTATATAATATATACATATATATATACATATATATATATATTGATATTTTTATACGTACCGTATACACGTATATACCTTATCTGATATTTATGATATGTGACATGTGTCCATCGATCACAATGCCCTTTGTTTATTTAAGCGACTTCCACGGAGTGACCCAGGTGCCACTGATCCTCATTGGCGGCTTGGCCCTAGGCTACTACAACTCCTGCGCTGCCATGGTTGGCAACGGGGATCGTGCCTTGGATGCCATGGTTTCCCCATGGTTTCCACAAGGGGACCTGGCTTTTAAAGGTGGTAAAAAGCCATCAGAAACCTCCACTGGGGGATGGTATCCATTGATATCCATGTCGAATCATTTCAAGATTGAGGGTAGTAGTTTCTGCTTGGGTTTGCCACGTTTGACATTTGAGGGACGAAACGCACGTGAGCCAACGGTGAGCCTTTTGAGGCGTCGTTGCCACCTTTGGACCTTGGTTGGAGGACTGGGACCCTGTCATTCGGATACACACGATTCGCTATGATGTGTATATAATAAATATGTATATGAATTATTCGTATACAGTATACAGTATCTTATGTACAACATGTATGTAGATTAATTATACATGATTACGATAACGATGGTTTTCCGGTCTCCGAGGCTTCTCCCGCACCAGGAGGCAGGGCTCAGTAGCCTGAGCAGCTCCTTTGAGCAACGCGGACACCGCTTGGACTTGCGACACTGTAAGGTCCACCGGCGGAGTAACTGGCGGTGAAACTGCTCAGAAACTGGCTGGGAACTTGGAGGATTTCACCTGGGGTTGTTGTTTTTTTTATTTTTAAGTAAGTAGTACATCAACAAGAGGTATTAGAGAATTTACTGTAGATATCAGAAGATGATGTCATTTTGATCTAGAAAAAAAATTGGTCGTTAGTGCCTCATTTGTTGGGGTCCCATTTGGTAGCTGGGGTCAGTTTCCCTCGCCTTTTGAATGGTATATATCCAGCGATCGCCATGATCCTCAAAAGAGGTGAACGCTGACATTAATGGATGTCAATTTGGCTTCTTAAACCAACTTACAACTGAGCGGCCTCACCTGGTATGGAGGTGTAAAAACCCAAAAAGGGGAATAATCCAATGGATGAAGAGACAGAGGGTCATCCATTTTTTTGGTCATTCAAATTTAATCAAAACAATAGCTGTAAGGACAAACAATAACATCCTTTTTGGGATCTTTTGAGAACAGCATGCGCATGTCCTACTTCTTACTTGCGGATTCTCAGGGTAAACTACTGCACTTGACTTGGCTCCGCCGTGACAGGCAGGGCCTATGAATGCTGGCTGCAAGCTTTCGGTTACTTTGTGCCTCGGCTGATATCTAGCACAGGCTCCTGATTGAAGTGCTAAGGTCATTAATAATGGGTACCCATTGGTAATTTAACATAGCTATTGAAAATCACCATTTTTAATGGGAAAATCCACTATTAATGGTCATTTTCAATAGCTATGTTAGTTTACCAGAGGGTATCAGATCTAATGGAATACTCGTCTGGGAGTGTTTGGCTCGCAGTTTTAGAGGGACAAGGCCCCAAATTCACCAGCTTTGCAGGTTACAAGCGTTGCTCCCAGGTTACCGCTTTGAAACTGCATGCTGCGACGTCACATCTGACAAACCACAGCATTTTTTTGTTGTTTTTTTGTCATTCATTTGTGTTGCGCAGGTTTGACCAGAAGATGGGCAGGGAGGACAACTTGACTCTGGATATCCAGGTGCGGAGGATGTTGTGCTGCCAAGATTTTACCTTCTAAAACCCAATAGATTTGTCAAACATACGGAGTACTCCACAATGGCACTTTGAATGGATAATTACTAGTAGCGTAAACCCTGGGAATTTAGGGTACCTCATATACTTTCAGGCAAACCTATTGATCATGTTGTTGCTTATGAATAATCCATGATATTCCCACGAAATCCCCATTATAGCACCATCTTTGTGTGTCAAATCCTCCATGATCCCTCATTTTCCCACTTATGAATGACCATTCAATGGGACATTTTCATGGTTTTCCCTGTGAACCTCGGGAGACTCGGGACAGGTGCTCTTTTCAGCTCCCCCTGCTGCAGTGGCACGACCACCGGGACACTTCACTGCGTGTCCTGCCAGCTGTGGCGAGCGATGTGCGCAGTGCGGCTTGGCCTACGCGCAATGGACCCAGCACCTGGGTAGCAGCGAGATGGGATGGGTCAATGGTGGATTTACCCCTCCAAATGGTACTAAAATCATAGGGAAAATGATGATTATATAACCAATGGATTATAGAAATTTATAGAAGAGGTACCATGTTTTCAGGCAAACCCAGATGATCGAATCGATGAATTTCTGGGCAAAACTTATTTAGATTTTTCGTCAAACAGGCTCTCATGAACTGTGCTAGTGCTTAGGGTTAGTTATGGTCAGTTTTCCCACCTAGAAATCTATGAATAGGATAGCTGTAGCAATCGGGGACTTATGCTCACTAGGATGATCCTCCCAGTATCGTTTCAGCAATCCCTTGCCGATCCCTAATGTCTCGGTGAAAACCACTCCTTTTGAGAAGCTGCTGCCAATTCAAGCCAATTTTTTTGGGGTGCCGAAGGAAAACACGTGAAAACAGCATGTCAATAATTGAGAATCAGACTTTGCTGGAAGTAGCCTCTGGTAAACATACAAAAAGCTATGGAACATGGTCCATAGAAATAGATGGTTTCCCTATAAAAAATGGTGATTTTCTATGGCCAACTGGATCCGACCACCAGGTCCGACGGTCCCTTCCATCGCCAGGTCCTCCCAGGAACAAGACCGTCCCTGGCTTTCGCAAAGACCTGGAGCTGGTGGGTTGGTGAAAGCCGAGCAAAATGATTTAGAAATGGTGACTTTTCCACATCTATACGGATGTATATATAATATATAGTATGTATATATATATGTATACATACATACATATATAATCATATATATATATACACATATGTGATTATATATGTCTTAGTTTACCATGCGGTAGATGAAGATGGGAGATTACTGGAAGTACTCAACCAACTATATAATTTTAGCTGTCAGCATTTGGGTTGAATTTCGGCCTCATGGCCGTGTGTAAACTGCCAGCATGGTGGCAGAACTTTAGAAACTCCCAACTGGATGGCTTTATTGGCAAGGGAACATCCCTTATGGATGGAGGCTAAATTGGCAAAAGCATTTGTAAAGGGTGGATTTTCACTTGCTCCGTTTGATTAGGGGAGGGTGTATAGAGGGAAAAGGACCAACATTCGCCCCTGCGTCGGCGATGAAATTGCACCAGAGCTGCCGAGGTTTCTTTCCGTGCCCAGTTCCTTTGCGAAACTTTGTTCTGGCGGCCTGGATGAATGAGACCTTCTGGATTCCGGAGAATATTGAGACCTACTTGGAAGCTGAGCCTCGGCAGGAGCACTATAAGTATATGATAGTATATAGTATACATATATATATAAATATAAATATATATATATATATGATATATACATATATATAATTATATATATATACATATTTTTGATGCATATTACCATATGAATTATGCCATGGGCCGTGGACCTCACCGGCCAATTTTTTGATGACCTCTCTGTGGTGGATTTGCAGCAAAGACCCTGGACCGGTAAGGGGAATCACCCAGATATTCCTTCTTCCAGGCTTGGGTTTCTGAAAATGGGGCACCTATGGGCACATGGGCACCCCAAATTTAAGAGAATTTTGGTGTTCCCATGTTTTTGGACCCACTAGGTATGATAAAATGTTTGGCGCAGATGGACGACACAATCTGATCACAATTTTTGAACAGCTGTAACTATACAACAGATCTTCAAATACTAGAAAAGATCCGTCCTACCAACAGCCTGACTGAGGAATATGGCTCTCGGTACCAGACGCTTGGTCCAAATGACCAAATAGTGAGAAAACTGCGCAGTCTCAAAATTTGCATGTTGTGACTGGTGACTTCTTGTTCCTTCTCAATTCATTCATGATTCCCGTATGCCACTGAGCTTTAAGCTCATATCCGTCACATTTTTGCAAAGAATGTGCAATCCCATATGCTATAATATACTATGATATACTATGCACATCTATACCCCACATGGAATCATGGAATTCCTATACCCTATCCATAAACAGCTGGATTTCCATTCAATTCCCATGATCTCTGGCTCTCGGTCAGGTCTAAGCCACTCCAGGCTTGCACGGCCAGTGACTCCTTGGGGGATTCCATCAGCAGCTACGAGACCCTGGTGGTTTTGCCCAAAGGTTCAGAGGCGACCAGCGCTGGGGTGGTGGGATGGCCATGGTGGGTTTGAGCCATGTTTTTTTGACAGATGTGACTTGTTGCTGAGCAAAGATTGAATTGCACGTTCAATGTTTAGGGCCCCAATATCCAATGAATAAATCCAAGAGATCTGGTTTGGGGCTTAAGCATCCGAGTGTTGAGTGATTCCCCTGCTGAGTTTGCTGGAGGTTTTCAGAGGCCATATGCTGGTGAATGGAAACTCGACAACACGCCTCTGTAAAAACCAACGGGTTTCCCGTAAAAAAGTATCCCGAAAACCCAACCATTTATAGTGGTTTACAGTGACGGCCTACAGGGAACCACTGTGACAGCTGTGATCGTCAGATCCTTCATCTCCAGCGTGAAGCACAGCGAGAAGGATCGCCACGAATCGCTGCAGCAGCTGTATATGACAGGCGGCCAGGGCGGCATCCCAGGGATGGCTTGGATGTGGCACTTCCTTGCTGCATTCTCTAGATAACAACCTTGACAAGATATAACAAGACAGAATCTGATCTACTCCACAAATTGGCAGGTTCTCGGACTGTATCGGGATCTCAATTTGATGCTTCAGCACCATTTAAGAACTTGTTCTTCCTCGAACTATTTCTATTAACAAGGGTAAATATCCAAATGTTTGATCATTGGCCCATCATCGACAGTGCCAGGCATATTTGGCACAAGTACTTCGCAGAAGACGCCAACAGCAAATCCTCATCTCCTTGGGTCTTCGCCGAGACCTCTGCGTCTCGGTCTCCAAGTGTCCTGGATGAAAAGGAGCATGGCTCAGGCGAGGTGCCGAGGTGCAGAACATCTCCATGTCAGTTTTTTTTTGTTTTTTTGTGTCATGCAAAGTAGGGAAAAAGTAGGAGATACAAAGCAACTCATTATTTTCAGGTTCGAAACAGGATTGACTTCGGTTGTCCGAAAGCAAAGTTCAATCCAGCTGTCCGAACCCTCCCGCAATATAGCCAGGGACGCTACGAATATCGCCCATGTAATTCGTTCGATGATTTGCCTAAAAAGGGGCTTTTTTCCATAGCCATGTTCAAGTACCAGAGGGGTACCCTCTGGTAAACTAACATAACTATATGGAAAATCACCATTTTTAATGGGAAAACTCACTATAAATGGCCATTTTCAATAGCTATGTAACAAATTACCAGAGGGGTACAGGCCCAGGGCCCCCGATGAAGGTCATTTGCCTCACTGGTTCCACCACTGGTCGCTTTCGGGACGCTCGGGACGCTCGTTCTTCGGCGTCCCGTTGGCTGGTCTCACCATGCCGCGGCTGCTGCTGGCTGTCACTGTAGCCGTGTCCTTAGCGGCAGCCTATGCAACTTGGCAGCTCAATCACCCACGAAAGGTGAAAGTTGCAAATTTCATCAATAAAAATAAACATGTTATGTTATATAGTTAATTATGATTGATGGAATTCACCGTTACGTGGCCATAAGGGTAGTGATCCAATACGACAGACCACCTATGCTTTACACTTTACGCATAACATCGCATAACTATATTTGGGACAATCTTTCGGACGAACGAACGGAGTACGAAAACACAAACCGACAAAACCAAAAAAACATCAAGTGGCTCTCGCACGGACCTTTTGAATGCAGTCGCAAGGCAGGCCCACGGACACTTGAGTGCCCACGGCCGCCACAAGGAATTTTGATACATACATGGTCTATATATAATATATATATGTATATATATATATGTCAATATTATATATATATATAAATTGACATACATATATCACGATGTATGTTTACATCCATGCAGGTATACCTTGGGGGGCCAGCCAAAGATGAACAGTTGCGCGAATTCCTACCGGGGCTCGTCCAGATTTCAAAAGGATGATCATCATTCATATCAGTTAACTCAGAAACCCAAGGAGCCCATTTTTTGGGATGGGCATTCCCTTACGCACGTGTATATACATGTATAATACACATATGTACATGCATATGTACAATTATACATGTATATTTTATACATATATATATAATATATATAAATATAATATATAATATATAATATATATATATAATATAAATACATATGTATGTCCGTGCGCGTACGTATTTCTAGGAGGGAACTTCCTGCTAAGGTGATTCCAAAGCGCCTCTCAGTTTGTAGCACGCGCGTGTTGGAAGTGATCCGCGGACGGCCTTCGGATGGTGGAATGCATCTTGACATGACACTCCTGAGGTATTGGCCTGTTGATCCCAAAGAAAGATTCGTCTTAGAGGAGGGTTGGCATCTCCACTGCCATTAATTCGGGGGTTTCCATAAATGGGCGTACCCAAAAATGGATGGTTTAGGCGATGGGGGGAGAGAGAGAGAGAGAGAGAGAGAGAGAGAGAGAGAAATGATTGGTTTGTAATGGAAAATATTGCGAATATGGATGATTTGGGGTACCCTTATTTAGGAAACCACCAAATCTGAAGGCAGCTGGCAAAGAGGCATAGCTGCCATTTCGTTCACATGGTTCTGAGGTTCGGCATCTACATCACCATCCTTTTGGGCCAGACCTTTTCGCAATACTTGGCCAATGCTTCAGGCGCCCTGTGGCGAAGCCGGAAAGGCCCCACCGCTCCACCCCCGTCGGTGCGTCCACTGTGTCGCAGGTTTGGTGGCTTTGACAGCGGCGATGTTGTGGCAATGCGCTCACTTACTTTGGGCCACAGGCTGGACATGGGCATGAATCCCTCATAGTGTGGGATCATGTAGGATCCACTCATATGCTAATACGCCAAGGGTAAATTGTGGGATGATTTGCAACGGAAATGATTGATAGTTGGATTGTTGAATATCATGGATCCCGCACATCAATTATATATATATAATATATATGGTGATAAAATGTGATAAATGCCCCAATGATCTGCCAAATGCTAGGGTTATCTACCAGCTGGTGCAGGTGTCGTGTGGCATCATGGTGGACTTCACGCACTCTTTTCTTCAATTCGTGTGATGAGGCTGGGGCCCTTATTTGGTTCTGTGGGGAACAGGTGAATGTGATATTTACCCTCAGGTAAATCAACTTAGACCCTGCGAGATAGGGCTTGGAAGATTAGCTTCCACTTTTCACCAAAAATTGGTTATTGTCAGGGTCTATCTTAATTTACCAGAGGGTACCCATAGTTTTCATTGGCGGAGATCTCACTTGATCTAACTTCGCTTTTTGGGTGTCCAAAATCCATTCCATTCCAATTTCCAATCCCATTCTTCGGATGATCAAGAATGATCAAGATGTGAAAATGTATGTGAAATATCACCCGTGGGAGCCCATGTGAGCCCACCAACCCTTGGCATATGCTGAGATCTGCGCTGTCCCATCAGCATGTCCCAGCTTTTCCCTGAGGAGAACTGATGGTGCATTGGGGATCCTTTGTTTCAACACCTTTCTGGGCATTTGTGTCGCAGTATCTTGGCGCACACAGCCAGGCCGTCATGGACTCGGTACCCTGTGATGAACATCGAAGATCAATTACCATCCACATCCATCCACCAAATTGACATAGAACATAGCATAAAATAGCCTAGTTTTAGTGGAAACTCATAAAAAACCTGACTGATGGCACGGTCTATGTTAATTTGGGGGATGGTTATCACGACCTGAATGCAACGTCGCTGGAATGATGATCCCCAAATGGCCTTGGTTCAGGTCATTTAATGTACCAGTAGTTTCCTTATGACTCATGACGCCCGTAGTTGCACGAAAATCATGAAATGACGCCGTGGGTCGTCAAATTTGCCGCTTGGTCTCAAAGATCGTCGCTGTTGGACCCTGAAAATGGATGAAAATGGCACAATGATCTGCTTGTGGGCCGGCATATATTCTTTTCGAATTTGTGTTCCGCAACCATCAGCAAGATTAAAGAATAAACGTTAATTACTAGTAACAACACAAAAGCAAGCCAAAGCTTCTTCAACATGCCAAGGCTAGCCAGTGGCTTTCCTTCATCAGCTTGTCATGGTTGGAGCCAGCCTCATACATCTTGTTTGTGCAGGCCAGCGGTCAGCCAGCAGATGGATTCACAAAGAAATGGAGAACATATGCATGCAGACTTGTGACCTTACGGTATGTATACAAATGTGTATAATAATTATACTGGTTGGTGGTTTGGAACATGAATTTTATGACGTTCCATATATTGGGAATGTCATCATCCCAACTGACGAACTCATATTTTTCAGAGGGGTAGGCATACCACCAACCAGATTATATATATATATATATGTATACCATCCTTGTTCTCCATAGCGAGAGCTCGAGCATCGTTCTTCATTTGCGCACCCCTTTTAAAAGCGCCAGGTCTCACTCTTGCTGGCGGAGGTCCCAGGTGCTTTTTTCGCCATCCAGTCGTCATGGATGAGCGTTGAAACGTATTGAAACGTATGACGTATGGTGACTTGGAGTGTTTGTCCATAAATATGGACACCTCCAGCTATATATATATATATAATTATAACCCATGCAATTTTTCAGCGATTTGGGGACGTTTTTTTTTGTATTGGGTGAATCAGGGTGAATCCCAAATGCGGGAAACTGAATTCAACATGATTATAAAATATTATAAACCATTGGACGTTGGGTTACCTTTGACAAAGGCACTTGTTTTTCTTGTTCAATGGGGTAGTATATCGTTGTGGCGTGCTTTCGGAGTGTAAGCTGGGGTGAAACAGGGGATCTTAGCTGAGATGTTACAGTATTCAGAGCCAAACTGCCAGGATCACAGCAGAAGTTTGGCAAAGTCCATGGGTTGGCTTTGGCCATAGCAGCTGGGCTGCATCCAGGTGAAGTCGTTCTAAGCTTTGGATGATGTTGGATGCAGGGACTGAGCAACGGTGAATAGACCCTCCGTGGCATGCGGTCCAGTAGCTCCCTAGGTTGTCCTAGCATTCATGGTGAAGGGCTTGCAGGCCTGTGGCATTTGATTGGGATCTCTGTCACCGATGGAAGAAGGATATCTTCTTGAAAGTTGGGGGCCATTAGGGGACTTTTATACGGATTCTTGTGCTGATTTGGGCTTTGTTCACATGGGTTTGTCTGAAAACAGGGTGCTCTTATATAAATTCACTAGCAAACCACCAGATTTAATTATCCATTTTCCCTATCAAAACGGTATAAAACAACCGTATGTTGGGATCAAATTGATTAAATCCGCCATTTTCAGACACATCCACATTCGCCTGGCCTTTCAGAAAGGCTGCCACGGAGAAAGACTTGATGCTATACCGTGGCCTAGTGGCTGTGCTGATTCAGGCCCATCTACAGCCTGTGGTACTCACATCCCCTGGAGAAAAATGCCCAAGGAGCCACAAATACTGGAATGATTCAACAAAAAACTTGGTTTTCAAAACGATAAGTCAAAAGGAATTATTTATAATTGGCGGGTTTATTTCGCATCATCATCATCATCATCCTCCTCGTCGTTGTCGTCGTTGTCGTCGTTGACGTCGTCGTTGTCGTCGTCGTCGTCCTCCTCATCCTCATCCTCATCCTCATCCTCATCCTCCTCATCCTCATCCTCATCATCATCATCATCACCATCATCATCATCATCATTATCTTCACCGTCATTGTCATCGTCACTGTCATCATCATACTGTAACAGTCATAAAATTTAACTACATATAATCTATATATATACATATTTGTTTATTACGTGTCTATATCTGTCTGGCGGTTTGAACTGTTGTTCTTTTCCACCATTTCTGGGATGATGATCCAACTTGACTAATATTTTTGGAATGGCTTGAAACCACCAATCAGATGTGTATATATATATATATACATATATTACACGCGTATATATATACATATACGTGTGTGTAATTGTACAATTATGAACATCCATATGCCAGGTCTTCTTGTCCGCCTTGGTGATCTTGTGCAGACCTTTGCTGCAGGAGGCGCGCTGCCGCAGCGGCAGCGGTTCTTTGTGCAAACCTCTTTGGGGAAAAGTGTGGATGTATAGATTATTTCTTTTGTATCATGGTATGACATGTCTATGTATATGTGACATGTGTATAAATATATATATACACATTTTGATATTTATATAGATGATTTAATTTCCTTCAAACATAGTGATCAATCGCATATTATGGGAATGTTACCGTGCATCAAGGCACTGTGAACTTTTCCACCTATGGCCATGGCAGTTTCCGAAGGTTGAGACCGTGTCCAGGGATCTGATGATGCTGATGCAGAGCATTCAAGGCGCGTCCCCAGGATTCCATGACGGGGATGGAAGTGACTATGCAACCTATGAAATCTATGAATCAAGAGATATAATGACTGCATCACTTCCATATATTTTTAGGGGGATGAACTGATCCATTTTGGAAGCATTTTTCAAGGAAAAATGGGTCTTGAATGGTCTTGACTCTTGACACATCACGTTGGTTCTGCTGGGTGTGCGAAAAGGCATCATGCTTTCTGGCTCACCCCAGTTAGTAAGTGGTTTCTAACCCCAATTATCACTAAACATCACTAAACATTGCCCCTACTTAGAACGGAGTTATAACTACTAGAACTAATTAGAACTATAATCCATTTGTTCTCTAGGGTGGACCACCAAGCGTCCCCAATGTGTGAGCTTGAGAGTTTGGCTGGCAATTCTGGCCCGCGCAGAGCTTTAGCTTCATACAGTATCAATGCAGTGTGAAGTGGACAGTGAACGTGGTGGAAGAACTGGTTGGGAATGTGGAAAACATTGCCAAAAAAAAATACAAAAAATCGAGTCATTCAACGATGACCACATTCAGTGACTGTTTGTGGGAAAATATATCCTCCACCTTCCGAGGTAAAGCATGGGTTTCTTTTATACACTTTGGAGGGCATACAGTTTTTAGGGAACAAAACCATCTTTGAATCGACGCCATGGAGTTCTTCCCTGGCGATGCTGTGGAAAAATGTGGAAACCCACTGGAAATGCACAACCGGCACTACTTCAGAAGCGAGGAATTTGCCGATATCCAGCTGCAAGCTTTTGGGAAGACCTACCGGCTGCATCGCTTTTGATACTTGGCATATCTTGGCATGGCATTTTCCCAAGAGAGAGGGCGATCAGGGCGGAATTTTCACCGCAGGGAGATCAGGGGAAGAATTGGCCAAGGCATGAGAATTCATGATGCCAACTTGCTATTTTCAGGAATCATATCTTTATGCGCAAGACGGGGAAGGACTGGACAGTGCAGTGCCCATCTCTGGGTAATATCATTTTTACAGTCTGTATACATAAGCGGCAAAAAAATGCCTACCCTGCTAGAACATTTTTCTACATAGATTTAGATATGCTTTCCGTGTTGTGATTTATGAAAAAGTAAACTTATAGAAGTAAATAATAGTAAATAAGTGATGACACCGTAAACATGACACGTGTGCATACAGCTGGGCGCCCTCGAGTTACCTGGCAACTCTGAGGTTTGGTGCGATCTCCCTTCTTCCATCGCATGTTCACGGGAGAGTGGAGTGAGTCGGCAGCCAACAAGGTGAGCTTGGACAGCGAGACGCTTGGCCCTGCCGATAAAAGACCGGGGGATGGCCTCCATAATGGCTGCGTACGAGGACCACTGTTGGCTGATGATTCGTCGGAGAATTATAGTAACTTTATTCATTAAGTATCGTTAAGTAATTAGTTTTAATCCATGAGCTGGGAATCCGGCACTTTACCAACCAGTAAATTGGAATGTCAGAGGTTTTCAACTTCTAATTTGGACGGGCAAAGTGTTTGGAAAGGTCTGAAAAGCATTGAAAAGCCACGAAGCACCGCATGACAGTTGAATGGTGATGTCACACATCCTTGCTGGTTTTTCGATATTGTTCAATGCTTCAATTTTCCGTTGAACCGTTGCTTGCAAAGAGTGGGGATGATCCTAGATCTGGACTAGATCTGGCTGGTTTCAAGATTTCGTCTGACTTTTTAAGCAGCAACATGTGATATCACCAACTGGCTCAGGCCGGTTGAAACATGTTGAAACCGGCACCCCGACATGGCGTAGACTTACGCTAGACACGCGACGTTGAGGTGTAACCTTCAGGGTCTTACGAAAGATGGCCTGGAGCTCGCCTTAGAATTTCTCTATACTGCGAAGCTGGAGCCCAAGTTTTTGGATGACTTTGGTGAGGCCTTGCTGGTTGCTTGGTGCAATTTCTGGGGACCCCGGGGGATGAAGACTGAGGCTGATGACCTTCAAAATGTCGTGAGAGCAGCTGTCAACAATTGAGAGAGATATGGAACATGCAGTTGCATTATGTTGTAGTTGCAGAAGCAAACTTCATGTGCTCATCCTGCATTTATGTTTCGCAGTGAGATTAGTTGTCATTGTACAGGCACGTCTTTTATTTGGTAGGTCAGGTTTGTACCTGCAACCACAGGCCTGTAACCCTTTCATGTGCACGTGTCTCGATGATTGCTTCTGAATACGATGGAAGATTGTTAAAATAGACTATGTTTCTATTGTTTCTGAACACTATTGAAGATTAGCTTTCATATTTCTGAATACTATTAAAGATGATTAAAATAGACTATGTTTCTATGGTTTCTGAATGCTATTGTTAAAAATCTGCACTATACTGTAAGATCTTCATAGATGCCCCACAATTTAACAGTTGTTCCCCAGTGTATGGGTGGCAGATGGCAATCCCCAGCTGACAGTGGCGTTCGAGGTGCTGAAGTTCCTGTTGATGGATGCGGCCGTCGAAGAGCTGCTGAAAAAGCTCGACAGGTGGGATGTTCATCCCAGTTGGGGAGTGGTTTATAAATGCTTATAACATATAAACATCTATAAACCATATCAGAACCACATATATACATATAATACAATATATAACTATACAATACTGATAATACTATATAATTACATATGCACATATATAGGTAATTTGGTGGTACCGTGGTTCTTCAATGTTTGAATGGCTTTGGACCTACCCAAGTGAGATGCGCATGGACAGGCGTTCAACTTGTTTGGCCACTGGTTTGGATCGGTCTACATGAATGGGCTTAGGCGATTTTGGACACAACATTTGCATTTGCATAGGCCTGCTTGATACTATCCTACCTTTTGTAATCCCCGCAATCTTGAACTATCCAATCATACCATACCCGCGTTTATCCAAGCCCAATTTCATTTTTTGAAATTATTTGCCTTGTGCCTAGAACTGCCATTGAGTATCTAGTTAACATGCGTTGTTCATTGCGTAAGTTACGGTCATCCAAAAGCCTTGCATCCAAAAGCCTTGGATCCAAAAGCTTTGACTGCTCGACCCTGCCCGACTTTCAAGGAGCTTGGAGGTGAAAGATTACTACCGGGTCTCCCATACAGCTGTGATTTGTCGCGAGTCCATCAAGGGCCTGTGGGACTTAACCTTGGCAGTTCTGGCCTATGACCCATGTCTTGTGACTTGGCAACAGTGGGATCCTGTCCTTGTTTTGGCATATCATGGTATGTCTACGTATGTATATCTGGTTGCACTGGTTTTGGTGGAGTGCGACTGGTTGACCATTCACAAGCCGGAAAGTCAAGTTGATCAAGTTGTTTGATCGAACTACTCCAAGACCGAAGCATCCGCCCTCCAGGCGGATTGCTTCAGGCCATCCAAATTCATCCCAAGATTCCATCCAAATCTTCAAACCAACCTTTTTGATCCTTTTTGCGTATCTCTTCCTATTCTCCGCCCATTTCGGCTCAGCCAGTCGTGGTGTGTGGCGCTAGCCAGCGGGCATGGGGGAGCCTCCAAAGGCAGCAGCTTCGGCGACGCAAGAGGAGCCGAAGGGGCCTGCCACCGGTGAAGCGGGGCCTGTGCAGGCCTCATCTTCGATCCATTCCCACGGATCCAAGGGATCTAAGAGGCCAGCCTGGACTGAAACCGATGCGGACGACCTCCAGAAGGCAGTGGACACGGTCTTCAACAAAGCAGGTAGGAAATGGTGATGAATTGGGGGGGACTATGTCGGGGGAGAGTTGTAGCCAACGTGCTAAGATTTGGGCATCGCCGAGAAGAGTCGCGCACGTGAAAAGGGTTGCTTTTACAGTTGACATGTCAAAAAAACACAACATAATCTTGAAACCATCCAATTTGTTGGGTACAGCCGGGTTATATTATCCACTACACTAAGCAGCGCCCCCGATAGTTCAGGTGAGTCTTTGCTGGGCCTCTCCTTCTCCCTAACCATCGCAGACCCGCGGCTTCCAGACTGTCCGTTGATCGGCTGTTCCACGGGCTTTGCTACGCTTTGCGGCTACACGATGAAGGAGAGATTTGTTGGTTGAAAAATGATGAAAAATGGATAGTGATGATCAAACATGGGGCGGTTGTTTTTCACTCGCCTTCAGCTTAGCTGAACTCTTCGAGAAGGCGATGGAGAGAAAGAGAGAGAGAGAGAGATCAAAAATAACTGGCCATGACATATTATGTTTTCAATTGTTTTCATATGTTTTTTCACCATCAAGATCATCACGGTCCACCAGAATCATCAATTGGTATCATATTCGGGTGGGTTGAAGGACATGTCAAACCATCAGAATCCACTATCATAGTGTATGATCATATATTGAGGCTTTTCCTTGCTCTGTAACATGCAGCAATACTTTCATTTGTTTGGGATCACGGCTGGGAACCTCTGCACGGGAGACTGAGAGGACTACAAAGCCCATCCACCCAGCATACCCAGTTACAAGGAAAAACTATGATTTATAGCACCATTTGACACAGAAAACTGTTATATATGTTGTTTGGCATTTCCTGCAGCACCCATGATACCCATGACATGTTTTGTTTATTTCTTCGTGCACGTGCTCTTGTTTGCCGTTTTTCGTGCACCATATCGTGTTTTTTTTCTGCGGTTCTTGGTGCACCATATCGTGCTTTTTCCTGCAATTCTTCGTGCACCAAAAATTCGTACTAACGTAACAGAGCATAGTAAAATCACAAATCATATATACAATGTTGTCACACTCTATGCTTCTTTTCTCCCAGAATGGGTTGGAGGGCAACAAAAAAACACCTTCCAGGAAATCTTGGGCAGAAATTGCCGCTTCCTCATTGATCCAGTGCCGCCTGAGCAGATTGATGTGACCATACGCAGGCACTGCAGGGACTTCTGCAACGCTGTTGCTGTGGGCAAGGAATACAGCATCTGACTGGTGATTTCAAACATGTTATTTTCACGTTCTTTTTTCTTTAAAAAACATCTAATCCCCAAAAAGAATAGGATTTCAACTGTGCCTTTTCTTTTTCATCCGTAGTAGTTTTTCGGATGACGGTCCAACATGACTGTTATTGGTATAGTTGGCTGTTGAATTCATTCTTATTTTACACTGTCCATCCCAGAAATGAAATTCAGATCCCAATTGGCTTTCAATGACTTTCTGATTTTGGGATGTGTATTCCAAGGCATTCCGAAGGAAGAGAGGGAAGATTGGATGCCTCCCGGACGAGCTGGCGATGAGCTTTTTTGCTACCAAGTGAATGCTCGAAAGGATGGAAGTCTGTTCAACAACCTTTTCTATTTGAAAGTCTTCGGTCTCAGTGCTGTGTTGGGTGAAGAGTTGCCTTACATCGTGGCCTTGCAAACAGATTTGCCAGACGGCAAAGCAGACCTAAAGCAGCTGGCAGCCCATACCAAGATCCTGGACCAGAACATGCAAAAGGTGAAAAGTGCATTGGCCTCAATCTTCTACGTGGCCACGTCGATGACTCGTGATGACGTGGGAATTGAATTGCAGGATGGCTATGAAACGACCTTTCTGCCCTAAGGATTCAAGAAGAATTTCCCGGCAGACCCGCCAGCCCTGAAACCTGAGGCTTAGGGCTGGCGTTTGTAAAAAAAAACAGAAGGAGCATTGGACAAAATGAGGTGCAAAAAAACTGCTGTTGATGAGATCAGATGGGCTACGGTATGGTAGGGTTTGATATAGAGCAAGATTCAGTTGGCATTCCCCAAGACAGTTCACGTCGAAGTGCCTCCGGACCGAGGTAATGGATCATGCCAGGGATATTCACAGAGATGTCTTGGTGGGACTGATCAGTCATCCTGGCTTGCGGATACGCAAAGACCTTGCACGATATGCCTTGGCAGAGCATATCTTGAAGCTTGGCTATGCCAGGATGATGACATGCAGGGGATGGAACCACCATGAGCCCCCCTGGCCGCTTGTAAATTTAGACAAGAAAAGATCAATTGTCAATGACAATCAACATAATCAACAATCCACTGCATTGACAGTTTTTAATAATGAGACATTTTGTACCAGTAGTACCGCACAAGGCGGTGGCGGAAGTTTCAGAATAGGAAACCTATAGGAGACGTTGGTTGTTGTGAATCACGGATGGCAGAGCGAATCCACTGATTGACCGAAAGGTGGTTGGAGTTGTGTTGCTGGAATGGTTGCAATGGTTGCAGTGGTCACCTCACCCACAACTGCTGGATGTAGTGTGATGTACTGCAACTGTAGTTGTTGTAGTTGTAGTTGTAGTTGTAGTAGTTGTTGTTGTTGTAGTAGTTGTTGTTGTAGTAGTTGTAGCTGTAGTTGTTGTGTGGTTGTAGTCGTTGTGTAGTGTAGTAGTAGTAGTAGTTGTAGTAGTAGTAGTAGTAGTAGTCGTAGTTGTTGTTGTTGTTGCTGTTGTAGTAGTAGTAGTAGTAGTTGTTGTTGTTGTTGTTGTTGTTGTTGTTGTAGCTGTTGTTGTTGTTGTTGTTGTTGTAGCTGTAGTTGTTGTAGTTGTAGTTCTAGTTGTAGTTGTTGTGTAGTCGTAGTTGTAGTTGTAGTAGTAGTAGTTGTTGTTGCTGTTGTTGTTGTTGCTGTTGTTGTTGTAGTTGTTGTAGTTGTAGTTCTAGTTGTAGTTGTAGTTGTTGTGTAGTTGTAGTTGTAGTTGTAGTTGTTGTAGTTGTAGTTGTTGTGGTTGTTGTTGTTGTTGTTGTTGTTGTCGTTGTTGTTGTTGTTGCTGTTGCTGTTGCTGTTGTCGTCGAAGTTAGGGTAGTTAAGTTAGTCAAGTTAGTTAAGTTAAGCAGTGTCTACTTTTTCGACATCTTCACGTCAAAAAAGGCTCAAAACCCTCAGTTTTTTACACTTTAGACTTGGAAATGTGCTTCGTGCCACAACGGCGTGCACTTTTTCGACGCTTTTTCGACATCTGAACCTCCAAAAGTGGTCCGAGACCGTCAGTTTTTAACACTTTAGACTTGGAAATGTGCTTCGCGCCACAACGGCGTGCACTTTTTCGACATCTCAACTTCCAAAAGTGGTCCGACCATGGTGTGTTTTGTACATTTTGACTTCAAAATGTGCTTCGCGCCACAACGGCGTGCACTTTTTCGACATCGGAACTTCCAAAAGTGGTCCGACCATGGTGTGTTTTGCACATTTTGACTTCAAAATGTGCTTCGCGCCACAACGGCGTGCACTTTTTCGACATCTCAACTTCCAAAAGTGGTCCGATCCTCTAGTGTTTTGTCCATTTTGACTTCAAAATGTGTTTCGCGCCACAACGGCGTGCACTTTTTCATGTCTCATCTGGCCAGCTGGCTCCGCACCCGCCGCTTTAGCGAGCCTACTTTTCGACCCTCCGGAGCCACAAATCATTGGAAAAACAGTGAATCGCGACTTTCCTATCTTTTCGCGCATCTACCTCTTCTTTCTTCTGATCTTTTCTCTTCTGACTCTTTTCACCTCTGCTTTTCAACTGTCCATATTGTCGGAAGTTTCACTTCTAAACTTCCTTCGATCATTTTGTTGGAATGGCATCCCTCCCAGTTCTTTCCTGTGTCCAGACTGAAATGAGAAGATATACAGCTACGTGTGTGCTTGGATTCTGGAGTGTAGGCGGAGATGATTCGAGGACCTTACTGATATGCGGTTGTTGTGTTTGGTCATCCGGAGATCAACATGAGACAATATGAGATCTCTAGACATATTCCCCGTGTCTAGCCTAGAGCTAACAAGTGGATTCCACAAACAAAATCCCACATGCATGTTTTCATTTTTTCGATAGTTTGTCAACTCAAACAGCATTCGCCACGATTTCCCATGGTTAAATCACCAGGCCACCAGGGCTCCACCCAGGAAAAACGTCAGCGACGGCGGCAGGGCCAAGAGGCCGCGTCGCTCCGACACCCCAGAGGTGTCGGTGGGGTCTCCGGGGTCTCCGTCAGATGCATTGGACTTTGGCGCCAAGCTCTTTTTAACGCTGCCGGAGTGGAACATCACCGAGAACGATATCAAAATGATCCGAGAGAGGGGCTTGGTACCTGATAACTTGAGACTTGGACCGATCTAGAAATCTAGATCTAAAAATTTTAGTGGAAATATGACAGTGATTTCCCAAAAGGCGGGGGCTGCTTGGAAATCGGAACTGATGATTCCACCCAAGGATTGTGGATTGGTTTCTGCATCCTTTGCGAAAATATTTCGTCAACGATGCTTGGACCTTCTCGGCGCCACCTGGTCACGGCTACATAGCCTTCTGATCCTTCTGGGTAGTGTGGCAGTGGACATCTGCCATGTTCCATCAAGGAAAAACATCGAAATATGGGCCTCGTACGAACTCACTATATTCATCGGCCTCGCGCATGGTCATGGATAGTCTGGGGTCTAATTTGACAGTGGCAGAATGTTGCAGAATATCCAGATACTGTAAGTCCCAGATCGCCAGGGCCATAAATGTTTAACTAATTTTAACATATTTTAACTACATATGTTGGCTCTTAGCCATATCATCAACCTAACCTATTCTGACCTATACAGTTGTTGCGAGAGCCATCAGGATCATCGGTCTCAGCCATCCATAGGAAGATGGGTCAAGCACCACTGGAACCATATTTGTGGAGGATGAACGTCCATGAACACCAGCTGTTTGCTCGCGTTTTTTTTCAATGTGAACTTCATGCAACATGGCACATCATATCATCAATATTCATCAATATTCTAGATCCACCAGATATCACCAGATGTGATCAGCTACAGTACATATCATCCACCTATGTAAAGATGCTGTCCATAAGGTATTCTGCCAGTCCTTGTACAGGTTCACCAGATATCATCATGATGATGAGGATATCATCATTAAAAACACGACCATCCACCTTCTTTGACGGTTGTCCCTACTCCTACGGCTGATTCCTTCTGTTTCGTTTAACCATAATTTTCATTCATTTGTCATGGCCACAAACACCAGCCTCGGTGATGTTCCTCTTGTTTTTAGTGGCAGCACCTGTAAGAGGCCGGGCGTTTATGCACTTTTTTCTTCCCTTGTTTTTTTTCTCCCTGCTCTTCCATGTTTCTTGCTGTCTATCTTGCATTGGGGGGGTGGGTTGGGAGGTGGGCTGCGGCGATAACGTCCTGGCACTTGCACACTTACTTGATGCTAGGTCAGTTGAAGTTTCTTTCAACTTCGACATCAACTTCACGCCATGGTAAATATATACAGAATATAATTATATTATATTATATTACTTGATGCTACGTCATTAAGAACTTCCCTTGCGCTTCTACTACAACTTCATGCTAGTTCCTATGGGCATCACTTGGCCAACTGTGTCATAAAGTGCGCGACCGCAAAGTTTCATACGCCGAACTTGGGCCAAAAAAGATTGCGAAGTCCTTTTCTAGGGTTGCAAGAACACATAGTTCGGAGACCCTTACAGCACTTTTGTCATCTTTTTTGTGATGACAATTTTCAAATCCCAAAAGCGCACCATATTTTCAAAATCAACAAATGATGCTGGATGAACGTTGGACGTTGCGCCCAGCTTGGAGGCGCTAGGGGCACCTTGTTTCTCACATTTTCTCACCATCTTTTCTCGATTCTTCACTATGTTTCATTTTGTTGCACAATATATCACAATATTCCCTATTTGATCCTATTTGTTCATCATGTTTTCCCAATGCTGAAAACCATTTTTCAGCGTTTCCCCCTGGTTGTTTCATGTTTTTTCATCACTTTTCAGGACACCTTGGGCTTTGACATCACCATTTGCGACGGCGAGGTGGTCTCCACTGTGCCTGACTCCTGGCGCCGCTTGGGCAGCGAACGAATCGATCCACGGCCCACGCTACAAGCCACCAGTCGGATGCTCAGGTAAATATGCGTAGTATGAATATATATATATAATTATATATTTATATATATATATAACTGGTTGGTGGTTTGGAACATGTTTTTTCCATAATATATTGGGAATAATCATCCCAACTGACTAATATTTTTCGGAGCTCTGGCTCAGGACACCTTCCAGTTTGGTTGAGCTGTTCCGACTAGGATCCTGAGGGTAGTTTTCGACGGGTGCCATGGTAGGACTGACTGATTGGAAGCTGGTACAGGTTGGACAAAGGGTCAGTGCTGTAGTAAATTTGGTGTGTGGTGACCTTCAAGGGGTTGGATCATGTCACCTTTGCCAGTCAGTTGACCGACAGGCAGCAAAGCTTTGGGTTAGAGGCTCCATGCCACAGGGCTCCACCTTCTGTCTGCTGGACGTCCGGGTGTCTGCTGTCAATCCGGTGGTCTTGGACTTAGATGGTCAATCGTCTGTCGTGCCTGTCCCTGCATGCCGTCTGAGTGCAGTTCCCAAGGTGGTGGAATTATGTTCTGGATTAGGTGCCTTCACGAGTGTCCTCCCACGGGTGTCCATGACAGCAGCGGCTGGGGTTGCTCCCTGTACTTCATGGGGCTGATGCACTGTTTGTCCATGGGGATATTAATGCCACTGAAAAGTTGGTTGCCAGGGGTCTTTTCCATTGTGTTGTTGCAGCGGGAGTGCGCTGTCAGCCTTTCAGCAGAATGGGGATGCCAAGGGCATGAACGACTGCCGATCTCAGTCCCTCCCAAAGGCGCGACCAGTTGGATTTTGCAGGCGGTCATGATAGTCCTAGAGTGTGTCCCTGGGGTTATGCAAGATGCTGGTTTCCAAGGGGTCCTGAAGCAGTTTTCATTGCAGACAGGGTACCGGCTTAGCCAAATCGTTTTGCACTTGCATGACAGTTGGTGCAGCAGGCGTGACCGATGGATTGGAGTTTTGGTGGCCCGAGTCATGACGCCATTGCACACCCTCCCATGCCCAAGCTGGATGTCCGTGACCTGTTTGCAGTGTTTCCAGTTTTGCCCCCAGAAGATCAGAAGCAGGTTGCCCTTAACTTGTACGAGTTGAGTAAGTACCATGCCTACGCGACAGGGGGGATCAGTCGGCAGTATGTGGATTTGGACTCTCAAGCTGCCACCTTGTTGCACTCTCTTGGGAACCAAATGTATCACTGTGCTTGTGGTTGTCGCCCTCCTTTGAGTGAAGAACGCCTCAAACAAAGAGGCCTTGTTGGAGAGGTTTGATCCGACTGGGGACTTTTCAGGTGCACTGTAATGTGGAGATGGAGCACTGTCGCTATTGGCATCCTGATGAAATGTGGGCGTTGCTTGGGGGGAAGCCGGGCGTGGACTTTGGGCCCAATCTCCGAGTACAGCCATCCAGTTGCATCCGAAGCCACTGATAGTGGGGTAGAGCCAACAGCCCCGGAGCCCAACTCCGGTGTCACGATCAGGTTTGAAAGTTTGGGGGTCGAACACACGGTCGCTTTTCAAGACGGTGCCAAGTTCGCCAATTGGTACAGGCTGAGGCTGAGGTGGGTGGTTTTGGGGAGGATTTGACTGTTTCTCTCGCTGGGGTGGGTATGGATTTGGGCTTGCCCCTCCAGCAGGGGATTTTACCCTGAGAGAACCCTTGCCAGGGACCGAGGTAACAGACTGGAATGTCTATACAGTCACAACACGGCGTGCCTTGGATCAAGAGCGCCACCAGGATTTTGGCCAGGCAGAGCCCTATCTGGGGGGATGATGAACTCCTTGCAGGACTCCTCCGCATCTCAAAGCGCGCTGGTGCTGATCAGTTTGTGATGTTTGGAACCCTTTGTTGATTTCGAGCTTGGTGGTGGACAGCCAGACTCGCATATGGGTTGACTTGCTGGGGCGTTTGGGGTCAGTGGCTACTGTCATTTCAGCGTTTGCAATTGACAACCATTGATATCGGCTGGTTTGGGGTTTGGACTCTGAGTCAACGAAGCTTTTCACTTGTGGAGTGCCAGAAGCCCAGTATGCTGCTTTTCAGTTCTTGAATAGCTTTGTCGGAGTTCATCGCTCTGGCGCTCAACAGCCTTGGAAAAGCACTCCGTTGGGGTTTTGTCCTACTGGGCACTGTGGGGCTTTGGCTTTGTTGTTTGTGCGCCACCTGCTGTGGGGAGAACCTTTAGTCTACATGCAAGCCCAGGTCGAAGCAGCTGCAGAAAGCTCTAGTGTAGACTTTGGCACTGAGTTGCCTTCAGCATGCCATAGGCCACGACTGGCAGCACTTGGACTTGACCCCTCTGGACTTCTTGGGGATTTGCTGCAGAAACATGGGGTCGGGGCTGATGAGGTTAGTGACAGGGTGGCTCTGATCAGACGGGAACTTGGTGATGACACTATTGCCAAGGTTGTGCTGACTGGCAATCCATGGCAGGAGTTGAAGTGGCATGCCAACCATTTGCATCCGCCATTGACGCTCATCAAGCCCTCAGAGCTGCAGAAGACAATTGACCAAAGAGCTGATCGACCAGTAGGAGCCAAGAAGCACAAGCAGGCCAAAGGCAAGGGGAAGGGAAAGCATGCTTTGTCAGCCGTGTTGGACCCTACCATGCTGCGACTTGAGGGCGGGGTTTTTCAGAGCCAGCAGGGCCAAGCACTTGCACAGGTGGCATTGACCGGGTTGGCCGTGGGGGTCTCAGGGGTCGTCCTAACCATCCAAGCTGTTGCCAAACAATATTTGCAAGCTGGAAAGACTTTGTCCACAGGGGCCCTGGGATTTCTTTTGTTGGATGATTCTCCTTCGGCAGCGTCTGGTTTCCCACCTGTCAGTGTGCGTGTCCCTTTGGTCTGTGCGGCAATCTCAGAGCCACTGTTGGTTGATGCGTGTTTGGTGCAGATGGGTGCAATCATGGTTGAGCGTGCTCCTGCGACGGTTGAGTTTTCGGTGCAGTCGGTTCCTGCCTGTGTTGTCAAGGCAATGGTCTACCGAGATCTGACGGCGTGCAATTGGCAAGAAGTCGTGGCGCACCCTTTACGTCACATCTTCGACCATGTCCCTCCTTTGCAGCAGGTGTGTCCAGACCATGAATGTCCTGGGTGTGAGTGTTGGCATCAGTCGGCACAGTACCCCATTGAAGGTCCTGTTGTTGAAGTTTGGAGTAAGCAATGGCTCAGGTTGAACTTTGTGGCATGCCCGCCGCACCAAGCGGAAGTCTTTGTCGTCAATTTGCGTATCCCTGTAGTGTTGCAGCACATTGTCCAGGAGTTCAGTGGTTTTGCTGGTATCTTTTTAGAGCCAAAGAGTGTGGACGGTAGGAGGCCTAGTGAATTGTACCAAGTCATCTGGTTTCCCAAAGCAGCATTGGATCAGCTCATGGTGCAACGGCAGACGATCCCAGAAGTCTGCGACACTGTGAGGCTGGGCCATAAGCTGGGCTTGAGGTGCAAGACTGAACATGCAGCTGCCGTTTTTGCAAAGATAAAACCAGGCATGACCTTTTTGCCAGCAGGGAAGAAACAGTCTTGGCTTGTCGGGCCATTTCCGTGGGTCGGTTTTGTGTCTGGTCAGTCCCGTCGTTTCCGCATCCGCCATTCCACGGGTGAGGCTATCCAGCCGGTGTGTGGACTTCCTGAGGGATGTGCAATGTCTGTCTTTGGTATGGTCAACATCGATTGGATGCTGGAGGTTTGGCTTCAGCAATTGTCACCACCGCCTGCCCTTCAGGCATTCATCGATGATTGGAGTGTCACTTTTGCAGCCTATCGGAATTTTGCACTCATTTGGGCTTCAGTCCAAGATTTCACTAACTGCTTGGACCTTAAGTTGGACTTGCGCAAGACAAAGCTTTGGAGCACAGCACCTGAAGCTAGGCGCCACTTCAGGGAAGGTACTCCTGAGGTTGCCTGTGTTGCCAGGATTTTGGGGGCTCACCAGAATTACACCCGCCATGCTTGGAATGCAGTCATGCAACTCAGACTCCAGGCGCTCCCCGGGGTCTGGACGAAATTGCGTGCCAGCTTGGCACCATATAAGGCAAAGCACATAGCAATTCGCATGATGGGGTGGCCACAAGCTTTTCATGCATGCTCAGTGGAACACAGCGGAAGGGGGCCAACCCGTTCCTTCACATGATCCTCACCAATCTCATGGGGGATCCGGAGGCGTGGGTGATAGCACAAACCATTAGGCATGCCAGGGAGCTCGGAGGCACAGAGAGGGTTGAGAGTTTCCTGGCCTTGTATGCAAATGCTGCAGATGAACCCTCTGCCAATGGGCCCACAGCCATATTAGTGTCACTGGGTTGGGCCGTGGGTGGGAATGGCTTGATCCAAGACAGCCTGGACAGTTTCAGCCTCATGCACACCGGGTGGGATGAAGTGTACTTGCGTCTTAGTCTGGGTTGGGGCCATGTCCTTAAGGGCAGGAACTTGGGCACCGTCGGACCTTGGATGGAATTGATCAGATGGACTTGTTTGAGTTGCAGCGAGCGTTGAGCAGGTTTGGTGACTTGGATTTGGCGCTGCTGCGCTGTCACCTAGATGGCACCCTCTACACACAAAACGGAAGAGCCAAGTTTAGACCGGGGGTGGCTGACAAGTGCCCATGGTGCTCCGAGAAAGATGGGTTTTACCACCGGGCTTGGACTTGTGCCCATTTTGAAGGTTGTCGGAGTCACATGACAGTCCAGCAGCGTGCTCTTGTGCCTTCCTTGCCAGCGTGGCCAGTCCAATTGCCAGAGTGGAAGGTCTTGTCCGCGATCTTTCTCCGTCCTGAGTTTGCATGTCAGCAGGCACCGGTTCGTCCAGCAGTCAGCGGGGGGAAGGTTGTTGACGTTTTTGTGAATGGCACAGCCGCTTGGCCTAAGGAACCTAAACTGAGGTATGCAGCATGGGCCGTTACTTGTGCAACAGGAGGACCAGGAACACTGCTGCACGAAGCTCTGCTGGCAGGTCATGTCGCTGGGTTGATACAAACAGCGTTTCGAGCAGAGCTTACTGCAGTGGTGGAGGCAGTACGATGGGCAAAGGGACGCAATTTGAGCGTTCGAATCTGGTCAGACTGCCTTGCAGTCAGCGGTGAAAGGGTTTCAGCGATTGCAACGGGGTTTGCAGGTCAAAATCAACCGTTCCCATTCTGACGGTTGCAGATGCAGGAACTCCTGAAGGAGTGCGGGGCAGGACAGGTGTGACTGATCAAGGTGGTTTCTCATACAAAATGTTACCCACGCAACTGATCCCTTGGAAGCCTGGGTTTACTGGCACAATCAGACGCTCGCCATCGTTTTGGGTGGCACACAAGGGTTTGGCTGATGCACCATTTTTTCACCGGCAGTTGCATTTGGCAATTTTGCAAGTTCATTTGAAAACAGTTCGAAAGGCAATCCAGGATCAGACTATAGTGACTATCTCAAAGGTTCCACGCACACAGGTGGTTGAGGAAGTTGTTCGTGTGGCGCAAGTGCCGGAGACATGGGCTCTGCCGGAAAAGATGTTTGCCCGACACGGCAAAAGCAATGTTGAAGAAGTGCACAATTGGTGGAGTGCCATCGGGTCACAGGTCATGGGTGGCACTGGCAATTTGAGCTGCGTGGCAGGTCTTCAGTTGTTTCTGGACTTTTATCTAACTACTCAGCATCAGGGGCCATGGGTTTTCAAAAAGCGATGGTATGATGCGGAACAACACGTTCCAGTAGGTGGCAGACTGCCGTGGGGTGGGCGGGTGAAAGCTTTTTTGATGCTTTTCAAGGTTTACATGCGTCATCAGAAAGTCTCAGTTGTTTCCAAAATGACCCATCCATCCAGCAGTGCAATATCCAAGTGGCTAGTGTGCTACAAGTTGCGATATTCAGGTGACAGGCTCCAACAATTGGACGATGTCATCTTTCGCATTGCAGGCAAGCAGCTGGCTACTGCTGCCGAAATGGCGGCCTTCGACCCTCTCAGTGAGGGATAGCGCGCAACATGGAGAAGAAGGGCGGCGGGGTCGTTTGCACAGCACCGGCGCTGACCGATAAACAGTGATAAACAGTAATAAACAGTAATATTTTTCAGAGGGGTTGAAACCACCTACCAGTATATTATTATTGGTATAATATGATATCATTGATAATTGATATATATATATATATATTGATATAATTACGTATATACTATCATATATTGTATATTACTAGCGCTAGCGTTAAGTCGTATCAGCTTGTAAAAGTCCCATCGGGAGGCCGTGCGCCTGGAAAAAGTTCAAGTTTGGCATCACCACAACTTTTAGTAATTGAACGATTTCATTGTTTTGGGGCCGTGCGCCTGGAAATAGTTCAATTTTTGTATTGCGTTGATTTTTAAAACTTATATTTGATGATTCAAGCTGCTGCTAACTGCTGCTAACTGCTGCTTGCTGCTGCTTGTTGCTGCTTTACCTGCAGCTTGCTGCTGCTTGCTGCTGCTTGCTGCTCACATGCTGCTCACCTGCTGCTCACCTGCTGCTCACCTGCTGCTTGCCTGCTGTTGCTGCTCCTTGCTGCTCCCTGCTGCTCCCTGCTGCTCCCTGCTGCTGCTTGCTGCTGCTTGCTGCTGCTTGCTGCTGCTTGCTGCTGCTTGGCTACTCTAAACTAAATCTCCAAGTATAGATGAAACAGGCTGTGCCATGGTGATTTTTCTTCCCTGATGTGACTTTCCACTACCTGATGTGACTTTTCTGTATCGCCGCCGTGCCATGGGGATGATGTGACTTTTCCCGCCTGATGTGACTTAATTAAGTACGGTGCTTCTAGTATAAGTGTGATGTTGTGTTATTAATGTTGTTGATTGTTGTTGTTATTTTTTTCCTATTGTCTTATCTTTCTTATTTTTCCTACTATTAGTGCTTTGCGGTGCATTTGCGGGGTCAATTCTCACCCCGTTTGACCCCTAGGTCGGCATTGTGTCACCCGAATGCTTGACCTTCCCAACAACGAGCCGCCTGTTTGTGCCTTGGTGCACCCACTCCAGTGTGGGAGATCCAAACAGTGGGTCTTCGTTGGAGGTTCCCAAATTGTGGGTTCTCACGAAATCACTCTTTCCAGAACCTAGGTTTCGTTGCCACGGACTATGGTGTGCCAGATCTTCCATTGAGTTTGGCCTGTCATTTGAAGTTGGACGAGAGGATTGGCCGGCCGGCTGCGAATCTCTTGGAAGGCTGCAGCTTGCGTCTTCACACTTCCAAGGGTGCCATGGAAGCAGGGATCTGGGGATCTTGAAATACGTATGGAAGATGACGGGGCGGCCGTATTTGGCTTGTTCATTTTCAGATGGGCTAAGGGACGAATGTGCAAAGTGTTGAAGCGATTTAAGTTGCAAGATGTTGCAGGCCCTTTTGGCACTACATGTTTTCTTTCCATTTCCAATTGCTTGGCTGATGAAAGAAGAGGAACCCCCCATGTTTCGCACCCACTGGTTAAAGGGTCCCAAACCTATTCCAGAATATGGGCATCGGTCAATGTACTCAGTACTCACGAGAAGGACCGGATTATTATATTCATGATGTCCAAAATCACTGGTTTCCACTTCAGTTCTTGGACCACAGCCTTTTTTTGTCTGAAAATAGGGTATCCCATCGGATTGGGAAAAACCAATCCCCAAACTGGCGATATTTTGGGATATGATTTGATCATCATCCTGGAATGGCCATGAGTTGGATGTAAATCCCACATGTTCCATCACTTTCCCTGGAATTTGCCTGGTCCTTGCTGAGGCACAAGTAGCGATGCCACCATCTTTCGGCATGCCGTGATGGGTCAGGGTGGTAAGGACAGGGCAAGATGTCGCATCAAGAAATCATCAACCAACTAGGGGGCAATGATACAAAATTACACCAGATTCATTTTACCTTTGGCAATTCAACATGCCATAATATAAAACCCATCCATATATATATATATATAGATAGATAGATAGATAGATAGAGAGAAAGAGAGAGAGGGAGAGAGAGAGAAAGTTATGTGTTTTTCCCCTATATTTCCCAGGCAAAACATGTTTTTTTTTCACGTTATTCCGCGCAAAAAAAAGGGAGATTTCCCTCAACCCCGCAGGATCTGGTGCTGGGCCATGTGGACGCACCGCGCAACGGACACGTCTTCGTGGTGCTCAAAGTGCCGCGCTGCTGGGGCATTGGATCCTACACGCGGACCACGCGGACGTCCATCATGGAAGACTACCATGCTGCCTATGAGTGAGAAGCGGTCAGTTACCCTATGTTACCCTACTGAAAATCGACCGTGGCAATGGACAATCCACATGAAAACTGGAGGTTGTTCATGGGAGTATTATCTCTAAATGGTGGATTTTCCATTGTCATGTTGGAGTACTGGAGGGTACACCCGGAAAATGATCTAAGAATGGCGGATCCATATCTGACTTGACTGGCTGGAGGCTAAATGATGAAATGAAGAGGACAATGTGAGAACAAGACAGATGATGATACCTTATTTCTAATGACATATCATGAGTGAAAGAATATCTGAACTAAGTGAAACTATGGTAGTTCAATGGATAAGTAGTAATGATAGTAGTGATAGTGATGGTTATTAACGATCAATCATTTTTAATGTTCATACCATTCCCGATGGTACTGTCATTCCATGGGGGCGATATACACATTTTATATCATTTTATATATTGTATATCTATACACACTTAAATGCACGTAACAATACGAACGCACGCGAATTGTGATGCTACATACATCCTAGTGATCTAATGGAAGTAGTGGTCCAGTTGTTTCTATCCACACTATGAGCCAAGGACATCTAGAGCTGTTTCGCAGGGTCACTGTTGTCAAGAGATGTCTTGGGCACAGGAATTGGTATTGGAGTAGGTCTGTTTTGTCCTCTCTTTCCATGGGAGTTTGCATTAATTTGCCTTCATGAAAGTGTAGAGGAAGGCTTCAATTAATTTGCAGTTTTCTGCAACAATTCGCGGCTCATTTTTTTGAGCCTTCGTCACAAGAGTCGCCGTTTTCTTAGCTTGCCGATCCCCTGTGAATCAGAGTTGTGTGAATGTGGCGTTTCACACGCAAAAAGGGAAGAGCACCACTGTTTGAATGCTGTCGTTGGGTCCGTGACTTGGGAGCAGATTGTTGTGAAAGAAATGATTGTTAAAGGAGGCATGGCACACTGGGGAATCAGCTCCTGTGCGAGTGAAAAGATGCCGGATGGATCGCAAATCTGTTAGGGCCTGGGCAGTCAGCTGGGGGTTTGCATCGCTAAAACCCAAACATTTCCACGCGGAGGCCTTCTGTTCCTTTTGGCCATCTATGCACTTTGCTGTGACCGTGAGATGCTGCGCAGCACTTTGGTCAGCAACCTTTCGGAGGTGCGAAGGGATTTTTTTTGGGCCCACTGCCGTGTGGCACTCCGTTGTTATCACTGCCAGGTCTTGAATAGCGAATGGATCTTTACCTCAATTGCATTCCTGTGACGCGGCAATTTGGGAGGTGGGCCTGTGTGATACCCTAAACCTATTTTATGATTGGAAAAAAGGTAAAAATTGGAAAAAAGGTAGCTACTTCACCTTGGAATCCTGTTTCGCAGATCTTGGATGATGGATTGGCGCCCGAACCATCCTATGTTTAGGATACATTTGATGATGGTCATAGTGATCCACCTCCACATGGGAGAGTATAATAACCCGGCACCTATCCGTTTAGTATGCCATGATCCCCCATTAGCTATATGTAGTTCTCACTCGAGAAAACGATAAGAGGAAAAAAAACGATAACGATGCTCATACATATACATTATATATTGTTTATGGGACATGTTCGAAGCAGCAAGCTTTGCAGGCAAGCTTTTCCCCGAAAAACAGATGTGAAGCTGGTGGTTGTAAGGTGATATCCCACAAAGAAAACACAATATGAATTGTTTCATGAGGGTGTGAAGCCAGCACTTGGAAAAACGATAAGAGGGAAAAAAAACGATAACGCGTGGAAACACCATTTGTTTGATATCGGGGTTTTTAGACAGCCCCACATGTCACATGTGGTTACTACCTGGCACTGCGCCGTTTTGTTCTCTCAAGCATGTCAGTTGTTCGGCTCGGGCCATGACAGATTGATTGCTTAGAATTAGAAGTGTTGAGAAAACATTGAATCTTAGGACTCTACATCATCACTGTTTTGTCACGTAGCTTTGAATAACGGACTCCTAAAGCTGCACGATGTGCTTTCAACAGACGAGGTTGGTGAGCAACATCATGAAGTCGGAGTTTCTTCCATCCATGGCTGCACCAATTCAAGAGCTTGGCACCTTGACATTGACTTGAGTTGGGGCAAGGGCAGGTGTTTTGGATGGTGATACCTTGTGAACATTGAGAAGCATTGAGTCCAAAATGGAAAGGAGCGATGCAACAGGGTCTTCAGTCCCAAATTTATTGCCTGGTTTGAGCAAAACCGTGTTTTTCCAACAAAGCCTTTGGTATTCTTGGTACCTGGTGTTTTTCGCCAAAAGCTTCGATTCCAGCCTGGCGGGTGTGTCTATGTTGGCATCTCCAACATATCCAAGGCTTATGCGGTTTGATCATGAAGACGGCTGGACTCCAATGGTTTGTTCTGAGATGGGGAGGAGGCGAGGCGGCCAAATTTTGGCCATGCATTTTGGGAGAATCGTAGGGACTTGAGTCATATACAGATTGTGGTGATGTACGTGCTGGTGCTTAGCAGGGAATGTTTAGCACCAGCTTACTGGTGCTAAACGCAGGGAATTTTCGGGAAGGATCCCAGTCATCACTGGTAATAATCATCCCAGCAACCCCCAGCAACCCATCCATTCCCTACGTAAAACGCACCAGTAAGTTCACCAGTGGATCGCTGGCGATTCCCCAGGCAATTTTCATGATGTGCAGACGACCTTCCTGGGATTACTGGCGCTCGGGGTCAACTGGAGCCCAGTTGAGGATCATTCCCAGTTGTGGCACTGCAGTACCGTAATAAGGAGGTACTCTTGAGAACCATAGTATCAGAGCCAAAATTTATACATGTATCATCATTTATCATCATTCATTTATCATATCTACGTTATCTATATCTATCTACACATACATATACACACACACACATATATATATATATATATTATATGTTTATGTAAGGTATATATATATGGATGATTCTATATTAGTGGACTTAAAAATCAGGATTATGAACCACTTGCTAACTGGGATGATCCCCAAGTTTTATGGTTCCGATGGACTTGCGATGTAGTTGTATGTGATCGTTTTTTTCTTCCAGGGTGACATCTCAGTTTCAAGCGTTGAGGCATTTGATGAGATGAACACAAAACATTGCAATTTTGTTGGTTCTAGTGCCCTCTATGCACATTATGCATCCGGAACCTCGAATTCAAAATTGCCATCCATTGTTATCCTGTGTTTTTTACCTTAACTGTCCACATTTTCCTGGCACTTCCACATGGAATCCACGACCTGGCAGATCTGGTTCCCAGGTTTGCTTCGCTGAGCATTTGGCCAGCCAGCCGCTAGTACCATGGCGATATCTGAGTGAAGCGTAGTGTCTCTGCCATGCTCAGCCGATGTAGGTTTGTGACTGAGACAAAACTGAAACTGGAATGACATGATATGTTTCGGCTTTAAAGATTGATAGACAAAAAAAGGGCTACTTTTCACCTGCGCCATTTTTGCTAGGGAACCTAGGCAGGTGTTTGTGACCTTCAGCCAAGCATTGATTTTGTGGGACGTTCTACACAGTTTTGACATGCATCAGAACCAAGACCATGGAAATCAGAAGAGACATCCACAGCAGCCACAGCTGAGCGACCACAGGAACCGCTACAAAAGACGAAAACTGCGACACTTGCACAGGCAGGGGTTTGAAATTGGGAGGATGATCCTGCAATTGGCTCACATTTTGGAAGGGATAACACCACCAAACCTATCAATCTTCCTGATGAATGAGTTGGCCACTCGTCAGCCATAGGAAATTTGATTCAATGTGTAAGTGGGGGGTATTGGAAGAGGAACGGTGCTTCGTTTCAGGTTGCCTTTGATTCCCTCTTATTGCATCTGGGGACCTCCCACACAGCAAGCCACTGCAAAGGCCCCGAAAAAGCCGCTGCCACCAGTGGCTGGATCAAAAGTGGTACGTCCCAGTGCCGTTCCCAAGGTAAAGAGACTTGATTGCAGAGAAGGAACAGACACAAAAATCACCTGGTATTGCTGGCATATGATCTTGCAATTGGTTGGGGAGTGGTTTTGCAACTGCTTTTAGGCTTATCGGGGGGAGATTGAATTGTTGGAAACAATGGCAGCCGTTGTGGTCCGGTGAGAAACTTACTTCAACCAACAAATGCATCCTTGCATGAGGTGTTAGAAATACGGGATGCCCAAACATGGCCATCAAAAATCAGTTTGAGTTGAGAAACAAAATGTCACAAACTTTTTGTGGCTCCAGCCCGGAACTCAGGACCCTGGCACGGCCACCGCGACCCCCAGCACGTGCCAAGGCAACTCCAGGCGGGTGATGTTTTCGTTGAGCTGAGACCTATATCATCCTATATCCCTTCCCCTTTTTCGGCCCGTTTTCGTCCCATGTTTTCAGCCCAAATGAACCATCCCATGGCCAACCCCCGGTCAGCAACGGCGAGGTCGCAAAGCAAGCGACATGAGTGAGATCTCCACGACCGCGCCATCAACACCGCGGAGCTCAGGCCGATGTTTCAGGGATCCTGGTCCTGGGAGGGAGGGGACTAGGCTGGCACCCCTTTTGGCGCTGTTGAAAAAATATCATGGGGATATTGGGGCATAATTGAATGGACTATCATGAAGCATGAATGTACCTCTTGGATCCTTTTGGTAATCAAAGATGTCTCGAAAATCCCTCATTTACTTCGACATTGATAGGGGATTTCCCAGGTACTGTATGCTATGTTTGATTACGGAAGGGTATATGCTGTATGTAATCAAAATTATACCCTCGTTAAGATTACGTTAAGATTTGGACGGAGGTTCCAACAAAATGTGATGTTTTGCTACTACAATGGTACCCCGAACGCGAAAAAGGCTCAGGGATGACATTGGACTTTTGATGTCATCGCTTTGTTTTCTTTTTCTGGCAACCCAGGTTTTACTGAGTTATATGGAGGTCTTAAAACCTCTAGATTGCGACCCTGTACAGTCGCATGCGCCTAACTGCTCACCACTTAGGAAGTCTTTGTGGAGCATCATTTTGCCCGGAGACCAGCTGCTTTTGTCATGATAAAACTTTGTTAGGAGAATCAAGGTGGCCTCCTGGCATGGCAGATCCGGCAGTTTGATGGGACATGATGGGACCGCTGGAGGTCGGGCTGTGCCTGTCACCATTTTACAACCACGACCTCGCTCTGCTGCCACGTTTGCTCCGAGTGATTTTGAAGTCGTGTCACTTGGATTGCTGTGTCAAAGGTCACGCAGAGGGCTGAGGAATCAAACGTGAAAATCAAGAAATAGCCGACATTTATCCACATTTTATATCATTGATCATTTCATAATTTCATCATATATTATATCATACCACTATTATGCCACATGTTTTTGTGATTTCCTTAACATCAATCTTCACCACTGAGTCTCCTTTTCGATAGGTTATGGTACATGGCTGGCTTTCCAAATGGCCAGGTCGAAGGGCTCGAGAAGAATCCAGCAGCAGTAGTGCGGAGCTTGATGGCTTGTTTAGTTGGATGATTTACCTGGAAAAAAACAGATTTTCCATAGCTATGTTTAGTTGCCAGACGTGAGGCCAGTGGGTTACAAATGTTACAGTTGGAGATACCCTCTGGTAATTTAACATAGCTATTGAAAATGGCCATTAATAGTGGATTTTCCCATAAAAAATGGTGATTTTCCATTGCTATGTTAGTTTACCAGAGGGTAGTTGGTAAGACTGGTAAGTTCACTGTGGCCACTCTTGCTGAGAGCCAGCCACTCCTGCATCGCCGAGGCAGTGAGTTGTCAAGTGGCTGGACCAGCGACAGTGAGTAGCGGCCACCTGTCCCATGCGGCGAAGAAAAAGGTCGCAGCGCCGCATGGAAAGCACCATGACCCACCCCCAAGGGTCAAGCGTGATGATGATCCTGATCAGTTTCCTGAGGATTTGTCCAAAAATGGGGTATATCATGGTATATCCCAAATGATCCACTTGTCGATGATCATGTTTCACACTGAAATTGCAATTTTGAGAACTTTTGAGAGGTGTTTGATGTTCAGACACGGAAATATCGTACAATCTTGCTGTCTCAACCATATTTTCAAGATGAGATCCCCATAGATCCCCAATTTCTATATCATGCTTATTGAATGAGCTGACAACACCAAGCGGTTTATTCGTGTCATTTGGTGGCTTAAATAGTGTGATTTTTCCGTTAATTATTTGTTGGTGAAATATCCAGTTGGTGCTTGGATGGATTTTAAGCCACCAAGAAACTGAGGCTTGCACCTTCTGCGAAGCGGGGCGGTTCATTGGGGCCTTGTCCTTGCGGGTTCTTGCCCAATTCTGGGAAGGTTGTGCAGCTTCTGTTGAAGTTGGTCTGTGCGTATATATAGATAATATAATATATATATATATGTATATGTATGTATATATGTATATAGTACTATATAGTATATATAGTGTTATATATATATATGTATAGTTATATATATTTTTCAAGATTGCGAAGAACTTGGGATTCTCCATCCAAAACCATCCAATTTGGCTGCTTCGAGGCCACAGGTTCTTCGCTCGCCACTGAATGTGAAGCCTGTCCGGCTGGAAGGGCGCCTTGGTCGAAATTGAGGAGATGGTCATGTCCATATGTCCATTCATGTCCATTCATGTTCCTATAAATGAGGATTCCCCAATGATGGTGGGATGACCATAATCCACATGCTGCTCATCCAGGTCTGTGGAATTATCGCAGGAGCAAGGTGAAATACTCGGAAGGTTTGTTGCTTCTGGCAGACGAAAAATTGCAATGGTACTATGGTGATAAACTGCAACACACACAGAGAGAGATTGGTTGGTTTTGGCTGATCAGACTCTACCATGTTCACATGATCATATGGCTATGGATCAATACCTATACATACCATTTTTAGTGGGATGAACATCCATTTACTAGCTATTTTGATGTTCACCAGGGGTACAAGGTTTTGACACACTGCCATATCATCCAAAGATCATCCAAGAATCTCCACAATTGCCCAACATTCATCCCAAAATCACCCAGCAGTCATCCAACAGTCATGCCAATTTTCTCCGCAAAATCATCCCAACAAAAATATCCAACATAATCCTCCATAAATAAGTGTGTTTTACCGTTATTATCCATAACTTATCGCATCTTACTATGATTATGAGCCATATAATTATCATTATCATTACCTACATAGTAAGTTAACACAATTATAGCCATAATAGATGCCATAGATGCCATAATCCACAATTATCCAACAATTCAACCATTCACCACGTATTCACCATTCAGATGTCGTTTGGGGTCCGTACCGCGAAAAGAGCGCCGAGTCCTCCACCTCGGGATCGGGAAGCTGTACGGACTGTCGCTTTGACGGCGCCCGTACGGTGGGTCGGCGTTGCGGGAATTTGACAAAACATGTTGATTTCAAAAAAAAACGCGATGGAGAGAGACAGAAATGGTATGAGGGATTGAATGATAAACTAGATTGTAACTAGATGATGCTTGGATGTGTGAAAATGGGGGATACCCCCCTCAAAAGTGGCTGATGAACTGATGCACCATTGGGTTTTGGGGTACCCCATGTACAATCGGTGACACACCACTTATTGGTGTCAAATTTGGGATACCAAGAATGGCTGGGATATTTGGGCCACGAGATTGACTGCAACCTTGCTGGACTGACTGGGGTGGTTGAAGGAAAAATCCGCAGGATACCTTTGATTTAACCAACGGTTTCCTTAACCGCCGGGATGATAAACCCACAAAGTTCTGGCCATGCTGCAGAAGCGGTTTGAAGGGGACGGTTGTTATATCCCTACCAAAGGTGGAACTCCAGTTTACCCCTAAAGATGACTAATTACATAGATCGAATTAGAATTGTCCAGTTTTGGTATGAAACCATCCAATTTGGTGAGTATCTAATTTTTAGCCTTCTCATTTCGATGTCGATGTGGCAGATCCAGCCAAAAAAACATCGAAACCGGCTGGCAATAATGGATATGGTTGGCAGTCCCAAAGGGTTGATCCTGAAAATTTGAATCACCAAACCTGATGAAGATAGGAGGATGATGTACACTTGCTTGGAAACGGTCACTTAATGTCACTTAGAAATGATATGTAGTCATACCGTCATACCCCAGGTTCACTTCTTGACTCATTCTACGATTTGGCATGCAAACAATTAATGGCAATTTTGCTATTCAACCTGACTTTCCCTTGCTCAAATTCCTTGATCTGGTTAAATCCATTGGTGCCCCATTTTCGGTCACCATATCAACCTAGATTTCCTGATCTTTGATTAATGAAACCCTTAGTTTTTGATGGTGAAATCAATTGTTTGCTGGTCACATCCAGTTTTTAATCGTTCAATCCGATTGTCAGACGGTGACATCCGAAGTTCTGATGGTAAAATCCCATTGTTTGATTGCTAAGTCCATTTTTCTTTGATGCTTAGACCATTTTGTTGATATGTTTTGATGATTATCCTCTGGTAATTTAACTATATATAGCTATTGAAAATGGCACACAGAAATAGTTGATTTACCCAGTTCGCTATGTTAGTTTACCAGAGGGTAAGTCATCCAGTTTCAAACCTATCGCTGTCGAAAAATTATGACGTCGCCACGAAAAATGCCACGTTTTTTCATCGCCCTTAGGCCCTGTCGGGACCAATGCCGTGTCGGAGGGTGCCTTGGTTCGCTTGGTTGTGATGGCCTTGAACCTGGCACGGCAAAGCAGATGCCATATTAAAATATTCAGTCGATGAATCAATCAATAAACCTGGTTGGTGGTTTGGAATATTTTTGATGTTCCATAAAAAAAAAATCGAATAATCCTTCCCATTGGCTAATATTGGCTAATGTTTTTTTTTCCCTCTCAGAGGGGTTGATAAACCACCAACCAGAACAAACTGATATGTTTAATGGTTATTGATTGATTTATGATTGAATTATTCATCAATAACCCGATTAATATTAATTATATATATATATATATGTTTAATGATGGGTTAATCATGGTTAATCGACTGAATATGGCATCTAATATAGATCAAGTATAGATCTATCATAATCTATTGGTTCATCCTATCTCTACATGTTTCTGCGCACATGTACCATCTCCCAGGCCAGTCGGCCTGTACCGAGTGCCCCGCCACCAACGAGACGGGCTCCATCGGCTGTTGCCCTGGGAACTCAGAGCAATGGCCGTTGAGCCGTGGCTTCTCGTTGGGGGCCCAGTGTTGGACTATCAGAAGCTATAGGTGATTTGGCCCCTATCTAATATATATATATAGATATATAGATATATATAGATGATATAGATGATATAGATGATATAGATGATATAGATGATATAGATGATATATATATATATATAGATGATATAGATGATATAGATGATATAGATTATATAGATATAGATGATATAGATGATATAGATGATATAGATGATATAGATGATATAGATGACATAGAGGATATAGATGATATAGATGATATAGATGATATAGATGATATAGATGATATAGATGATATAGATGATATAGATGATATAGATGATACAGATGATATAGATGGGATTGTAGTCTCAACAAACTCCGTTTGCACCCCCCTGAGAATGATAGTTACAAGAACATGTTACAACTCTGTTCGTATAGATATTTTGTGAGGAGGAAGGGTTGAAAACCATTTGAAATATAGGGGTTAGGCGTGGGCGTGCCTTTATGATAGTTACAAGGACATGTTACAACTCTGTTCGTATAGATATTTTGTGAGGAGCGATCAGAGTATTGCCAATATCAAGGTTTGTTTCACGATTGCTGACGCAGCCAGAAGAAACTTGGGGAAATATGAGGAAATATGAGTTGTTTGTCGCCAGATCCACTTGTGAAGTGCGGCCACTGGGTCATCCGCCCATTGGATGCGCGGGTAGCAATCAATCTACAATGATGATATTTCTGGCCCTTGCCCATATCTTGCAATGTGCCAGGATGAGCTTACCCCCTGGCAAAAGTGCCAGTGTGATGCATGTGCTGAGCAATTGTCAGGCGCCCACCTGGTTGGGATCTATCAAGGCATCGAAAATGCGAAAAAAACTAGAAAACTGGGATGATTTCGGCAATGGCACATGATTTTTAGACGGTGTGTGAAGGTATCAACCAGACATACATGAAACACATGGTGCAGGATGAAAACGCCAACGTTTTTTCCCTGAGGCTGAGCAGGGGGGTTTTGGTACCACTTGGAAACTTATCCCAGCACCTCACTGAAGAGTTCCCGGGAAGCCGTGTTTTTTGATTCAGGGTGGGCCTGATCAGATGTGATGATTTCAGATGTTTCTTTTCTTTTCCATCCTGATTGCGGAGGATTCACCTGCCAATTCGCTCAGATTTTGGGATGGGTTGAAGCCGGAAACCAGAGATGATTCCCACTTTCGACAAACCGGGGTCTCCCGGCGCAGGACAAGGTAGATCCTTTGGCCACTCTGCCTCAGAGCGGCTGGATTTGGGCGGGGATGTGTGAAGATTCCAGTTGCCAGAATTGGATGAACATGGTAAAAGCCAAGGCATATGTTGTCTTCAACGAAGCCATTTCCTATATTTTACATGATTTTACTGTTAGTAATGAATTTGTGGCGACATGTTTAAAAAGGTCCAGGCTGTAAAGGTAGTGCTGCTGTTGGTTCTGTTTCATGGTTCTGTAAGTGGCATTGAATGACTTTATATAGAGTTCAGCTGCTTGACATTGTTGCGGCCATACACCACAACCAGGATGATATTTGAGTAGTGATGAGGAAGAAGAAGAAGAAGAAGTACAGGATGAGTTTGGTGATTTTGATGTTTGTGATGATTTCGATATATTTTGATGATGATGATGATGGTGGTGGTGGTGGTGCTGAGGATTTGTGATATTGCTCTTCTTTTTCTTTGTTTGCTTCTTCTTGTTGCTGCAGCTACTCCTGATTGATTGATGTTACTGCTACAAGGTCTAGCCGGGTGACAATGTTGCCCGCAAAGAATCCCTTCACACCTCAGCCGTGCCTCAAAAAACGAAAAAAATGGCAGTCGCCAATAGATTTTTTAATCAAGTTTTTTGGTAATAAAGAAAAAACTTAACCATTCCGAATAAGCCTTTTCTTGGATTTGCTGAAGCTGGTGTATTCTTTTCCCATCCGCTATTTACCAATTTGGGGAATCTAGTGGGAATATATATATATATATGTACATATACATATGGATAGACATTTATCATGTATATATAATATATGTACATCATTTATATATTTATATATAGGTATCACATATTTCTTTTATTATAACAATGATAGCAATGAACAATAACAAACACACACATATATATATATACAACCCACACCCACACACATATATATATATATAATTATAGATAGATAGATAGATATATATATATAATATAATATAGAAACTAGTATAAATACAACACTTATGACCCCAAAAGAACACGAAACTTTTAGCAACTCAAAGTGATGCTTAGCTCCGCCGCCGCTGAGTCTGCAGAGCTGGCGGAGCTGGTCATCAGCGACGAGCGACACTTCGAAGCGAATCCCTTGAGCTTGGCGACGATTCGCCCTGCAGGCGAAACATCTGTCTGGGTATAACGACCGAGCCCTGGAACCGAGCCCTGGAATCATGGTTACCCTCTGGTAAACTAACATAGCTATTGAAAATGGCCATTTATAGTGAGTTTTCCCCATTAAATATGGTGATTTTCCATAGCTATGTTAAATTACCAGAGGGTAATGAGGGAAATTATCCCCAAATGACCTTAATTCAGGTGAGTGAAATACTATAATTTACCCAGATCTGTGAATTTTGATGGGACAATATGGGGAAAATATGATACAAAACCATGGAAATTCCTGGAAAAGATGGGAAGATCATCCATAAAATCCACTTTACATAGGGGGTGTTGATGGGAAAATCATCGGCTGGAGTACTTGATCTATATATTGAACATTTATTGAAAAATATGACTCAACCACTGGGGAGATCAGGAGATCAAGGGTCGCATGGTTCATCCAAGAAAAATGGGATGATGACCCCGCGTTTGGCTAACAGAATTTTCAGGGATGTCCATAAACAGTGTAACAGTCATTACCAGTATCGAACACCTATTGAAAAAAATAGGGAGGTCACCCACAGTCATCAGGGTATTTGAAACTATGAGTTGGGAGCCCGACCATCAAAGGCGTCAAAGGGCAAGTGGCTATGAGAAGGTTGGACGAGAGGAAAGTTCTCGCTGCAGCCGTCGAACTTTCAAACCCAGGCACTCCAAGGGTGCAGACTATGGACCCACAGCAGGGTGATCGGAAAACTGCCAGAGAGCGATTCCCAAGAACTTTTTTCCCGAAGTACCCAAATGCAACAGCCAAAACCTGCTAGAAACATGGTGTTGATGAACAAGATTGAGTTTTTCCATATTCTTCCCCATCCAATTTAGCTGACTTTTTCCCCTATGAGCTTTGCGGGCCCAACCCCTGCCCCCCAAGAAAGGCCGTGATTTTACCACCAGTCACATCTGCATTGCAGCATGTTTGCGCCGAATAGCTATGTCACTCCCGGCAGTGGTGAAATGTGGACTCCATCGCAGGGATCAGGTTGGGCTGATGGGCCGGCATGATCCGGCATGTATATTTGTAGTGGTTTGTTGATATAGGGTTTATGTGTGATTTAATTATATGATGTTTATGTATATTCCTTTTAGTTTTTCACACAGGACAGGACATTCCAAGTACTGCCCTTCTGGGTCCTTTCTGTTGGAAAGTTGCTCTTGCAGCGAGGTTCGCTGTGGGGACAAGGCTGCGGCTTCAACCAAAGTGATTTGGTGGCAGTGGTGCTGGAAGGACAGTTTAGCACTGCATCACTTCGCTGTTTTTTCATTGCTTTTTCACTTAGTGATTTTGAAAAAAGCTGTTGCTTACCATATATCCTCCCACCAGAAAGGTACCGGGATAAACTTAAAAATAAACAATCCCCGAAACTACAGTACATGATACTACCAAAAAGTGGTGGTAAATTTCATCCCCAAACGATAGTTTGGGTAGTTGCTTGTTTTTTTATGGCATTGGCTTTACCATATTGGAATGATTTACTTATGAGCTTGCGCTGTCCGCACAAGGCTTGGATGGCGCGGATATGAGCGGAGGGAACTGCATGGGTACTGGCTACGGTGATGGCAGCATCTGGGCAAAAAACGTTGCGATCCGAAGCACAACCCTCCTGGTCTTGGACCCGGCCCCATTCATTTTTGGAACTTACATGGGGGATCCATGATCATCGGGGAATATATTATAAACTATTTAATCTTAGGGAGATGGGATTCTATATATATATAAAAAGATTAATAATATATGCCAGGGGGAAGTGAATTGGACAAATGGATTGCAAACTACAGGATCCTAGATGATCCTAGACAATCCTCTACAGGATCCTAAAATATCGTGGGATAAAGTATTGACCTGTTGGTACGGAGAAGAATCGAGGGCGTCTCATCAGCGGAGGCTCCATGTGGGGTGGAGGCTGTGGTGCCTCTGATGGTGCTTTGGCGAGAGAGAATGCAGAAGGCAACTGGCAATTTCAAGTTGCTAAGGTATTGGCAATCATCGGCACAATATCACCAATAGATACCAATAGCGAATTGATTTCTCTAGCGTCTGACAATTCAAGATACTGTAGCTATAGAGTAGGTGAATCATCTTTAAACGGGTCACGTTCACCCATTTTCCATAGCTATGTCAAATTACTAGAGGTCAATGCAAGAATAATCCATATTCAGTGTTCCTTTTGGCCTAGAATTTAGTGAAGAAGCCTGGCATATTTTTTGTCAGTTTTGATGCTTTGAATGCTGAACTGCCGATCAGGGGAACACTTCGAAGTTCTGCCTAGCAGTCGGTGTGAATTCAACTTGAAGTTATATAAATGAGCGGACAATCCGGTAGGGAACCTTGAAACATGTGCCTGTTGGATGTAGCTGATGTAGCAGTTTCATGGTGTTTTTGTAGATTTTCCTTCACGAGAATCCCTACATTTTGCCAGCATCACGAGGGTGTTCGTGGCCGAATGCATTCCAATTTGTAAGAAACATGTCCTAGTGACAGTGGCTTAGGTTATTGGGGTGGCAATGGCTGCTATGCAGGCACTGCCTACGGCAGCGGTAGCAACTCGGACCATCGTCAACCCTGTGATTCGCATCGTGCCACGGACACTCATAGAAGATATGGTCACGAGAATGGATAGTTCCAATTATGTTTACTAATACCCATAGGATCCATGTATGCTATATATGGTAACATTTACCATCCATATACCCCAAATGTTAGCATATATACCATACATGGATCCTATGGGATAATATACTATTAATACCCTACTAAACCAAGGTTTCTTTGGGGGGATGGGATTGATCCCAAACACCTAAGGCTCCCTGTGGACTGGAACTGGCTGTGGCAGCGACGGTGACTGGTTGGCAGTGCCAGGAAGGGTCATGGCGAAATGGGGTTCACCATCCAATTGGTGGGTGTCTACGGTTATTTGATTATATGAGATGTTATGAGTAATTCCGAGCCATTCCCGAATGGTTCGTACCCTTGGCACATGTGCGTCGCCTAGAACTCTTAGTTGCGTGGGATTCTTCTTTAATTTGTTTGTTTTACTTCCTAGTTTGCGTCCTCAGTGCATCAACTTCATAGAACTGTGCCAGGTGGCAATCTTCACGGTGTCAATGGCAGCTTTGGGGGATGCCAAGTCAACAGCTATGACGTCTACAGTGAAAGAAGCAACTAGCCAGAGCAGTGTGGCTGTGATTGGCTCTGGGCAGGGTTTGTTAGACCAGTAAATCTGATAACGACAGCAGTAATAGGTTGCTTTTTCATGTTTTTTTTCCAGAGAAGAATTGAACTGAACTGAAGAGACTTTCATTGTGATGCCTTGCCTGGGACACAAACAGATCAAACACTTCGAGGTGAGGCGCAGCCTGGAACTGGTGCCTCTGGCAGTGTTTTGGCGAAGAATTGTTTTTTTTTTGGGGGGGCATTCTTGGAATCCAAAATGGTTGTAAGTCAAAACCCGTGGGTACCCTATGGTACCCTAAAAATCCCGGAAATAGCTGGTTAATCGATATCTATTCCCCCAGTCATACCATGTCATACCTACATCCTCATGGTCTGCCTTTCTTGGGCGTCTCGTGAAAATGCAATAATTTTGGCTGCTTCAGGAAATTTAAGTTGTTTCAGGAAAAAAAATCGTTTCGTGGAAGTATGCTCTTGATTCACCCTCATAGGAACAGGATGTAGAACATGCTGACTGCCACGCAATTTATTTGACAACACTTTGTTGCACTCTCAGAGTTCAAGATCATTCTCCGGTTACTTAAAGCCAAACTATTCGAATGAGGCTTGTCCAAGGACCCATTGCCGGTACATAGGTTACTTTGGTTCTCCCAGGGCAATGGTTTACGCCCCTCAAAAAATAAAGGCGCTTCGACGGGAAAAGGCGCCTTTTTCGCTGGGAATAACCGTGTTTTCAATCTTTTTCATGTTTTTCAATATTACATTCATCTCATGAGACATTTGTTTCATTAATATAATGCTGGAACGTTCGTGCACAATCATTCCAGACACCCAATCAATCAAAACTAGATATTGGCAATACCAGGCAACACAAAAGGGTGCAAACGAAATCAGGTAGCACTCTCTGGAGCTCAGAAGGTCCGTTGGAACAATAAGACTCATGTAAACTGTCAATTTCTGAAGAATCAGTTCAAGCATCTTAAAGTGGAAAAGTGCTCGCAGCCGGAAAGAGTGCCGTTTCCAAAAAATATCACATAGGTCTGAAGGAGCAATATTTTTGCACGCTTTCGAGGTTCTGGGTATGGTAAATTCATAGGTTTGACCCATCCCCAAATGGTCCAGAGATTGAACTGTTCAGCGTTCGAGGCTGGCCTGGCGATGGCAGTTCTGGAAGTAACTTGGTGGCTTCCAGACTCCGATGGATTTTTATGGAATGTTTTATGGGTCCTAATGGGGTTTAATGGGATTTATGTAACGGGATTTACCCTCTGGTAAACTAACATAGCTATGGAAAATCACCATTTTTAATGGGTAAACCACTATAAATGGCCATTTTCAATAGCTATGTTAGTTTACCAGAGGGTAGTGGATTCAATGCGACTTGAGCTGAATTAACGTTCAACAATGGGGGAGAGAATTTGTTCAACGACTGCGCTTGGCGACGTCACTGGAATGATAGGAATTGGAACGAGGTAACTATCACTTAAAAGGCCTTAATTCAGGTTATAGTTCCAGTAGTGCCGCACAAGGCGGTGGCGGAAGTTTCAAAAATAGGAAACCTATAGGAGAGCTTGGTTGCTGTGAATCACGAATGGCAGAGCGGGTTCTTGCGTTTTTTTTTTTTTTTGCGGGGTTTTGCGGGTTTTCTCCCTGGTCGTTTGATGCGCTGCAAACATTTTTTGGCCTTTGTCCAAGCCCAAAATCACGCAATCAAAGTCCTAAAATCGAAGACCAAAGTAGTATCTAGGTGTTTTGGGTAAAATCAGTCGATATAGGTCAAATTCCGAAAACACCTGAATTTTTCTAGGATTTGGAGGGTCGAGGTAGCTATGGACATCGGCCCATTTATAGACGGTTTTCCTATAAAAATCGTGAGTTTCCATAGTATCATAGCCATGTTAGGTTACCAGAGGGATCCAGAGGGTGTATAAAAGTTTGGAGTTCTTGGTATTGTCGTCATTCTAGCATGGTAATTAGTACCAACCATTCCAAGAATTCACAATGAATCTGACCCTTTTGCCCGAGGCAGTTATGGCAACCAACGCTCCTGGGGTAAAAGTGGCAAAGTGGGCCATCGGCGCAAATTGACTCTTCCTTTCGACCATCCGATGAAAAAACATGAAGAAACATGGTCAGCAGAAGGTAAGGGCTCCAAAGATGGCAACTGGCAAGGTCCCTTGACGGCAAAGCCATGGTTTGCTAAGCCATGTGGAGCAATTGGAATCGGAACACTTTATTGCGAGGTTTTGTGAAATAGTATTTATTCAATTCAGTTTGAATATGTTTGAGTCCAAATCTAACGCCGGGAATGGCATTTGTTTTTGATTATATAATCTTGCTTAGCGCTCTTGCCCATTGTTGTTTGCAAGTGGATGCGCCGACGTTTCTCTTATCTCGGAATTTTGTCTGTGAAGGACTGCGCCCTACACAAAAACAGCCGGAACATGGTTTAGTAAGCACCTGGAAGTTGGTTTGATTCCAAACAAATACCTTTCAGCAGATTTCAGCAGGCTAGGAAATCCACTCACTAAATGTTTTTTTTTAATAGGAAAATCATCGAGTTTTCTTGCAAGCCATGTTTGATCAAACGGAGGGTACCTAAAATTGGATGGCATTGGGCCCTCTCAGATGCCCCCTTCTGAATCATGTTTTATGCCGTTCTAGGGATCAGACTCATCCTTTCTTGTGGCGATCCAACCTCGCTAAACTTGCATGGGGGTTTGGTCGCATTCCTCAACCACGACTGGGGTCCCGATGATACGTGTGATACCTTTGAGGTTCAGGCTATGTAATAGACGAAGCAGACGCGGTGAATGAAGGAGACGATGTCAATGCTGAAACTGGCCTCGGTGCTGACACTTGGGGGACTGCGACAGCCAGCGGAAGGAAAGGACGGCCCCAGGAAAACCCGGAGAACAAGACGCTTGGCTTCAAGTGAAGGCAAGGCGGTGTGAGACACGGATGGAAAATAATTGAATGGGATGAGGTGGGGTGAGATGGGGATGGGATGCGATGAGATGAGGACGGCATGGGGTGAGATGGGATGAGACTGGTTAAGGTGTGATGAGATGGGCTTGGGGTGGGATGAGATGGGACGAGATGGGACGATGCGGATTTTTTTTCTCCATGAATTTGCTCTTTTTGGGTGTTCCTGCTTTTGTGGCTTGACATTCTTAGAATCTTGATTGCTGAGGATGTAATCAAAAAGCACGGTAAAACGATGGTCTGAAGATGTCCTACAGTCCTACAGATGCCCATGCTGCTAGATTCTGCTCAGATTTCTGGGGCAGCACCATATGTAGCTAGCGCCAGCATCAGCAGCAGCATCACCAGCAGCAGCAGCAAGCAGGAGCAGCAGAACAACAACCACTACGACAACGACTACGACCACTAGTACAAATTGGATGTCTAAACTTTCCCTCATAAAGTCAACACCTTAATCAAACATAATCAAACAACATCAAACAACAACTATTGTCTATTTAAAAATCGATCAAATCCCTTGTTAAAATCTATTCAACACATTGCCAAAAATTAGATTTCGGGCCTTTCCCATAATAAACAAATCGTAACCTTCATTAGAATATAGCCATTTGTTTCCATTTCAAAGCGGATCAAACCCCTGATTAATATCTATTTAAGACATTGCCAAAAACTGCATTTGGGGTTTTCCCCCTAATAATGAAATTTGAATCACACACAATGAAATCACAACCTTCGTTAGAAAGGAACTGCATGCATGTATGTATTTAAAAAAAAAGGTATATGTAGGTATGGATGTACAGTGCATATATATATATATAATATATCTATATATACACATGGGTATACAGCGGCATGCGTGTATACATAGATGTATATGCATCCAACATGTATACTATTTCTACGGGTAAATAAGATTATATAGATATATTATATTATATATATATTATATATATTATGTGTGTGTGTCTCTCAGTGACATGTCAGTCAATTTATGTCCATTTTTTGGGGCGTATGCGCAGCTCGGTTGGAGCTCAGGAAATCGAACTCGGGTTTTGCGTGCTACGCCAAGTTTCTGGTGCCAGATCATGTTGCTGGCGCTTTGATCGGAGCCCTGGTAAGATGCGGACAAAACACGCGGGGTTGAGGGGGAGCCAAGCTGTTTTGTGTGAAGCCTAATGGGGAAACCTTGCAGGTCAGCACTGCATAAAATGGAACAAGACACTGGGAAAGATGTGCTTGACACTGCGGGAATGTATTACAAAATGCCACCATTAATGCCAACATCGGAGTAAACTGCAGTTCTGCCAAGCCCGGAGTCTTCGATCCGGTACCCCCCCAGAGCCAGGAAAGTCGGGCATTATGGTGGGAGAGATTGAATTGGTGTCAAAGTGTAGCCTGCAACTTTCAGGCCTGGCGTCAACCACTGCTGGTGAAAAATCATGATGGACAGATTTTTTTTGTGACCCATGCTAGGAGTCTAGCCTAGAAAGACCTTTCCAGTGGAATCTCGTGGTTTGGATGATTCTACATGGTTTTAGCTTTGTTCTATGCATGTTTCGGGTTAACTGTTTCATTATTGCCTGTCTACAGAGGTGACAACGAGTTGCGGTGATTTGCAGTGGGTGTTTCTGTCTCAGGTCCCAAGAAATATTTTCCCGGTACCGTCGAGCGAATTTGCATCGCCGCTGGGTTTTCACGGATTTTCACTGGCATGTTTTTGAACTCTCCTACGGCACACATTGATCCCATTGATTGATGTTTGTCATTTACCACCCGGTCCACCCCACAATCCCTGAGTTGGCCTCATTTTGCTGTTCAATGTCGACGTGTGATTACTAGCCACCCCTTTTCATTTTAGAGGAGTGTTCCCCGGCCTGGACCCCGGAAATGTGGGTATTTGGGACGGGTCCAACATGGTCCAACAAGAATTTAGTCCATTTCACCACCCCTTAGAGCACAAAAAACATGCAGAGTTGGCGTACTTATTCAGGGTTGGTCTACTAGTCCATCAAAAAGTTGGTGTACTTTACCTATGACCCGTATATTAACCACATCTTAACCTTACATGGACATCATGGACATATTGCCATGAGTAGAAGATGGTATCTTCATGGTGATTCATCCAATGGACCGTCCAAGGTTGGTGGGCAATGCGTCCAAGATTTGAACATTGCAATGATGAAAATCGTGACTCGCTGAAAAAAAAAACCAACTGATCAACTTTGGTCGGAAAATGGGATGCATTTGGATATGTCATGATATGTCCCCAAATGGCAATTTCAACGATAGTCATCATTAAGTGGAGGCACGGGGCACCCACCATCCAATGCCGTATTTTCAGAGACACCCGGTGGCTGCGCTTCTTGGGGTGCGAAGTATTGAGTTACCATCCCCCCCACTAGCATAGACCATGCTAAAATGGAGGTGTCCACTAAGACTTGAATATTTTCAGGGCACGTCAATTTACTGGAGAGTATGATCTCTTCAAATCGAACTGGAGACAATTCATTTATAAAATGGTTGCGATGTTGCACGCTAGACGCTAGAGCTTCTCCTGTCGACGTTTCAGGTCGATTTGTTCAAGAAGGTTCAGCAGATTCGCGGCAGCAGGATTTCATCGCATATATTTCAGGCATTCGATTGGATGATTGGAGGGAACGATGCATGCAGTTCTCCAGTAACAATATCTACATGGCTTCGATTGAAAAGAGCGCACCCGAAAATCTAAACGGTTTCTCATTATGGTTCCATTAGAGTTGCAACGTGTAGGGTATCCTCCAGTTCTTGGTAAAATTGCATAATGGTACACCCCTTCCAATATCTATACTGGTTGGTGGTTTGTTTTTTAATTTTTCCATATATTGGGAATAATCATCCCAAGTGATTTTCATATTTTTCAGAGGGGTTGAAACCACCAACCAGTATAGATATTGATTAGATATTATTGATATACTGTATTTATTTATTGTTTTGAACCCCATTGGTTCACAGGTAGGCCACCTGAGCTGGGCAGCCCAATTGCTGGGGTAATCTTGTTTCGGAAGAGTGGCAGGCACAGTGTGGAACCATAACATGATCGAATATGAAAAGCAAGGAACATATATTATTTGAACATATATTCAAGATGTTTAAATCATTGAATTACATGTTTACGATGTATAATACATATTGTATCAGCTTTCAGTTTCAGCGATCCACTCGGGTTGCTCTTGTGAAGGCAAATCCGCCCTCCTGGCATTGAGGAATACCAACGCCAAGAACACGGAAGTAGCGAAGTTAGTTGTGAAGTTTGTCATCCCAAAGTCTGCAGCGAGCATGATTCTGGGCCCCCGTGGAGCCACATGGCAAGCAAATGTAAAAAATGGTTGGGAAAAGCTTATATAGCAATAATTGGGCATTAAATACTTAAACAAACCTCGATCTTTTGCCTAATGATAGATAGGGTACATACAACTCAACTGATAACTAAATATGTTTGTCCTTCTTGGGGGGAGAGAATCGTAAGATTGGCTACCCACATTCCACAGACCGGGGCATCGATGGGCGAGCCAAGGCGACCATTCAGCAATTGACAAATGACACAGGCTGCCGGATCAACATGAGTCATCGAATCGATGGCTTTCAGGCTTGGAGCTGGGATTTGGGGACCAGAAATCGTCAGAGAGAGATGAGCTATGTATGTAATATTCATATGTAGCATTGAGATTTTTTTGAATATTTAACTCCCAAGAGCTTTGAGAGGTTAAGAGATTAGCAATTCCAGCCAGTGTGCGGCGATAGTCTGACTCTTTCACCTTATTAGCAGCATGTTTGCAATTGCGTGTATATATTTACATATGTGTGTGTGTATGTGTGTGTTCAATTTAGATACAGGCGTTCCAAGTTCCAAGGTCCATGAGTGAACCTGCAGGGCAAAACTTTAGCAAACCCTTTGGTTTGTTGCTGTGAATGGTGATTGATGGTTGCTTTCAAGAATATGATATTGCGACCCTCATGATGGATCCATATTGGGGAGATGGGATTAATTTCGAATGGACGATTGGATTTGAATAGTTTCAATCATCCATCAAAGTCTTGCCACCGAAGAATTTCGGCCATTGTTGCCATTGCTGCCTGTTATTCTTCAATGGTTACTTCAATATTTCCATATTTCCATACGTCATAAGTTCATGGTTTGCAAACAAATTCTTCAGATATCTTCCAATTGCCAGAAACCCTGACGCCCTACCCTAAAATAGCTCGTTAATAAATGTTGATTCCCCAAAAATTATGGTAAATTCATAGGTTTTGACCCATTCCAAAAGAACACACATATATATATAATATAAATAAATAAATAAATATATATATATATAAAAATATTATATATACACCAACTTCAAGAGCTTTAAGTTAATATGCCCAACAATATGCCCCAAAAAATCCTGATCTCATCCCCTTTTCCGATGCGAAACACAGCCATGGTCGGCGACATCTCGGCGCAGGAGCGCCTCATGGTGATCTGTGGCGAAGAGGCCGCGCTGCGGAAGGCGGCCAGCGAGATCCTCGAGAAAATCCAGCAGGATGCGCACCTGGAGGACCGGCAAACTGGTCGGCAAACGATGGGTTAAACGGTTAAACTCGTTGAGTTTTTTTTAAGAACAATGTTGGGGAGATGATTTTTTTGGGAGTGATCAACAAAGATTTTGGGGAAATAGAATGAAATAGATGTAATTATCCTGATGTACTGATTTGAGAATAGAACATGGATATCTATCTATCTATCTGTCTATCTATCTATCTGTCTATCTATCTATCTGTCTATCTATCTATCTATCTATCTATCTATCTTATCTTATCTTATCTTATCTTATCTTATCTTATTCTATCTATCTATCTATCTATCTATCTATCTATCTATCTATCTATCTATCTATCTATCTATCTATCTATCTTATCTATCTATCTATCTATCTATCTACCCTCTGGTAAACTAACATAGCTATGGAAAATCACCATTTTTAATGGGAAAATCAACTATTAATGGCCATTTTCAATAGCTACGTTAAATTACCAGAGGGTATCTATCTATCTATCTATCTATCTATCTATCAATCTATTTTATCTATCTATCTATCTATCTATCTATCTATCTATCTATCTATCTATCTATCTATCTAATCTATCTAATCTATCTAATCTATCTAATCTATCTAATCTATCTAATCTATCTAATCTATCTAATCTATCTAATCTATCTAATCTATCTTATCTATCTTATCTATCTTATCTATCTTATCTATCTTTTCTATCTTTTCTATCTAATCTATCTAATCTATCTAATCTATCTAATCTATCTAATCTATCTAATCTATCTAATCTATCTATCTATCTATCTATCTATCTATATGGATATATAGATATATACATAATTATATAATATACATTCTGCACGCAAAAATGTCCTTGAATATGTATGATCCTATATGTTTGAATCTGTTTTATTTTGATTCTGTTTATATATATATAGTTTATTGTGGGAAGACCTTTTCACCATCCAGCGAAAAGGTATGTTAAAGGTTGGCTTTTACTGGCTCCGTGCAGGAGCACATGACAATGACGTACACGCAAGAAGTGCCAATGGGTATCTGGACTGGAGAAGCTTGGAGACATTTTGCGCTGTCCGTGACATCAGATTTAATGCTGATGCCATGTGTACAAACTGCCAAACTGCATGCATACGTATATAATATACATACATATATATATATATGTCTATACATATACACACATAATAGATATCTCTAAAAATGAACTTAAAAAATTATGCGCGCATGTGCACATAGAATATGCAAATATATATATATATATATATAAATATGTTCACATGTCTATCTATCTATCAATCTAACAGTCTGTCTGTTTGTTTGTGTGTCTGTGTCTGCCTGCCTGCCTGTCTGTCTTCTATCTCCATCTATGTCTGTCGATTCTATATTCTATATCTATCTATATCAATTTATATCTATATATCTACAAATGTCTATCTACATCTATTAAATGGATATCTATAGCTGTCGATCTATATAGTTCTATCTCTCTTTTTTGTTGCTGCTGGGAGCTCTTTGATGTAATTCGCAGTGGCTCGGCAAAGTTCGTTTGAATTCAAATGTCTGCTATGCGACACTAGTTTTTGATTAGCCTGCAAAATCATGCCCAATGGTGCTACCATAGGTGTGCACCTGCATATATATATATATCTATCTATCTATCGATTTATATTTCTATATTTTCTCTTCTAGTCAAGTCCAATTTTATCTTATCTTTTCGTACTTATCTATCTAATCTAATCTAGTCTAATTCAATCTAACCTGATCTAATCTATGCTTCCATCCTATCTGTCAATCTATCTATCAATCAATCTATCTATCAATATATGAATATATATATATATATAATATATAATATCTTTCGATCTTATCTTACCTTATCTTGTCTTGTCTTCTCTAATCTAATCTAATCTAATCTAATGTAATCATCTAACCTTTCTAATCTATCTATATAATCTATCTAATCTATCTAATCTATCTAATCTATCTAAATCTCTCTAATCTATCTAATCTATCTAATCTTTCTATTCTATCTAATCTATCTATTCTATCTAATTTTATCAATTTTATCTATCTATCTATCTACCTACATCTACCTACATCTACCTACATCTACCTACCTACCTACCTACCTAACTAACTAACTAACTAACTAACTTATCTAACTTATCTAACTTATCTAACTTATCTAACTTATCTAACTTATCTATCTATCTGTCTGTCTGTCTATCTATCTAACTCATCTATCTAACTTATCTATCTAACTAATGAAAATTTATCTGTCTATCTATCTATCTATTTATCTGTCTGTCTATCTATCTATCTATCTGTCTGTCTGTCTGTCTGTCTGTCTTTTTTTGTCTCTCTCTCTCTCTCTCTCCCTCTCTCTGTATCGGCCGTTTTTTCTTAGCATGTGGCAGTATAAAACCAGAGATTTGCAACAGTTTTCGTACCGAACATTTTGGACCATATTTTGACGTGACAGTGAGGAAAGCAACGAACCAGCAGACCCAGAGTACCCTTTGATGCCACCGGAGGAGGCTCAGGCGACAAATCAAGTTCTTGGGGGTCTGGGATCAATGGTATTGTTTATCCTGTGCCTGTCATTCCAGTTTGATCGTTTGTATTCCCTACTTGAGATGCTTGATTTCATTGCGGTTTTTGTTTGTTGGGATACAGTTTCAACGCGTTTGCAACAAAAACATCTTGAGTTGCGGGTCTTGTACGCATACTTCCTGGAGGTTGGGTTGCCAAAGATTTCTTGGAAAAGTCATGAATGAAAGAATCACTTACGCTTTGGGCATACGTGTCATAGGAAATTGGGACATCATGAACAACACTAACTGCCAGAGAGTCTTCCGAAAGCTTTGTTGTGGAACTGCAAGGACCTGCTAAGCTGTCATCCTGCCCACAAATGACCCCATGTGAATGGCACATGAGCAGCCCTCAAAACTCATTCTTATTCCATGATAGTTCGCTTGCGCCGCATGCAGCCACTGCGACGATCGCGCCGCCAGACCAAAACCAAACGAGAACTCATCGATTATCTAAGTCGTGCCGCTCCACGAGATGTTTTGGTACCTTGGCTCGATTGGGGTGTCATGTTAGGGTGTCCTGGTTGATAGGGGGATACATGAGATGTCATAGGGATCATATGATGAAATATCATTGCATATGTCATATACCATTGTCATCATACATGCCTGGAACACCCCCAGGTGGTTCAATCATGCTCCCATTAAAACCCCCATGGCCTTCAGGGATGTCCCAGCTTTCCATAGTTGATCAGCGAAGTGTATCTATGGAAACTCATGGAAAATCACGGGGCACCACCATTTATGAAAGCAAATCTCCAAACTCAATGGCCCACGCTAGAGCAAACTGTTGAATTTCCAGCAAGGGAATTAGCGTCGTTACCCAGCAGTGAGATCATGGCATCTCCCAATTTTTGACCACAACTCCCTGTCCAAAGGGTCGCCAGCGTGAGGCAAGAATGAAATTGCTGGGTGATATCAAGAATGCCGTGAAGAGCACAGGGCAACCAGGTCTTCTCGCTGCCGTGCAGGTTGGGGGAAGAGTGCACTTTCGTGCACGGGGAATGAGGCTGCTCGATTGCTGTCGCGGGAGGTTAGTTCTTTTTATGTACCAAAATTATAAAAACATGATTGACGAAAATGGATGGTCATCGCCCCAAAATAATTTTATAGTAGCTAACCACCAAGATAGAACACTTGGAAACCTGGAAACAAATGGACATATCATCACCAGCATCATCAGCATCAGCATCATCATAATCATCATAATCATAATCATCATCATCATCATCATCATCATCATCATCATCATCATCATCATCATCATCTTTTTCTTCATCTATACCGTTCTGGAAAAATCGTTGCTTGTATGTGTTTGGCCACCCTTTTTGTAGGTGTTCATGTCCGCGCAGGACGTTTGGGTTTCTCGTGGCGGTCTTCAGCTTTGCTCGGAGCCCGTCGAGCTACTTGGCAACATCTCGCTGAGCCAGTTCACAGTTCCAATGAGGATATTCCTGGAATGTGATCCAGACACATTAATCATTCTATATTAATATTACAAAAATTTACATATGTTATCTATGTAAATTATCTACATATGCTGATAATAATCTATGTAATTCTTTGAATATGTATACAGAAAAAGCTGTACCAATATACGCATACAGCATACATGTATGTATTGTGTGTGTATAAAAAATGTCATATATGATAATATCAGATAAGACCATGGGATATCGTATGGTTCATCTAAATCTATTTCTACATGCTGCGTTTTTTTTTTCTCCGGTGCAGCACCAGGAGGCCAGAGCTGCCACCGCAACCGGCTGCAGATGGACAACCCCAACCGCTTCAGCCAGGTCTCTTGCAGGAGACCCGGCAGGCGATCAGAACGGGGAAGTCCATGGAAGTCCAGGTAGGCGATCATAGCTGGATGTTGCGAGGAAAAACATCATAAAATCATATTATATAATATTAATGACCCTCCTCTGTACTACCAGTTTTTTTTCCTGGGGGTTCAGTACGCTTTTTAAAAAGCACTATTTTCCAAAAATCTAGCAGACAGTGGGTGAGGGTCCCGGGGCATGATATGGGGCCAGGAAAAAAATATCATACCAAAAAAGGCCCAGAATTTTTTTCCTGAAAGCTTCCTGACGTACAGTGACAGGAAATCAATTTCTGTCTGTTGTGATTGAGGGGGGGTTGATCTACTAGTCTGTGTATGTAAGGCATCAGGAAATCAATCATGAATGACTCTGATAACGGGTAAGTTTGTAGAATTCCTAAGGTTAGTAGCCAGGAATTTGAAGGTGGATGGATCAAATGGGAGTTTACTAGAACATATCTAAATGTCAAACCCCAGGAAAAAATGTACCATGATTAATTGAGTGGGTATGATTTTTTAAATGACTTTGCAAAAGGGGTACAACCACATATGTTCACCTTCACCAACCAAAAAAGTGACTTCAAGAGGCAAAGGCGCAGGGGTCAAAAATCAAATCCAAGGGGCTGGACCTTTTTTGACTGAATACTTGCGGATGATTTCACAGGTTGGCCCACAGGAAAAAAGTCGCGTCACCAGGCCAATCATCCACTGATAGGACATGATGGGCCGAATTCAAGAATTTTGTGTCAACGCGCGCCCAAATTGCAAAACACATGTTTTTTTTGCTGAAAATACAGTTGTCCTTGCAAAAGGATACAGACACACATGTTCAGCTTCACCAACCAAAAAAGTGACTTGAAGAGGCCGAGGCGCAGGTGTCAAAAATAAAATCCAAGGGGCTGGACCTTTTTTTGGCCGAATTCTCGCGGATGATCTTCAAAGGCTGGCCCCACAGGAAAAAAATCGCATCACCAGGTCAACCATCCATAGATAGGAAATGTTGGGACAAATTGCAGAATTTTGTTCCAACGTGTGGCCAAATTGCAAAACAGGCGTTTTTTCCTGAAGATACATTTGTCCATGCAAAAGGGTTGCGCATTTTCCTGAATTCCTGTCCGTGGTTACCAAATTAACATAGTGACATAGATAATCTTGAACCATCTTGAGCCACGATGATGGATAATGCAGGTTATGATGTAGAATGTTTTTGGAGGCATGCAATGGCAATAATTTTAAGAAATCATGGGGCTCACCACGAATTTGCGACATGGCTGACTTGCTGGTGAATGCAGGGTTGCGCATTGCTGGCGAATGCATTTGTGAAGCCGTGGCATCCGAAAAAATGCGAGCTGACTCCCAGGGAAGTCAGGTAACAGGAATTCATTTTTTTCCGTATCAGATTGAGGGGGGGAAGATATGGCATGTTACCAACGCAAGCATCCAGGAAATAATTTTTTTACTTGGATACCAGAGGGGTAAATTTATTGGATGTTGGACGTTGGGCACCAGGAAATTAGCAAAGAAAATTCAAAAAGGTGGTTGGAAGTGAGATTTCGGCTTCAGAGGTTAGGAGCCAGGAATTTAAAGCTCTAAAACCTCTCTCAAAGGTTAGGGGTCATCATTTTAGACCGATTTTTTTCTAGGACTGTACCCCACGTTGGAGTACAGACGGGGATATTAATGAACAGCAGCAGCTAAGAACATCTAGTTGAACTATCAAAATTGATATCGGGATATCTCAGATTCGCGTAGATTAGCCATGAATTAAGGTATGTGTTTTGTTTCACATGGAACCAACGTTCAAATCTGTGAAAATTGATGATTTCACATCAGTTCTTCCTGGTGGTTTCGAAGATGTTTTGTTGATGTTCAATCCCCAGGATACCTTTTTCATCCTTTTTTCAACTGGGAAAATCATACAAAACAATTTAATACAATTTATATTTTATTCAATTTGATTTCATGTGCAAGATATTGCAATAACCAGACCCAGCAATCAGAGAAGTCTGAATTTCTCTCAGGACCAATCAGTGGACTTGGTCTTTGAGGATGAGAGCCCCAGCGACGACTCTGTCACCGATGTCGACGTCTACGTGGCTTCGGGTCTGGAGGTGGAAGAGGAGCGAGTGGAGGTCATGGAGACCGACGAGGTGAGATTTTGCGGATTTTGGTCATGAGTCCTTTTACCCTCTGGTAAACTAACATAGCTATGGAAAATCACCATTTTTAATGGGAAAACTCACTATAAATTGCAATTTTCAATAGCTATATGTTAAATTACCAGAGGGTATCTTGGAAAGAAAAGTAGAGAAATGAAGGCGTTTTTCCCGTTCATCCCTGCGTAGTGGAGAAAAATGAGATAGTAAATGGAAAATAGTACCATCTGGTTATTTACCATAGCCATGGGAAATCACCATTTCTAATAGGTAGACCATCTATAAATGGACCATTTTCCATGGCCATGTTAAATAACCAGAGGGTAATGGAAATACTGCTCAAAAGGCTCATTTCATGTGGCCCCTTGGTTACACCACCTTGAAGGATTTCTCCGATTGAACCTGATATGTTTCGATGCAAACACTTATGTTATGTTTGTCCCATTGATGACCAATTATAGTACCATACCATTATTTGGTATTAATCATTGTTCCTGAATGGATCATGGGTGCAAATTTCTAAATGTTATTTTAATATGTTATTTTTTTTTCTGAACCTTTGGTATTAATTAATCATTTCTGAATGGAACATGTCCTGTCTAAGGGTGCAAAAACCTCAAGAGTTTCATGGAAACCAAAACGATGCCCTGAGGTGAAGCATCACGATGGACCGGTGGCTGACTTCGTGCAGCAAGCAGAGCCTCTTGGCGATGCCCGAAATGGGGAGATCGGAGGGGAAATGGGTCTCCTTAAGCGAGCTAACTTGCCAAAAAATGGGGATTGAATCCGATTCAATGGGGATGTTCATTTGATGTTAATGGGGATTAAACATTGATGAGATTCAAGGGAGATTGAGTGTTAACTGGGAATATGGCGGGATATAACCAACAATAGATTTGGATTTAAGCATGACAAAAAGGGAAAAAAACACATCAACAACAGGGGTTATTATTGCTGGAAAAATCTAAATTCTGGGATTGATTTAGGCAAATGAATGTGAGATTGAGTGAAGATGAAGATGAATCGGACTAGTGTTTGAGGGTGCTCATGGACCAGGGAATTTTCCAGAACACTGGCATACAACTGCGGATGTACAGTATCCACTATAAACATAAACGCTAGTTAGGCTAGTAACAAACCACCAGATCTAGCAGGCTGGGACACAGATTGCCAAGCTGGGCCAAGCAGGCTGTTGCATCGGGCGTGGCCAAATTTTTCAGGGTTTCCACCTCTCCAAAAGCCGGTGAAGCAATGTCCCAGAGGCTGGACGCCTTAAGATGTGCTGATTATGGTTTATATATGGTTTATAGATGTTTATAGATGATTTTTCCATTGAAACCTCCATTGGTAGGGAGATGGTTTATAGAGGTTTTTACCGATTTTCCCATTCTACAACCGCCATAGTATAGGATAGTATACAGTAGGGAATTTTCCAGTTGCCACGCATGTCATGTATGATTACCAGAGGGTACCTGCAGCAGATGTACTACCAGTGCCTTGGATACAAAAAGGTACCATGATAGACTCGTGCATGCAATGCCGGTCTATTGACTTTGTCCACTTGTGAAAACAGTCTAAAGTCAGAGAAAACACACCATGGGACTCTTTGGTGACTTAATGTTGGACCCATTGATTTATTGGATTTGAATGGGTTTACCGTTTACCCTCTTGTAATCCAACATAGCTATTTAACCCAAACAAAATTATGGTTCTAGCTATGCAAACAAAGATGCCCTGACTGAGTTTTTTTCCTTTCGTCAAGCACCTGAATGATTTTATCTTATTATATAGCAGCTAAGAGACCTCATTGCCGATTGCCGATTGCCCTGATGTCGTTCATCAGCAATGTTGGCGACCATCCTGGTGGGTTTGCTGGTTATAAACCAATGTAGGTTGGAAATTACCATGGCATATCATGGCAACTGATCCGGATAAGTGACTACTGTTCACTGATTCACCTTTGCATGGAGGAAGACAAAGCGGGCAAACAGAATCCGTTGCCAATCCAAATCTAGGCCGTACAAAATCAGTCTCCCAAACTGACCATTGATGTTGCGGGGCACCCTGTTGGTGACAAGAGGCATATAACATCATATAACCAGTGTAACCAGTACTTACATGTGCATGCCTTATGTTCCTTGCAACCCCATCAATCCCCTTTTTGTAGGTCATTATATAGATGTCATTAGAAATCAATGGGAGCCTTTTTGGTCATCAAAGTTGTATTTAACATTCAATGATGGGTTTCCCAATCCTGTGGGTTATCATAATGATTTAGTCCCAACAGTTGGTAACCAATCAAGCAGGCTATAACTTCGACCCGTTGATCTTTAGCAACCCGCTTTCATCCGGACGAAAAACAAACACCAAGGAATCTGGCGTTGCAAAATTACGCCAAGATGCCGCCCATGGGACACAGACCACGAAGCGAGGCGCGCAGCCAGCAACCCTGGGGGATCCATGAAAGATACTGTTGATGGATTCATATAGGGGGTTCGTAACCTAACTGGCTTCTCAATTTCGGAAAATTGTTTAACCAACCAGTAGAATGGCACGGGATCGTTTTTATTGGCTCAACTGGCCAAAGCCAAGCGATGATGATGTTGATGCTATGGGAAGTCTTGCAAGGATTATGATTTGCCGCGGAGTTCACTTTGTTTTTGTTCTTTATGTTTTCTTTGGTGGGGCCTGGAACGAATGTCACAGGTATGGTCCTCTATTTGTTAGATCTCAGCAGACATGATAGTCATCTCATGGCCGACCAAGCCCCATCCACGGCTTATATGCTAAAGATAGCAGGTCAATCTGTTAGATTTTGAACTTTCCCATTTGCCATCTATAAATTAATGGACTGATTTCCAATTATCTCATTTTTCTTTCTGTGTAGAAATTCACTTTTTTCGAGCCAGTTGATGGCTTGGAGGAGACAAACGATGCATTTTCCATGATTGGGATACATTGGGATGATTCTCCGAGGTTCATGTGGCGATTTTGGGACGGATTGACACCGGACAACACCCATTTGTTCTGTGCATGTCCAATCGTGGTTTCATCCATTCCATCCTATGGCTGGTTCGTGGTTTGGAACATGACATTTATTTTTCCATATATTGGGAAATATTGGGAATAATATGGAATAATATTCCCAAGTGACTTTCATATTTTTCAGAGGGGTGGCTCAACCGCCAACCAGATGGTTTTGTTAAATGTTTTGAAGCCTCCAGGCTCCAAGAAGCTCCACGGCAGACGCGGAAGCGGAGCCACCGGAGCCACCGCAGTCGCAGCCGCTTCACGTGCTTGGAGTTGCGCTGCAGAAACTGGACGGAGATGAAGACAGATCCCCTGAGAATCGGAGCCAGGACCGCCCGGAAGGGTGCTGCTGGCAATGCTTGGCCAGGGGTCCAGGGGTCAGGCGATGTCAGAATGACTACAGTATATATACGTATTCCGGCTGTTCATGATTGCTCAATCCAAAGAGCTAAGCAATAATTAACCAAAGCTTGAAACCTGAAATGTTTTTGTTCGATGCAGATGGGCCTTGCTTCCAGTGGATTTCCAGTGGGCAGCCGCATCGCCAGGACCTAGGCCAACCCGAAGAAGAGCCACGTTGTGCGCACATTCTACCTGTGGGTCCAGTTGGCACCCCACTCCCTACTGCGCAATTCCCTGAAGATGAGGCGCGGGATTGGCGATGAATCTACCGTTTGACCCTCCGACGAGTACCCTTAAAAATGCTGTTTCACCCTAGAACTTGTGTACTTTTACCATTTTTTTGGAGCTATTTGGAGGGTCTAGGTATGAGATTTAATGATTTTTAGCCGTATATCATCATTCAGAGGTTTGTACGCAAATCCCCATAACTTCTCAATGGTATGTGCCTGTCCCACTTTTTCCCAAATCCCGGAGATAGGCACATACCCCGGAGAAGGGCACTTGACTCTGAACCCTGCAAATGTGCATTAAAAAGACCTGGTGCCCTTCTCAATGGTACGTGCCCGTCTTAGATGGTCACTTGTCTTGAGATAGTCCGCAAATGAGCGAGAACCCTCATCCAGCCCTTCGAATCATGGATTGTTGTCCTCTTGAAACTCACTCACCTTTGTTCGATATTGAAGATACCACCTTGTGCTGGCTGACGAATCCAGTGACCAACATATTCACAGTTTCTGCAGAGTTTTGGGACTTGGATTTGAGGCAAGGTGCACAGTGCAAGTACTAAACAAAAATCAGCACATAACATGTTCCTGCTGGAGATGGCGATGCACTGTGGACAAACTGTCGCCCCATTTGAGGCATTTGTGGTGTCCATGGAGTGTGCTTTGCATCCTGTCAAAGCCATCCAATATCATACAAGCACGAACGAAGAAAATCCGAGACTCCGGCTAGACCTATGCGGTACTTAGATACATAATTCTTCATAGTCCCCCCCTAATATTAGAAATCCCCCTCATCCCACGGTCCCAAATATGTGTTTTCATCCACGAAAAGCCATGGTTTCTGGGGGGGTTATATAGAAGGGACTGGGATGATTCTTCCTCTCAACTTCGCGGCTGCAGGTTGATGAGGAAGGTCTGTTGGAAACCTTCCAGATCTTTGTGAGTTTGTTCGCGAGCCTGGGTAGCATCAGTGGGGTGGGCGGCATGGCCTTTGAAGATCCCCAGTGGTGATGGCGAAACATCACCTGTAAAGCCCTGTGAAGCCCATAGAAATAGTGGATTTACCCATTAAACATGGTGATTTTCCAATATTTTCCATATGTTAGTTCCATAGTTATGTTAGTTTACCAGAGGGTAGTTGTCCTGTACTCGTATGACTTTGCTTTCCGCTTCCCGTTGCGTTGATCCATGAACCGCAATACGTCAGAGGATTTCATCGCACGTATTTTGATTGGGGATGTTTGATTGGTAACCATTGGGCCATGAGCTTGACAGTAACTGGTGCGTGGTCTAAACATGGTTCGACCCAAAGAAATATTGGATTCATGACAGTGATGTTTCATATAGAACAAACGAGGCAGCAATAATTCAATGGCCATTTCAGGATCCTAGATTGGAGGTACCTACCATATATAAGGCCTATGTAAGGCCTATGTAAGGGAATATCCCCAGAAAATATGACCTTATATGGTACAGTACCTCCATTTTAGGATCCTGAAATTCCCATTGAAGAATTATTTATGTTTGATGAAAAATGAACTTTTGGAGGGGCCAACCCTCAAACGGAGCTTTTTTGATGAGACGGAAGTTTTTGGATTTTGGATGGTTCCAGCAAATTGTGATGTTTTGAGTGGAATGGGATTCTCTCAATTCCACAGGTGTGGTTGTAGAATTTCAAGTTGCCTCGTTTTAAGGTAAAAAAAAAATAGTGCACCAAGAAGTAGTTTTGCCCTGTTGGAATGCTTTTTGTCAACTGACGGCAGAGGGGTGTTGGGCACATTGGGCACAACCACTTGTGAAGCCCTTATTTCCATACGAGGGTTGTTTTGGTACATATTGCCATTTGAGCACCTTCCACCTGCAGTCCATCCTTTCGTTGCCAATTTCTGGTTCATTTACTTTTCTGTTTGTAGTCAGAACATGCATATGCTTAGCTAAACATAGTTAAACCATGTGAAATCAGTTTGGGGCCACAGGCGTCCCAATGACCAAGTTGTCGTGGTCACTGGTCTGGTCACAGCAGATCATCCAAACATTGTTTATTCGTGAGCAAGTGAGCATAGTGTAGCCATGCTAGTGCCCAGCAAAGCTGGAAGATGCAATGGTGGCGGTGGCGGTCGTGGGATCACAGCACCTTATAGTTTGCTCAGACTGGTGGAAGCCCTGCTGCTGTCTAGACTTCTAAGCTCTGCAGCGCATGTGAAGGAGGAGGGGCTTGTGGGGGGGGCGAGGGTGCCAACATTTCTAACGGAAGACGGGTCATATTGTAGGTATGAATAAAGTGACAAATTAAGGGCATTAAATGCCTTTCTCCAGGTGGTGTTTCATGAACATTGCAGCTGCATGCAGGTTATCATTCGATCGATTCATTTTGCATTGGGAGCACAAGCAGCCGAGTACTTGGTCGGCATTCAGAAGGGTCGGGTTGATTCCATACCTGCCCGGTGAGGGCCTTGGGTGCAAGTCAAATTATAAGGTCCGGAACAAGATCCGGGACCACACCTGTTCCATACCCTCGTTCCATACCCCGTTCCATACCTGTTTGAAGGATCCGTGCCGTACCTCTGATCCATGCGTTATGATATATATATATATGTATGTATATTTATTTAATTATGTATTTAAATATATTTATGTTTGAACATGTGTACGCATATGCATGAGCACACATACATACATGGGTGCATACATGCAAGAATACGTTTACTATTCCCAAGCCCTGTGATTGTGTTGGCAAGTCTGTGCCTGCAGCACTTACAGCTGCTACCTACTTTGTTGTGTGATGGTAGGGATGTGCCTGGCTGCTGCCAGCTGGCAGTCTAAGAATGGATTGCTTGTAACCCTCCCTCCCTCTCAACCTGTGGCAGGTTGTCGCCTGCACCACTTACAGTTGCTGCCCGCTGTGGAACAGCTGTACAACAAGGATGTCGTGCAGATGAGAAGTGAAAATGAGCGGCAGCCAGCGTGAGTAGCTTCAACATGCATATCCTTGAGATGTATATTATATACGTTACACATTTATATATAGCATACATACATACATACATATATAATCATATATATATATATATTTGTTTATTTAAATATTTATTTATTTATGTATTTATAATATTAATTTATAGCCTATATTTCATCACACTCCAAAGGTCCGGAACAAGACCAGTTACGAAGCCCGTTCGTTCCATACGTCCGGAACACCGCGGAACGTTCCATACACAATTTTCACTCACAGTCATATGTCAGATAGAATGCCAGAAGGAAGGTCAGAAAGAATGTCAGAGTAATAGTATAATGTATAAGAAATATGTTTTGTTTTTTCTGATTAGTCAATCTCAGGGACGTTCGAGAGCGCCTTTCTCGTCCAGAAGAAGACACTGGTCTTCGGGTTCCTAGTGCGGCAACACTTAGCCGTGCTCGGATACGTCTAGACGTTCTCATGATGCAGTGGCGTGCTCAACGGTTCAAACTGGAACCAGCGTTCTTTATCTATCTATCAAGTGACTCTTCCCCACAAGGAGGCAGAGATTTTCTCATGAGTATTGAGGATTGCATATCCAGGCATCATGCATCCCTGTTCGTGAATAACAATCCACAAGCTCTCGCACGCTTGTCATTAGACCCTTGGGCTTGCGAAATGTGTTTTGTTCTTCAAGCATTTTATTGAACTCCATGTGGGTCTGCGATATTAACCTTGTGTACGTGTATTCCTGAAATCCGGACACTGTGACACATCCCATTCGTTTAGATCTTTGAACTTTATTCAAAAGTTTTCATATGTCATATGTCATTGGGTTTTGCTGGGGAAGGAGCCACCATCCCATTAATAGATTCATCAACAACGACGCCAGGAGAGCGCGCTGCGGACAGGAACCCTTCCGATCAGCATCATTGGCTCTGGCAATAGCAATGTCGGTGCAAAATTTGAAGGCCTACTTCAAAGCGCGACTTGTCAGTTGAACCATATATTTTTTGTTACCTAAAACTTTCTGGCCCTTCGTGATGTGTTTGATTTCTTTCCTCAGCCTCAGGGTGCGATTGATCAACGATCATTGATTAATGATCGATCATACTTACTCTGAGGTTATTTGCGACACCTTTGGAGATGCAGAAACACTGGAGAAATATTTTTCTGGCCTGCTGGGCTATTGCGCAGATTACGGGACGGAATGGAGTTTCACATCTGTATCATGGCAATACATTACGATCACTTAACTTTCCTTTTGGTTTTCTGGCACGGAAAAAACCATAGCAAATGTCTATTCAGCAGGAGATGCAAACCATCAGACACATTATGAGAAGAATCAAAGAAGGTTTTAGTACTCCTGGTAAGTATACCCCCCCACTCCCTATTCGAAATTAAAAGGGGGTAATAGCAAATTAGTGCCACCAAAAATCTGGGGATACCAGGGGAGTATGACTAACTTGGGAAGGTGGATTTATTATTTAGGGGGGAAAAGCCAACCTGATTGAGTTTAGTATTGCCCCAAAATTTGGGGACAGGGGCGCGATCCATGGGCAGCATTATTAACCCTGACTTGACCGGTAATTGTTTTAAAAAAAGACCACCGATCACCTAGAAGTTTTCTGAAGTCTCATTTCCCATTCATTTTTGACATTGACATATTGTAGCTTTTCATGCTTTCCACAAGACGAACAAACACAATGTCATCCCTGAACCTCAGGTACCTGACGTTGACTTGAAAGACATTCGACGTTGTAATGTGGCGGAGTCAAAGGGGCTTTTAAGCTGGGACTTTGAGAGATCATCGGGATCACGGTCACGGAGACTGCAGCTGAAGGATGATGATGATGATGATGACTGCGACACAATGCCGCAGGAGATTACCCTGGGAATTTGGGGAGGATTAGGGGGTTGGCAGCTGTTGGAGGATATTGGTGGGGGTTTATACTTAGGATGCACTCCAAATCCACCTGATACTTGACACTGTTTTGGGGGATGAGAATTGTAATCCGTAAAAAGAAACAATCCAGTTCCAGTCCAAATTAAATCTTCCAATGTGGTTTGGTATTCACCTCATACATTCCAAACTTATGGTTACTACTTGAATGCGCTTAGAGCTCATAGAATCTTGAAAATACTTACGATACACATACTTTCTCTTTGTGGTGCGAACATTTCCTGGACCATTGTAATCCCAGTGACCTACATGTAAACCAAGTGAGATACTTTTAAGATATAGACATAGATTCTATTTTGTACACTACACCAGTCCAGTCTAATACTAGAGCCAGAGCAAAAGGCATCTCTGAAGGCAATGCCATGTCCAGAAGCAAATCCGCTATAACCAGTCACCAATAATATGTTAAACTCAAAACTGTTGAGGTTGGTTGCGTTTGAATTCCCTTGCGCGTGGTTCCAAGATATGTGTGACATATATGTAGCCACCTGTGGCCCAAAGTGAGCTAGGAAGGATCTCTCAAGTGCTAGCCGACATTCGATTTGATGTGATTAGAATGTCCTTGGACGCATATTCATCATCGGCGACTGCATCATCGGCGACAGCCACACCAGGGGAGGCATCCCTACCCGTCCGAGTACGACCAGAGCCGTGGCATCCCCCATACAACCCCTATGTTTTTGACGGGCCGGAGCACCACCGGGACTGGGTAGATTATTGTATCTGCTGGCGGGTTCCTTTTTGGTGCGTGAAGCCAGAGCGTGTGTATGACTTAAGGGCCATTCAGATTGCGACACAGAACCAGCCCCGAGCCGCGACTCCATGCAGGAATCCGCTACAGTTTGACAAAAAGGTGATGAAAATCAACATGAAGACGGACAAAAAGGCAGAACGATGAAACCATGGCGCTGGCATTGAGAAAAAATGACCGACGGCGTGGAACCGGGTAACCAAAATTGGGAATGGTATTTTTCTCATTTTATCTCATGATTTGGTTTCTTGAGGGAGATCCTGCAAACTATTGGTATATAGGGAGCTCAATCATGGACCACTACAATCACCTTTCAACTAGGTATACTTAACCCCTGTAACCATGATCTAAAAGTTTGGCAACAAGGAACCTTCAGTTCGAATAGTAGATGCATGCAGGATCAGCCGGTCGAAGTCGAAGAGAGATCAGTTCAGATGAGCCTCCGCCAAGCGCTTCAGATACCGGGACCGAAACACATGCTGGACAACATTACACAAAGTTTCTTGCAGCGGTTGGGCAACTTTGGCATGTTTTCGGACCCTGGCATTGACTTGGTGTGTTTGAACATGTTTTCGGCACTCGACTTTTGACCACCAGGACCAGAACCCACAAACCTTATGCCTTATGTAATTAAGTATTTGCATCATGCCATTTAAAGGGTTTGGCACAGTTTTTCACAAGGAAAACATGTTACACTAACTATGGATGATGGATTTCCTTTTCAGCAAAGCTCACCAATGATCAAAATAATCGATCAGTTAGCTTCAGGATCAACTACGCTGCCTGGTCACATTACTGCACACCTATGACTACAGATGCCGTTTGGTCGATTCCTGGATGGGTTTTGACTTTCAGTTGTATTTTCCTATGTCATGTCCCGATCCCATCCCGGTCGCGTCTTCACGTTGTTTCTGTTACTGGCATAATGTACCGAAAACTGTCAATGGACAATAGATAAGGTCAGTTGATTTTTTGGACATATGGGCACTGGCATGGGTGTTAGAACGAAACATCTTAAGCAACTGTCCTATTATATAAATTGGGTCCATATGATATGTAAAGGTGCATTCCATATCCTATGAAATATGTATGAGTACAGCTACTACAGCAGTGGAAACACTTGGGATATCGTGGGACGGTCTCTTTCCCTGAAAATGAAAAACAACACCAACACCAACACCAACAACAACAACAATAACAACAACAACAACAACAAGAACAAGAACAAGAACACGAACAAGAACAACAACAACAACAACAAAAACAAGAACAAGAACAAGAACAAGAACAAACCAACAGCAACATACTAACAACAACATACCAACAGCAACACAACAACAAACCAACATCAACAAACACAAAGAACAGACCAAAAACAACAAACCAACAACAACAACAACAACAACAACAACAAAGCAACAACAACAAACCAACAACAACAAAAACAAACCAACAAACAAACATCAAAAAACAAATATCAGCAAACCAACAGCAACATACCAACAACAACAAACCAACAACAACAAACCAACAACAACAAACCAACGATAACAAACCAACGACAACAAGCCAACAAGGACAAGAACAACAGTAACAACAACAGCAACAGCAACAACAACAACAACAGCAACAGCGGCAACAACAACAGCAGCAACAGCAACAACAACAGCAACAACAACAAAAAGAAGAACAAACCAACAGCAACATACCAACAGCAACCAGCCAACAACAACAGACCAACAAGAACAAACCAACAAGAACAAACCAACCACAACAAACCAACAACAACATACCAACAACAGCCAACCAACAACAACAAACCAACAACAACAAACCAACATCAACAAACAAAAATCAGCAAACTAAAAACAACAAACCAACAACAACAAACCAACAACAACAAACCAACATCAACAAACAAATATCAACATACCAAAAAACAACAAACCAACAACAACAAACCAACAACAACAAACCAACAACAACAAACCAACGATAACAAACCAACAACAACACACCAACAACAACAAACCAACAACGACAACAACAACAGTAACAGTAACAGTAACAACAACAACAACAACAACAACAGCCGCGGCAGGTTTTTTCTTGGGCCCCAATGATGGCCTCTCGCACCATTCTCTAAGTAAGGAAACGTGCTTTTCTCATGGTGAAGATGTGAGGAGGTTCAAGCGCATTATGTCTTTCTGGGACAAAGGGTCTTTCATTATGTGGCGATGGTCCAGCATTACGGATGTTGTTTCTGGCCTACTGTGCCGGCGTGGTGCCTTACATGTTGGCTGGAACCCAAACAAGTTTATGGGAAAAGACAACCAAGACCAAGACCAAGACCAAGAAGGTGCTGCAGGGGAGGCCCCAGCAAAAGGCAGCAATACATTCAGGATTGACAAGAAGTTTGCAACCCAGGTGACCAACGCTGTTCAAAGCCGTCTGTTTTGGAGCTATTGCTTGCTTATCGAAACATTGGGTGGTCTCGTGGACAACATCAGCAGTTGGAGTGAGGGATGTGAATGCCACGGGGAAATTTCTGTGTCAACATCATCCTATTCCAAACGTCGAAAACTGATATCAGCTGACCTACAAAAAACTGCCAACCCGCATGGGCTGGATGCGCATGAATCTGCTTTGGAAGTGACATGCTTGATGCGGGGACGACGATCAGCTGAATATGCAGCTGGTATATTCGAAGACTTTTTGCAAGATTTGGTTGCACAAGCCTATTCACACTTGCCTGGAATTCTCTCAGCCTTGGATCCCCCCGATCATGATATTGTGTCCAGTGACTGGACTCTTGCCACTGCAGCTTGGCTGGAACTTACCAACCGCTAACCACAAAAACTTAATCAACTCACAACCTGCAACCTCCAGCAATAATTATGGGCCACTCCAATGCCAATACGTATCAATACATATTATTTTTGACTGTTCCTGACATACAAATATATTCCCATCCGTATATCTATCAATCCATAAAACCCTAAGCTTTCAGATTCCTTGGGTGGCCCCTCATGGCTCTTTTTTTCTTTCCTTCTACTTCCGGTTATTTTCCCTGGAAGCAGGTTTCTTCTGATCCTAAATCCTCATTTTCCATATAGAATTCTCAACTATCATTACGTGTCTATATATATTTAATATATATATATATGCATATATATATATACATATATAAATAAAACTATGTATATATATATACATATAAATGTGTGTGTGTTTAAGTTTGTGTATGAATAGTTTCCATTTGCCTTACTCAAACCAATAGTTTTCATATCCCTTTGTGTGCCGCGCTCTGGGGTCAGCGGTCAGCGGCAGGTGGCAGGGGCGGAAGCCCGTAACTGTCTTTGATTGTACCTGACATACAATAGTTCAAATCTGGTGTACATACATATACTTATATATCATTCCATGAGCCGCATGAAATATCATAATCTACAAAAAAAGTGTATATATACATACATATATATATATAATATTGTACCATTTGTAAATGTCAATTTACCATAATCATATTGTTTTACCCATATGTATATATTTACACCTAAAGGATATGTTGCAAAAGAGTAATGCAGTGAATCATATCATATACCAATTCATATTATATTCCCTACCTGCCAGCTGAGGTTCTCTAGATGTTCTGTTAGGAGTCTTGCCTCTCGCTCCTCCTACTGCACTCCTTCTGATCTCCTCCTTCCGTACAGGTTCGTAAGTTAACTCATTCCTCTAGCTCGTGGCCACTGGGCGCGCCGCTGGGCCCAATGGGCACACAAAAATGTCAGAAAAACATGCGACAACATGCCAAATAAGATGCCTGAATTTGAATTTGTAACAGAAAGAACAACAAGGCAAACGCCAGAATATATGCCAGATATAAGGTGCCAGAAACTAGATCAGAATGGATGTCATATAGAATACTATGTTTCAATGTCAAGATGGGGGATTGCATGAAGGAAGGAAATACTTTCAAAGCCTTTGCAAATCTCATCCCTAAGGACATCATTGTCACTGAGCTGAGGGTGAAAACAAGTTTTTGGAAGCTTGTGCCATGGGTGATCTGCGGAGCAGCTTCAACTGATCCAGAGGTTGCAAGGCGATGCATGAAAGAAGCATTGCAACAATACGATCATGCTGTGGAACATGGTATGGACAGCGGTGACAGCCAACCAAACATCTCTCATCCGATCACGCGGCGCTTTCTTGCCAAAGACCCTGCGATTGTTTAAGCAACATTTCCAGGCGCAAAGAGCACACTTCAAAGACCGCATGTTGTTGTGAAAGATTTCTTGTATCTCATTTGAGATCTGGATTGTTTGTTTTGCAGTGAGCTTTGAATTTGTATATCCCAAACATTCCTGTTTACTATGTTCGGCATTGGCATGGTCTAATTCGGGGTCATTTTGTGGTTTTTCTCTGCTGTTGGATCTTGTGAGTTGGCAAGTTTAAACAGGTGTTATTTAACTCAGGCCCACCTATTTATCAGTATCCAGTCTTTCATTTAGAAGATTTGTTAACTTTGGAGTGATGGTAACCCTTGGTACTGTCAGAACACATTTATATTTAACTGATCCTGTGATAGGAAATGGTACGGCTAAAGGTTTCTCAATGGTAATGTCCTGGTCTTCAGACCACTTCAAAAATAGACTTGAGGATTATGTGGGACCACATCCTGGCGATGTTCCTTTGCGAGATCTGTGCGAGTCCTTTGTTATGGGGGAGCCGTTGCAGTCTGAAGCGCTCTATCCTCTAAGGGTTCATCTTGGAGGTCTCAAATTGCAACGTTGCTGTGAACGGATGACAGAGGTGGATTGGGCTAAACGGGGTTAAAGTTAAACTAGCAGTGTCTTTTTGCGGAGACCACAAGAATACTTGGTTGTGAGCTGTGTGGGGGTTTACTTTGCAAGTTCTACTGGTTTGAGTTTAAGTTCTGTACCGTACCTGGTTTTTTGACTGACCGTCGGCAGGGGCAGCACCGAACGATTGCCCAACTACTTGCAAAGAGCCCCGCAGCTGGTGATCCTCTGATTAGCACTGAGGCACGCATCCCTATGTTCAAAGAGCTGATGGCATCCCCGACTGATTTGCAGGAAGCAATTCAACAACACGAACAACTCGATCGAGCGGATCAGTTGTCTTTGGCAATTGCCAAGATGATGGGCGGCCCTTGTTGTGTCGACCAACTGAAAGTGGATAGTTTTCGTTTTTTTTTGTGGTCGGATGTAACATTGTTGGCTAATGATGGCAACCAAAGTGATCATGATGATGATGATGATGATGATGATGATGTTAATGGTCATGGTGATGATCACCATCATCATCATCATGATCATGATGCAGAGGGTGCTGGTGATGATGATGGTACCTCAGCATCTATCCAGGTCCCCCACCACACGACAACATGGTCCCGGACAACTGACAGCTGACATCATTAAATTCGACGTATATTTTCTGTGTTTTCTCACCGAATCCAAACCACAACTTAGGTGCCAAGCCATACTTTTTCAGAAAAGGAAATGTCATCCTTGCTGTACCACAGTCACTACAGGTTTTCCAGGGGTTCCACTTCTCGAGCTGTCATCGACATGGACAAGAACAACAAACAGAAGACCAGCGGACCCAAGCAGAACGTAGAGCCAATTCCACTGAAACATTTTCGAGAGGTGATGAATGACAACGCTTTTTACACCTTGCCTAAAAGTGTATTGGACATGGACTGTGCAAAAAGCTTGACAAGTGCCCTTACATCAACTTCTGACGGCTTGTCGATGAGACCGAAGTTTGCAGCCATTCAAGACCGACCGAGGGGACCAACTATAAGCTCACGGCTCAAGTTTCAATCGAATAACTCTGATGATGACGAGGGCTCCTGTGAGCCTCAGCAACTTGCATCAACTGCAGCTTGCTCCAATCCAAGTGTGCCTCTATCTTCGTCCTCTGTTTCGGACAAAATTTGTTGGAGAGTGACCCAGAAACGACCAAGTCGAAGAAAAAGACCAACAATTGGGTGGGATGGAGTTGGTGCCAGCACTATATCAATCAGCCAGTATGAGATAGTGGAGGACCTGCCTCACAAATGTGAGCTGGTTGTGAAGCCAGTGCCATCGACTGACCATGCATTGCTGACTTTGTTTGAGGATGAGAAGGTTGCAATGCTTGCCCAGGTAGGGGGAGATCAAATTCCAAAATGTGTTTGTTGTTAATGCTGCCACTGTAGTTGCTGAAAATGGGTCATCGGTCATGTTCTTTATTTATGATCATGGCTCATGACTCTATCTATTGGGGGATATCACGGGATATCATTTATTTTTAACCTTTATAAAAAATATATATATATTATATAAGGTTTATTTTTGATGGGTAGCTGGTAGTTTTGTAGCTAGCTTAAACAGAAAAAAAGTAGCCGTAGGTTTTTGGATGTTTTTTCCCCTTTCTATATTATTTTTTGATAACCATCGTTTGGATCAAGCCAACCCAAAGCGAATTGCCAACTCACAAGCCCAACCACCAGAGGAGCATATGCTACAATGGATGGGCCACAACAGTTTTGTCAATTTGACAAACCATCCATGTGCCGAACAATTGACAGAAGAAGAACTTGATGTTGTGATGCAAGCCTTTGAGGCTTCAGCTATATCTGGAAGTGGACGTGGTCTCATCTGTGAAGGTTTCACGGAAGGTGAGTCAAATGCTGCTGAATCATTGGTATCGAAAGGGATGCTACGAAACATGAATGCATCCGATGATGGTTCTCCAATGGTGCAGCTCTCTACAAAGATGGTCTCTTGGACTTTGACCCTGCAAAAACCAGAGAAAGTCTTCAAGATCCGTGAGGGAGTTTCATTTGACATTGCAAACATCATTGCCCTGGGCAAGGGGGGTCGGCCAACTACATTCGAAGTTGAATCAAAACTGCTCGCATGTGGCTGGAAGTTCTTCAATGGTCGCCTCAAGGCACTTTGTCCATCCACAAGCGAGCTTCTCTTCAACATGAAGCGCCGATTTTGGTACCATGTGGCCCTTTTAAATGCCAAACACATATTTGAGAAAGGCACCAAGTGCATTTACCACAAGCAGTCTGAGAGCTACTATCATGCGTTGCTTCACTGCCCCACTGGCACTACAGTAGACCCCAACAAGGCAGCAGCACACTACAAAGAATTGGTTGGTAAGGGCACTTTGTCTACTCCAAGATTGGCCATGCTGGAATTTGAGCAGGCTTGGGGCTTGGGGGTCGACGTATCATGAGGATTGCCTTTTTGTTGGGTCAGTGGCACTGTAAGCGTGCTTTGTTTTTGCCAGTACCTCTTTTGTTCGATACAAACCTCATGCCTCGCCTCATCTCTACTCTAAAAGTTTTTCTGGCCAGGACGAAGACGATGAAAAAACAAACGGAGATGATGCTGCCGCTTCCGGTGACGGCGAAGGTGAAGAGATTGAAAACCAAGATGATAATGATGCTGAGCCTGGTGGGGCTTCACCTGATCAAGACCTCGAGGAAAATGACACTGACAAGGATGCGAAACACACCGGTGGAAATCAGGATCCTTCCCAAGGCTCCCAGGACTCAGACTCTTCTTCTTCGTCGTCGTCCAAATCTTTACACGGTGGCGGAAGACACACTCAAACTAGAAAAGAAGCCATAGCCAGTCCTATAGCTGTATTTTCAACCTTGGGTTTTTGACTTTGGCATATTTGGACATTAACTCTGGAAGATTTTTCCTATTGCACATAAAGGCACTGAAATCAATATACTGTTTTTTCTGGGTGAATTGTTTTCATCGCCACATCACCACATCACCACATCATAATCATCATCATCATCGTCATCATCATCATCATCATCACCATCATCATCATCACCATCATCATCAACATCAACATCATCAACATCATCATCATCATCATCATCGTCAACATCACCACCATAATCGTCATCACGTTCAGTCACAATCATTCACATCACCATCGTGAACAGCAGCAACAGCACCATCATCATCACCATCATCATCACCATCACCACCACCACCGTCATCAACATCGGCATCATTATCTTAAAAAACTCATCATCATCATTATCACCATTTTCATCATCATGTTCATCAGTATCACGTTCATCATCAACAACAACAACAACAGCATCATCACCATCATCATCACCATCATCATCATCATCATCATCATCATCACTAGTCACTATTCATCATCAAGACTAATACTGGCCATATCATGATCATCACCACCATGGCAGGATGATTGGATAGAATACAAAATCCTTGAATCTGCAGAATTTCCACGCGTCACACTACCACACGTCTGACTGGATCTCAGGTATATTGCCCAGCGTCGCAAAATACATGAGCCGCCGGGTGAACATTGATGAAGTTGCTGCTGAAGATCGACTGAAACTTCAGAGCATCCGAAGTGCACTGCTAAAGATAGAGGAGGTGAGACCAGCAAAGGTCATTTGGGGTGAGACAGCCACTTGGTTTGAATATGGCCACAATTACAATAAGTGCATTACATTTTGTTTGGGACACACCCGACAGCTCAGCGTTTCAACCGGACCTAGATAAAGAGGTGGCTATAAGTTTAAAAATGAATAGAATAGATGAAAGGATGAGCAGGCTAGGCGAACAAATAAGTAAGGCAGACCGAAAGATAGATAAATAGAGGCAGGTGGAGATAGATAGAGGTAGATGGAGATAGCTGGAGATAGATAGAGATAGATAGAGATAGATAGAGATAGATAGAGGTAGCGATAGATACAGGTAGATAGAGATTGAAAGAGATAGATAGAGATAGAGACAAACAGACAGACTGGCTGACAGACAGACAGACAGTTAGATAGATAGACATAGATAGATAGAAAGATAGATAACAGATAGACAGAAAGATAGATAGATAGATAGATAGAAAGATAGATAGATAGGTAGGTAGGTAGGGAGATAGATAGGTAGATAGGTAGATGGGTACATAGATAGGTAGGTAGGTAGATAGGTAGATGGGTACATAGATAGGTAGGTAGGTAGGTAGATAGGTAGATGGGTACATAGATAGGTAGGTAGGTAGGTAGATAGGTAGATGGGTACATAGGTAGGTAGGTAGGTAGGTAGATGGATAGATAGATCGACTTGAACGTATAGATAAAGAGATGATAGCGTTGGGTTTATGTTGGGCCAAGAATGGCGTATGCATGTGAGTCTATCTATATGATCCCTCCACCACAGAAACAAACACATAATAAATCTGAGGACATGCCTTACAAATCCCATTACAATGCCGAGCGGGCCATTGCAAATTTGTACTGGGACCAATTAGTGGAGATGGTGAACAAGAGAAAAGAAATCGATCTTGCGAAGGCACCGACATCCAAGAGTTCCAAGATGGTCAAGTGAACCTAAAACCGAGGACACCCTGAAAGATTTCACATTCATTTGGTGTGTGAAAAATGAATGTTCCGAGTTGCAGCTTCTTGGCGTTAGTATGAATTCAGTTTTAGCTTTCAATTGCTACTTCGGCCACTTTGTTTGAAACACAGCACGTCTTGGTTTTGTTCGGTCGATTGCACAAAGTAAAAGAACATGTTAAACAATTGTCATTAAAGGGTATATGTGAAATGGAACCAAAAGTTCAACACATGTTCTGTTCTTGACTTGCAGCGGTTGTTCATGTTGATGATCTGTTTGGGCAGTCAAGGGCTGGGGCTGCTGGGGCATTGCATAAGTCTAAGTTTGATTTCACACATGTGATGGTCCAGTGATGGTCGCTTAAAGTTCACCTTTTTGCCGAACTTGACCAACTTTTGCCCAACCTGACCAACTTTTGATCAACTTGACCAACTTTTGATCAACTTGACAAAGTTTTGACCAATTTGACCAACTTTTAACCAACTTTACCAATTTTTGACCAAGTTTGTCATTTTTGACAAACTTTACCAACTTTTGACCAACTTTACCAACTTTTGACCAACTTTACCAACTTTTTACCAACTTTTTACCAACTTTACCAACTTTTGACCAACTTTACCAACTTTACCAACTTTACCAACTTTTGACCAACTTTACCAACTTTTTACCAACTTTACCAACTTTTGACCAACTTTTGACCAACTTTACCAACTTTTGACCAACTTTACCAACTTTACCAACTTTTGACCAATTTGACCAAATTGGTCAATTTTTGAAAAATTCATCAACTTTTGACCAAGTTGGTCATTTTTCACCAACTTGACCAACTTTTGACCAACTTTACCAACTTTTGACCAACTTTACCAACTTTACCAACTTTTGACCAACTTTACCAACTTTACCAACTTTTGACCAACTTTTGACCAACTTGACCAACTTTACCAACTTTTGACCAACTTTACCAACTTTTGACCAACTTTACCAACTTTTGACCAACTTTACCAACTTTACCAACTTTTGACCAACTTTACCAACTTTACCAACTTTTGACCAACTTGACCAACTTTTGACCAACTTTACCAACTTTTGACCAACTTTACCAACTTTACCAACTTTTGACCAACTTTACCAACTTTTTACCAACTTTTGACCAACTTTACCAACTTTTGACCAACTTTACCAACTTTACCAACTTTTGACCAATTTGACCAAATTGGTCAATTTTTGCCCAACTTTACCAACTTTTGACCAAGTTGGTCATTTTTCACCAACTTGACCAACTTTTGACCAACTTTACCAACTTTTGACCAACTTTACCAACTTTACCAACTTTTGACCAACTTTACCAACTTTTGACAAATTTTACCAACTTTACCAACTTTTGACCAACTTTACCAACTTTTGACCAACTTGACCAACTTTTGACCAACTTGACCAACTTTTGACCAATTTGACCAAATTGGTCAATTTTTGAAAAATTCACCAACTTTTGACCAACTTGGTCATTTTTCACCAACTTTACCAACTTTTGACCAACTTTACTAACTTTACCAACTTTACCAACTTTTGACCATTTTTACCAACTTTTGACCAATTTTACCAAATTTACCAACTTTTGACCAACTTTACCAACTTTTGACCAACTTTACCAACTTTACCAACTTTTGACCAACTTTACCAACTTTTGACCAACTTTACCAACTTTACCAACTTTTGACCAACTTGACCAACTAAAAATTTACCAGCAGACTACTTCTGAATGGTCTAAATTTGGCTTCAAACACTTCTTGTGCCCTTAAGTTGGTCAAGTTGGTAAAGTTGGTCAAAAGTTGGTCAAGTTGGTCAAAAGTTGGTCAAAAGTTGGTAAAGTTGGTAAAGTTGGTCAAAAGTTGGTAAAATTGGTCAAAAATGACAAACTTGGTCAAAAGTTGGTGAATTTTTCAAAAATTGACCAATTTGGTCAAATTGGTCAAAAGTTGGTAAAGTTGGTCAAAAGTTGGTAAAGTTGGTCAAGTTGGTGAAAAATGACCAAGTTGGTCAAAAGTTGGTGAATTTTTCAAAAATTGACCAATTTGGTCAAATTGGTCAAAAGTTGGTCAAGTTGGTCAAAAGTTGGTCAAGTTGGTGAAAAGTTGGTAAAGTTGGTCAAAAGTTGGTAAAGTCGGTAAAATTTGTCAAAAGTTGGTAAAGTTGGTCAAAAGTTGGTAAAGTTGGTAAAATTGGTCAAAAGTTGGTAAAGTTGGTCAAAAGTTGGTAAAGTTAGTAAAGTTGGTCAAAAGTTGGTAAAGTTGGTGAAAAATGACCAAGTTGGTCAAAAGTTGGTGAATTTTTCAAAAAATAACAAATTTGGTCAAATTGGTCAAAAGTTGGTAAAGTTGGTAAAGTTGGTCAAAAGTTGGTAAAGTTGGTCAAAAGTTGGTAAAGTTGGTCAAGTTGGTGAAAAATGACCAACTTGGTCAAAAGTTGATGAATTTTTCAAAAATTGACAAATTTGGTCAAATTGGTCAAAAGTTGGTCAAGTTGGTGAAAAGTTGGTAAAGTTGGTCAAAAGTTGGTAAAGTTGGTAAAGTTGGTCAAAAGTTGGTAAAGTTGGTCAAAAATGACCAACTTAGTCAAAAGTTGGTCAAGCTGGTCAAAAATGACCAACTTGGTCAAAAGTTTGTCAAGTTGGTCAAAAGTTGGTAAAGATGGTCAAAAATTGGTCAAGTTGGTCAAAAATGACCAGCTTGGTCAAAAGTTGGTCAAAAGTTGGTAAAGTTGGTAAAGTTGGTCAAAACATGACCAACTTGGTCAAGTTGGTTAAAAGTTGGTTAAAGTTGGTCAAAAGTTGGTAAACTTGGTCAAAAATTGACCAACTTGGTCGAGTTGGTCCAAAGTTGGTAAAGTTGGTCAAAAGTTGGTCAAGTTGGCCAAAACTTTGCCAAGTTGATCAAATGTTGATAAAGTTGGTCAAGTTGGTCAAAAGTTGGTCAAGTTGGTGAAAAATTGACCAACTTGGTCAAGTTGGTCAAAAGATGGTGAAGTTGGTCAAAAGTTGATCAAAAGTTGGTCAAGTTGGTCAAAACTTTGCCAAGTTGGTCAAAAGTTGGTCAAGTTGGTCAAGTTGGTCAAAAGTTGGTCAAAAGTTGGTCAAGTTGGTCAAAAGTTGGTAAAGTTGGTCAAAAGTTGGTCAAGTTGGCCAAAACTTTGCCAAGTTGATCAAATGTTGATAAAGTTGGTCAAGTTGGTCAAAAGTTGGTCAAGTTGGTGAAAAATTGACCAACTTGGTCAAGTTGGTCAAAAGATGGTGAAGTTGGTCAAAAGTTGATCAAAAGTTGGTCAAGTTGGTCAAAACTTTGCCAAGTTGGTCAAAAGTTGGTCAAGTTGGTCAAGTTGGTCAAAAGTTGGTCAAAAGTTGGTCAAGTTGGTCAAAAGTTGGTAAAGTTGGTCAAAAGTTGGTCAAGTTGGCCAAAACTTTGCCAAGTTGATCAAATGTTGATAAAGTTGGTCAAGTTGGTCAAAAGTTGGTCAAGTTGGTGAAAAATTGACCAACTTGGTCAAGTTGGTCAAAAGATGGTAAAGTTGGTCAAAAGTTGATCAAAAGTTGGTCAAGTTGGTCAAAACTTTGCCAAGTTGGTCAAAAGTTGGTAAAGTTGGTCAAGTTGGTCAAAAGTTGGTCAAGTTGGTCAAAAGTTGGTTTACCAACTTTTGACCAACTTTACCAACTTTACCAACTTTTGACCAACTTGACCAACTTTTGACCAACTTGACCAACTTCTGACCAACCTCTGACCAACTTGACCAACCTGACCAACTTAACTAAATTTTGATAACTTTTACCAGTTTCTGACATCATGCCAGCAACTTCAGTTAATTGCAGAATCTTTTGTGTCTTCTCTCACGGGATGGATTCATTCAATGTTTTTACCATCATTAGTATCTCCTTGGGATCTTGGGCATTTTCTTGATCAAACTCGCTCTGGCTTTCTATGGCTGTAGCCTGTAGCCACCAGTGCTTTGTCATGATGGACGTGGCCATGAGAAAAACAGAACAATGCCAACGTCGTGAAGAGTTATTACTACATCTTCATATGATTGCCCATGAACGCCTTTGCTGTGTTTGTTGGGGCGGCGTTCTAGCAAGCTACCTTGACGAGATGCTTGGCTTATAGTTCATGGCTGAATCGTCCAGGTTTTGGTTTTTGAATGTTGTTGGTTACAATCTGGCGTAGTTTACCATACATGTATGTTGGATTCTATCTATTGATTCTAAATTACTTGGCACAACATGACCCAACCAGCAACCATGTTTTTTCCAGTTTCCCGGGTACCGGAGGAAATCCGTTGCTACCCTATCGGTGATCGCCCGTGACTGTGAATGTGAAAAGCGCAGCATTGAAGCCATCATGGGAGATGCAAAGGCATCCCCAGCTTTAGCCAAAAACTGAAGCAAACTTTCCTTGCTTGAGCAAACTTTGAGTACAGTACGTTATTTGGAATGTATGTAAATTTTGGGATGCTGGATCTGGTGTGGTCTTATCCCGCCGCTGTCTCTTTCTGAACTTTCTGAGATGGCCTGACCCATCTCCGTGATTGTGAAAGGATTGCCTGGTGAAAAACAAAGCAAGATTTACTTTGATCTGTACAAATTGATTTCAGTTGAACTGAAACTTGCATTGCTTAGCTTTGATCCTGACCCATGACCCAAATACGAAAAGATGATGCTGGATTATGGATTTACGTGACATGAAATGGAACATGTTCTGAATATTACACATTATTTCAAATGCGAATTTGCTGCTTTTTGTGTCAAGACTTGTGGGTGAAGATCCTAGAACAACATTTTCTTTTTGGCAGCGGACACGGCGGAGCCGTAACCAATCATGGGGGATGCGGCTGGCGCTGCGGAGCCGAATGAGGGCGTTGAGGCCTTGGCAGTGGCAAAAAGCCATTGCGGGCCTGCGCCCTGTGAGGCTGACATGTGCAATTGTTGTGTTTGTGGTGCTCAGTTCAATGAGGCCAATCGAAGTGGAACCCATTTCAAGGATCATTGTAATCAGTGCTCGCTCGACTTGCGTAACATTCGCAAAGCATGTGGCGACGACCTGGTGGAAGATGATGATGAGGACACAACCAGTGGAAAGAAGGTTACCATCAAGGCATGGATGAACCACCTTCAGAAAAACAATTTGCAAGAATACCGGGAAGTCTTTGGGCGTTTCAAAAAACAAACATCTGGAGTGTCTGGTCGGGGCAAAAAGAAGGTTGAAGTTACGGGCGGCAGCATTCTTCAGTTCAAAGAAGCTGATGAACACCGACAACGCACAAGGCAAAGTGCCAACTTTGAACCGATGACAATGTCTAGGTACTGCCAATACTTCACTGGTCAGGACGGCAAAGTGTCCAACATGGGGTTTGAATGTTGCACACAATAGCTACTAGTAATTACAGGGAGAAACACTGTAAACCCAAATCGGGTCCAGTTAAAGCCTGCTTTCCCCATCCCCATCTGCCTGGTGAAAGGTCTCTAGATTCTAGATTTAAACAAAGGTGCATGACCATCTCCTCCTTCCACTGCTACTCCGACCTCAGAACATATGTCAGATAGAATGTGAGAAACAGTTCCAGAATTTACACACACTGACACACACACACACATATATATATATATATCAGATAAAAGGCCAGACTGAATGCCACGTAGAATCTCAGATTTGTTGTCAGAAAAAGAATGTCAGAATATATGCCAGATAGAGAAGGTCAGAATGTATGTCAGAATTGATGTCAGGATGTGTCTGTCAAAGATATTATCAGTATATGTTAAATAGAATGCCAGATAAAAATGTCAGATCGACTGTCAGAATATATCTCAGATAGAGTGCCAGAATAATTATGCCAGATAGAATGGCAGAAATTTGGGTCAGATAAAATTAGAAGGCCACATAGACTGTCAGAATACATGTGGACATGTGGGATAGATTTTCAGAAAGAAAATATTCCAGCAAGAAGCCAAACAGAATGTCAGTAAATACAATATATATATAAATATACAAGCAGAATATGCCAGTTAACTTCCAGATGATATGTCAGAAGCAATATCAGAACAGTGTGTCAGGCTGGGGAGCACTCGAAGTAAGGAAACTTGTCTAGGGTATAGGACTTTGGACCTTAACACTTTTTTTGTTTCTTAGTGTTTTGAAAATTTGATTTGACTGCCCGCTGCCCTTCACTGCAGGAAGTTTGCCCTGAAGACAGGCTTACCGATGCAGAAGCGAAGTTAGCTTGGGTTCGAGATCGAACTTCCGGTGACTTCGACAAGGAGAAAGGGATGAAAAATAAACATTGGTTGGGTCGTTGGCTCATCATTAACGGTTCCATTACGTTCATGATGTGTTCAAATTCCCAATCGCAATGTTGATATATTAATGTTGTTGACACCAACTCCGCCAACCCCATCAGGAGCAAATGAAGTTCTTGAATAGAAAGACTGGTGAGTGGGAGGCTCGAGAAGTTCTTTGGATCAAGAAGGAGATTTCCAGAAGCAAGGAGGACACATCCTGGCATTTGATGTTTGTTAGCAATACATGTGTAATTATGTACAACGCTACTTGTTATACTCACTGCAAACAACTAACAACATAACAACAGCGTGTATTTTGTGTTCAAAGTTCAAGTCAAATAAAAACAAGGTAAAGCAACCTTAGTTTTGATTCTTGATTCGAGTGGCTAAATTTGAACTCAAATAAGCAGGCACAGATTTCGTCATCTTTTGTCACCTTCAGGAAATTGCTGACAAGGTGAAGTCGGCTGAGGTTATTGAAAAAACAACCGATGTCAACAAGAAGACTGTGGCTGCAGCCAAAGCTCGGCTTGGAGGGTTCTTGAAATTTGATGCGGACGATCAGCTACTCGGTTGAGGTCATTGTTCGGTTTTGTTTTCTATATGATAGGGTATTTTTTGGTATCTTAAACATTCGAGTCAAAAACAAATTTTCGAGGTTTTTCGAGAAGTCGAAGGCCACCCTTGTGGATGTGGATGATGAAACAGATTTTGTTTCAAGTGGAAATGGAGCGAAGGGAAAGGCCAAAATCAAAATGGAGGTTGAGAAGAAGAAGAAAAAGGACACAAAATGCGATATCCCAACCTTGAAGCTTCGTACCTCCTCTCGTTTGCTTCCTCACATGCGCTTTTTGTCCACAGCCCTGAAAGATGCGCATGTCAAGTATGAAAGTTTCAAGACCACATTTGCTTCTATCTATGACATCTTCGAGAAGGTCACGGAGTTGGGAATCCTTCATGAAGATTCGGTTGAAATTCACAAGTATGCTGATTCCGATCAACTTGGCCTGATCAAGCTACTTGAGCCATATTTACAGTACATGTCAAAGATAGATAAACAGATAGATAGATAAATAGATATATATATATAGATAGATAGATAGATAGATAGATAGATGGATAGAAGGATGGTTTAAAGGCAAGGGTTTGCTGTGCATTATCAGGTTGCTCTTCAGTGTGGAGCGCCGTTTCGGCTTGGTACAGACCATCAGCTTGGGTTCCAAAGAAGAGGGTTTGTATTGGCTGCCAGAGTTTGACGTGGACGACTGCAAGGACAAAAAACTTCGTGACTTTCAGGTGTTGCTAGCCTCGGACACCTATCTCCAAGAGAACGCACCATCTGTCCAGCCCTACAAGTATTTCGAGCAGTTTGATACTTCGATTGCGCCTATGACCACCAAAAGTGAAATCACTGAGGCTTGGGAAAATGCTGCTACAGCAGTGAAACACACCAAAGCAGTGATTGCTTCATTCAGATTCTTTGCTATATATTATATATTTGTTTCATCGTTTTTTCCACCGCCGGCGTAGTGAATTTAGAGTCTATATGGAAGACACATTTTGATAGCTGTGCTGATACTTAGGAGTCATCATCATTATGGAGTCAGCCCACCCCAAAACACCGTTAGATATAGAAAACACAGATGGCATGTCATGTAAGGTAAAGTATGACGTGTTTGGGTTTGACAATTTGACTGAGGAAAGTCAATGAAAGACATGGAGTCAACCAAGAGCTCACTCGACAAGGCCCGGCAAAGGTTCGAGGACCAACGAGAGAAACTCAACAAAGACACTGGGGCTGGGAGACTCGCTGGACGAACCAACCTGAATGCCTTGCAGCTATCAGAGACGGACTACCCGATCATCAGGGGCTTCAAGAGCCTAATCAGTCCAAACAGTGATAAGTTTTTGCTTCTTCCGCACCATTATCATTTCTTTACGTCGACTTCATCCATTTTGATGATGTTCTCCTTTTTTCTTCTCGCCCAACCATTACCCGACAGCATCTCAAAGCCCAGGATCTTCGCGGGCAAGCGAGAAATGCCCATCTACAAGAATACACCGACAGAAGCTGAAGCACACAAGGACTTAAGTTAATTGGATTCAAACAATACAGCGTTTAACGATTTCAACCGTAGCCATATTTTTTTCAAGAATACTGTGGTTGACATGTTGATCGAAAGTGGTCACCCTGTCCCTGACAGATGCAATTCAATCATCCCTTCGTGCTTCGGAAGGGCAGGACTGTGACTTCCGCTCTTCAGAAGGAGGATGATACCAAAAAAATGCTTAGCCAAATGCAGGAAGAATTCCAGAAGAAGCTTGAAACTGGAAAGAAAGCAAGGGAAACGACGCTTGGACCTTTTTCAAACAATGACATTTTTCCAAAGGAAAGCTAAGCTTGCAACTTGGGAATAAGATTTGGCTGACGGTGTGACTCTTGAAACTTAGCTGTTTGGTTTCACCCCCATTGACCTCAAACCCAGGGCATTGTTGGTGCCCAACGGAGATGATGAGATCAGCACGTGTGAAAAGATCATTGAGAAACTCAAGGCATATCTTCCTACGGGGTGGGAGTCTATGTTGGAGGATTCCAAAGCACTGAGCGAGATTGCCGGTGACGACCCGGGGTTGATCACAGCTTCCAAGGATTTGCTTGCAATGGCATTTCAAGGAGGGGTGAAAGGCACAACATCCTTGGGAACCGAGAACCATGGCATAGGCACCTGGCGGGTGCAATTGTCAGGCGGGCGGTTGATTGCCATGGCCAACGTGAATGAGTGTCTTCAGCATTTCAGGACCACCAATATCAATGAAGCAAAGCAATGCTTGTCACAGATGGATGCATCTACAATGCCTGATGCTCTTGCTCTGCCAAGCCTCTACTTTGTGTACTTGCGGACTGGTGATTGTCTACTGACACCATCCGGGGTCTTAATGGTCGACAAGGTCGTTGGGGACCATTCGATTGCTTTGAGGCTGGGCATTCGTCAGTACTTAGACTTAAACCTTACTTACCCCCTGCCTGAACTTTCGGCTTTGTTACAACTCACATTCACCTTGTTTTACATTTGGTTGTTGTCACAGGATCAACATGCTCTTGCCTTCGGAAGAGGGGGCACGGGGCATCAAGACAGTTGCATCTCAGACTTCTCAGGTGGGGAGATTTTGACAGTGTGTGACACTGTTTGAGATTTGAGTGCGGCAGTTTCAGTGACGTTCGAATTCACTTCAGACATTTTTGGACAGTCACTATATCAATGTACTGGGGACATGGACATCATGAACGGGACTTGTATCTTTCGTAACCTGATGGACTCCAGATGAAGCCTGTCGTCCGACTATTGATGCAGTTCATCGCTACCGGAGACGAGGACTTCCTCTCACACACACAAATTGTTGGTTTCATTAATCACGTCTTTCTCTCCGTTCGTGATGATCGTGATGTAACGGAAACTGGAAAATCATTCCGCACAAATTGGGGCAGGACGACGATGATGAGATTGACAATCCCCTCCCTCTGGAAGATCAAGTCGATGGGGAGATTGTGAGACCTTTGGACGACAAGGCTGCCAATGGCGGCAAGGTTGACAAGGCTTGGCTTGAGTCACAACAATGAAACCAAGACCATGCTGCCATATATTTCAAATCAACCTTTTTTCGGCGATGGTGGATGGTGCTGATGACTGATGATGATGGTCATGGTGATGATGGTCATGGTGGTGGTGATGATGATGATTATGATGATGGTGGTGATGATGATGATGATGATGCCGATGACGATGACGATGATGATGACGATGATGATGATGATGGTGATGATGGTGATGATGATGATGATGATGCATGATACTTATTGCTGTCACCGTGCGACTAGGCACCCGATCAGACTGCTGAAGGTTCAGCCACTGGACTGCACATACAGATTAGGGATACGTTTCAGTTTCAACAGCTGATTTCTTTCAATATGTTATTATTCAAATCTTATCTTGTAAAATTGCATCAGCAGTGTTGTGGACGAGTTGTAGTTGTAGAGAATGTTGCTTGAAATTAAGCTGATGTCACCTAGGAGGACAAGACCAAGGGCGACAAAACAGAAGAGGGTACTGTCCCACATGTTGAGGTTCCGGCAGCACCGTCGGATGACAAGGACTTGATCTTGAAACTGCTCTGCTTTAGTCTTTAGTTGTTTATAGCTTAAGCCACAACAACCTCCAAAAGCATGATGATGGTGAGACACATGATGGATAAAGGGATCATGATTTCAAACAATCTTACAAGTTTCAATTCCATAGTGACACTTCTTAAGTGGTAGGTAGGAAGTGGGAAGTGACGGAAGTGACATTGATCCCTCTGACTCTGACAGGACAAGGAGGGGAAGACCAATGACAGCGTACCTACTGTCCCTGAAACACCAGCACCAGCTGCTGCTTCAGCTGCGGAGGAGCCAGCACCGACAGAGAAGGAGACGTTGGAGGAGAGTTGTCGGCACAATCATTCAAGTTCTTATTCAGAGAATGAATAGTATCATGACGGGAATATGAAATAGTATCATTACGGGAATATGACATAGTATTTTGACGGGAGAATATGTATTCCGAGTACAGTTTTTAATTTCTCTTTTTACAGTAACAAACATGGAAGTTGGAACTGGCTGAATCCTCCCCCCCAAATCTGGAGGTTGCAACAGTTTAGGACCACTACCTCATCATTCGAGGTAATAAATATAGGAACTGGAACTGTCACCGCCACCCACCACCCCCCAAATACTGGGGAATCAAGATTTATCAAGGTTTCACTTTCGAGCTAACTTGTGTGACCAGGACACTATGGCGGTGCAGGCAGACACGACAAAGGCACCAGCACCAGCTGCTGCTTCAGCTGCGGAGGAACCAGCACCGACAGAGAAAGAGACGTTGGAGGAGACTTGTCGGCACAATCATTCAAGTTCTTATTCAAAGAATGAATAGTATCATGACGGGAATATGAAATAGTATCATTACGGGAATATGACATAGTATTTTGACGGGAGAATATGTATTCCGAGTACAGTTTTTAATTTCTCTTTTTACAGTAACAAACATGGAAGTTGGAACTGGCTGAATCCTCCCCCCCAAATCTGGAGGTTGCAACAGTTTAGGACCACTACCTCGTCATTCGAGGTAATAAATATAGGAACTGGAACTGTCACCGCCACCCACCACCCCCCAAATACTGGGGAATCAAGGTTTATCACGGTTTCACTTTCGAGCTAACTTGTGTGACCAGGACACTATGGCGGTGCAGGCAGACATGACAAAGGCCGTTCATGATGCCCCTACTGCTGCACCATCAGTTGAGACTTTGCCGGAGAAGGACACGGTTGCACTCACTGTTTGTCTGTCGGTCTTTTCGTTTTAAGTGCTTTAGTCATCCAAAGGTCAACCTGTGTGAAGGTTTGATCATGGATCATGATTGACGATTGCCAAAAACATGGATATTCTTGTTGATGAAGAATATGTTTTGAGAAGGAGGAGGGCCCCAATTTCATTGCACCAAGCAGAGATCCAGCGGCACCGGAAGTTGCTCATGTGGAGGCTGCCTTACATGTGCTGCCTAGGAGATGATATGATAACAGGATCAAAAATCATATGTCTATGTTTTAGTCATGAGAATGGGTAAGCAGTAAGCACATCTGTTGCAAAATGGCAGGCAGCAGTCACAGCTCCAGCTCCCTCTTCGACTCCCGCGAGCGACGTGGAGTTGACGGCCGAACCAAATGACAAGAACGACAAGGAAGAGGACCATGACGCTCAGATTCCAGTGTGCCATTTACTCACTCACTCAGTTATTGTAATTCCTTCTTGATTTGCTGCTGGTTCAGGATTTGCGATTTGATGTGCATGCTGCTTTCCATTTCCAATTGCAGTATACTGACTGTGCTGATTGTAGTCTTCAGTGACTTACGTTACGGAGATTGGTGGTTAGGAGGAATCATTGGAGCCCACAAGCTCCAAGCGCCAAAAGATTGCAAGCCCTGAGAAGAGGACATGACTCTTTGCTTTCATTTGATCCCTGGGCCGGGCCCTGAAATCTTTTGTAAACTTGGATTCTACAGTCTTGCAGTCTTACGGTCTCAAAACTAAACCGAACTTTATTGAACATGCAGGAGCGAACCTGGTACTCGTACAACTTCCAAAGGGCGAAAGGAAGCAAGCAAGCCGTCTGAGGCAGATGATGTCAAGTCCCCACCCAAAAAGAAGAGAAAGGAGAAGGCGGAGAAGGGGTCCAAGGACAAAGACAAAGATTGTCCAAAGAGTATGTCAATCACAGCCTTTACAAAGCCGTCCAAGAAGCCTGAGAAGTGAAAGTTTGAGGAGGGCGCTCTGCCTACTCACCCACGAACCATTTTGCCGTGAAACTGAAAGAAAACTATTTTAATTTTGGGGGTGTCAAGTTGTCAAGTGATGTCAGGTATCTGCAGGAACCATTTATCAACAGCGGCGCTAGCCATTGACACCACTCTCTCAAGCTGAATACATTAACAGTCAACTGTCCCAACATTTCCGAGACCAAGAAACTGATTGTTTGAAGTTTTCCAGTATTCGAAAACTTGATGTCACTTGCTAAACTGACTGCTTGGGCTTCATGCCACACTCCAAACAGTTAAACGAACTGTAGCGAGGTGTGCGCAGAGTGTTCCGTAGGTATGATTTGTGTGGTGCCTGGTGCCGTGTCTATCATGGCAAGGGTAGTGAGCATGCCACTGTGGCATTGTTGATGTGGCCTATGCCTAGACAGGCTTGGATGGTTGTATGTCTGATGTATGTGAATGTGCTCAATTTCTCTTTGCGTTTTTACCTGCCAATTTTGAGGTCAGGAAAAAACAACATGTGTCCTGTACCGTGCTACAAGCCATCCGCCTGTCACTTCCGTGAGTAAAAGAAACTGAGGCGAACTGACATTCGCCCAAGTCAAGGCTCAAGACTCAAGAAAAGATTTAGCTGAACCTTAAACTGATTTCAAAGAGCTACTTCACTTCAAGATTGCACATAGAATGAGAGCAAATTAAACAATATATTCTTCATTGATTGAAATCGCCGCTGCATCATTTTGCTCAACAATAGGACAAGCAACAAATTGTTCTGATGAAATTGTTGTTTTTTGTGCATGCGAGTTATTGTTCGGATACATGATGATTATATATGTTCATTTTTCGAAATGATGTTAAACAGTTCAGTCAGGTTGTCAGTCTGTGCCTAAACATGGCACGCACTAAGGCAACTGCTGTTGCTGCGCGTGGTAGGGGTCGGGGCCGGGGTAGAGGTCGAGTCGGTCGAGGACGCAAAAAGAGAATTTCAAAACCCAAAGACAAACCACAAGGCCAAGGTCGAGATCGAAGGACTAGGGGTCAAGTCAAGAAAAAGAAAGACAAAGAAGAACCAAACCCGTTCGAAAGTCCCCCTCTACCAGGACAGCTGTCCATGAGTGCTGGTTTAGTAGTTGGGGGGCCTGCCAGATCTGCCAACCCCAAGCGAAAAGCCAGTGCCAAAGTTTTGGCCCGTCCAGCAGCCAAGCGAGTCAAGCGACCAAAGAAAAGACATGACAATGACGGTGACAATGAAGAGCAAAATGAGAAAGTGAGTGGCGATGATGCTAGTAAGGTGGGAGCTTCAGCAGCTGCCGCTACTTCATCCAGTTCATCCAGTTCAAGTTCAACTTCGAACGATGATGAAGATGATCACGATGCGAAGAAGGATGCACACTCAGACACAGATGAGAATGATGAGAAGCCCGGTCCAAGCTCTATCTCAGGACCAGCCCCAGTGAATTGCACACTCAAGGCCGATGACTCAGAATCAGACGACGACTTGGACTTAGAACTCCACACGACAGTGCAAGCTGGGGCAACACGCTCTTTGAAAGATGTGTTCCAGCACCACTTCCACACTATTGACCGCATCCATCAGTGCTTTGGGACGGAAACCTTACAAAATATGTCCAAGAACGTGGGCAACCTTCGTGTGGCTTCTTTGTACTCTGGACTTGGGGGCTACTTGCCAGATTGTTGGACAAGTTGGACTTGACCCATTTGATATGACAATCTGACCGACAAGCTTTTGGGATTTTTCACTGCATGTTGTTGCATGATATGACTGACTCGACACCTTACTGGCTAGATAATTTGATGTATCTTAAGATACTTTGACGGACTGTTCAGGAGCAGAACTGAGCTGTGCATTGGTGCACAAAGCGTTGGAGAAGGAGGCTACTGTTGCTACCCCACGACATCCAGTACCAGTTCTTGCATGCGACGTGGAGCCGCATTGCAGACAAGTTTTGAAAAGTCACAAGGTAAACGGCTTGAAATTATAGCAATGTGTTCTCTGTTTTGTTGTTGTAACTAGTTCCGAAGTCCCGATTCCATTCCCATGTCATGTCTTGATTCTAGCCTATGGCTACTTACTGTTCTTCCAGGTGCCTCCTGACAGCATCATTTCTGATCTCAAAAAGTTTGTCTCCCCGGAGTGCATTGAAGCTCTGGAGAAAACAGTGGAGGACGCAAAGTCACAAATGATGAGTGATCGGGAAAAGAAAAACAATGATGATACTGATGATGCAAAGTCCAAGTCCAAGGGCGGCGATAAGGACCAAAAAAAGAAAGAGAAACAAAAAAAACCCTCGTTGAGTGACCTCAAAAAAGTGGCAGCCAATTTGGTCAAGAGCCTCCTGTCAGTCATCGAAAAGAATGGAGGCGTCAAAGACGTTATCTATGATTCTGAAAACCGTAGGGTTGCTTGATCCTATTTGCAAGTTATGTATCAAAAATATATACACTATGTTGTTTTAATTTGTTTGTGGACATACTATATACATATATACCAGTAGTAGTAGACATCTTAAAGTCATGGAGTGTTAGAGCATCACCTTCTCAGAGCCATTTATATAGACCCAGGTTTCCTTGAACGACCTCTTCAAGGGCAGGAACCTTGAGGATGAAGTCATCAGTTTGCTGATGGCGGGAAGTACATGCAAAGACTGGATACTTTTCTGACTCAAGCAGTTTCTTGTGAGAGAAAACTTTTTACTGTATGCCACGTTCACTCATTTGTTCCTGCACCTCGGCCCTTCACAGTCAAGACAAACAGTCCAAAACATGTTTGTAATTTGTATAAGATTTTGTTCGTCTGCAAGGAGCAGCGTCGGAAAGATGCGTGGCTTTTTCGGACTGCACACCATTGCTTTCGTGCTTATGGTGGCGGTGGTTCGCAAATTAAGGCCAACAGTATTTTTACACGAGTGCACGCAGAACTTTCAGTTCACAATTTTTGTGGACCTACTGGAGGATTTGTGACTTGGGTTCCTATCATCAGCCATTGAAAAATATACATATGTTTTTTTCCCGGCTGCTGATGGTCTTAAAGTCTTAGATGAACATGTCAAAGTGTTTAGACCCTGGGGGTCTTGTGTGATGTGACTTTGTTGAGGTATGAGCTCCACCATCAATTTCTCAAACCGTCGGAATTTGGCTGCCCGTCGAAAAGAACCAGAAGTTATGCTGCGCTCATCAGGCATGACTACAAGTTGGCCTACGACTTTGACAACCATTTTTTCCGTTTGAAGCGACTGGTCTCACCAGATGTAGATTGCGGAATTTTTGCGATTGCAGAAGAGCAAGAGGTGGGCACTCATTTGTTCACTCACCACACTCATTCCAATTCAAGTCTTTTTACCGTGCCGTGAAGTGAGAAAGCGGTTTGCCCCCCCACAGGCACACTTACACACACACACATACACACACACACACACTCTAGTTTGTCAAAGTGACAAGTGGGACTTCCAAATGTTCACCTTTCCTTGCAGTTGGAAGACCTACGAACCTCTATGGCCAATGCGGCACATCGTGGACGAGATGAACCATGGTCAAGCATGCTGCCCGCAAGTGCATCGGTGAACTTGCAGAATGTCACCTGTATATTTATCAGAATATATTTTTGTTTGATTCTAGCCTAATACCTGTAATAGTCGGTAAAACGGTTTTGTTTATGGGACCCCCTCCAAAACGGTTTATTTTGGAATAGTTTATTCGGGTGCTTCGTGATTTGTTTGCAATGTCTTCTTCTTCACAGTGCCTGCCCGTCTTGCTCATTGCAGCCATTCTACACAATTGGCAATTGACAATTTGAAGAACTGATCGCGCGTGTTACCCACTATTTTCGATTCCCATCAAAATTGCACAGAACACAACTTTATTTTTCAGAACAAGGGGTTCTTGCTATGTTTTTTTTTCCAACTTTTTGTGCTTCAAATCGTGCTCCAGATCGGTTCTTTTCGCGTGCAACTTTTTGTGCTTCAAATCGTGCTTCAGATGGGTGTTTTCTCGTGCAACTTTTTGCGCTCCAAATCGTGCTCCAGATAGGTCTTTTGGCATGCAACTTTTTGTGCTCCAAATCGTGCTCCAGATGGGTCTTTTTGCGTGCATTTTTTTGGTGGTAAGGAGCTTGGAAAACATCAGCTGGTTTCATTTTGCAAGGTGCTCCCCTCTGTCATTGCTTGCAATGACTGCAAAAGTAAATATTTCCTTTCGCAGTATTTAGCAGCTGGCTGAACAAGCAGAAAAAAGTGTGCTGCACATGCTGCATTTGTATCTCTTATTTTTGCTGATTTTTTCGTGCTATTTTTTGTCGTGTAACTTGTGCCCACTGTTACAGGCAATAGGCTTGTCACATTTTTTGTAAAAACTCTTAAATTAGTTTGTTTTTGTTTTAGTCGTTCTGGTTGTGTTTTGATTTTTTCCTTGACATGTTTTTGATCAAATCAGTTTTATGTTGAGGCCCATGACCTGCGATACCTATCCCATGGAGATCATGAAGTTGGAATCAACCTTGATCAAAATGTGCTGGTGTGTCCACACTATGGTGTGCACATGCCGTGCATCCTTGCATCAACACACTACATGTGGCTGGCGAGACGTGATCGACCGCTGACACCCCTTGCCCCTTGGCAGCAGCATCCTAAATGAGCAGTTGAATGTCGGAACGTTTCTTGCGAAGACTAAACTATTTTGGACCCATTGGGTTTGGGTTTGGTTAGGTTGGAAAGAGTTAGTTAGTTCGGTTGTTCAAGTTCAGTCAGCCCAGGAGCTGCTGACATGTCAAGGAATTCCAGTACACAATTCCACCTTGACTTACGCGGGCTTTGTGAGTGAGGATGCTAGCAGAAGCAATGATCAAGATCAGCAGCACCTTTTGACCTTCAAAGATGTTGGTGCAGCAGCCATCCGCAAAATGGCTGGCAACACTTTTAATTTGTGTTGCTCCACCAGCTTTTTGGCATTTACTTTGGCAATGTTGCAGCGAAAGTAGCCAAAGGAAACAGCACCCGGCACCCGGATCGGACTCGACAAGACAAGAGCGAAAACATGGCGAAAAAGGGCTTTGCAGCTTTGGTAGTAGACAAGGTAATTTATCACTGGAGACTAGACTGACAACAAACAACCAACTGCGAAGCAGATTGATTGAATAGGTGCAACTTTGGTGGTGCCAACAGGAATAGAACATATATATTATATTACTACTGGTGGCTATGAATCAAACAATGATCACCAGTTTATCACTGTACATTATTAGTGGGACCCCACTGTGTAGAAACTTGCCAAGCTGGACAATGTGACCAATCAAATCGTGGTTGAGATGAAGGCGGACTGCGGGCGACCCTTGGGGGTAAACACCCCCATTTTTGCAGTGCTCCTCTGCACAAGAAATATGTAATGTTCATAGTCCCCAAGTTATGATGCCTAGAAATAGTGCAATCCGAAGTTTTCTATGTTTCAGGAACTAGCACCACAAGAAGTAGTTGAGACACTTTTCAAAGCGTTTTTTCATGTACCACCGAGCCGATTTTGAAAAGGTAGGCCCAACTACTTGTGGCCTCCTTAAAACATAGCCACTCGAAAGTCTACAGGTGTGGTGGAGACTTTCGCCGCATCAAGAACACATAACTCATGTGTCCAGCTTGAAAACCTCTACCAAAAAAGTGACAAACTGAAACGGCATAAATTCCCAACCAAACGGCGTAAATTTCCAACCAAACGGCGTAAATATATAATTATTTTGTTTGTTTTCAATGCATATTTGGACTTTGACATGCTACATATTTGCCCATGTTCTCCAGGGTGTGTGAAGATCAAAAAAGTGCGCAAAATGCAAGAATGGCAGCTGACCCGGCAAGAATACCGCCAAACAGTTGAAACGGAAGTTTTTGGCATGCGGCTGATACGGCGCCCTTGGAAGGGTTGCCAATTTTGAGATGTGCCATTTACGATCCCTTGGAAGGGTTGCAAATTTCAAAAATGAGGCTTGCTGAAATGGGGGTATAGGATTTGATTTTTTTGAGTTTTTATCATGTTGCACATGCTGTGGTATGATCATCAGGGGGGGTGGGGGTGGGGGGTGGGAGGGGTGTATTAACGTTCTTGACGAGCACTTCCTTTACGTTACGGAAGATGCACACGTTGCGCATGCTGTCGTATGATCATCAGGGGTGGGGTGGGGGTGGGGGGTGGGGGGGGTGTATTAACGTCCTGACGAGCACTTCCTTTACGTTACGGAAGATGCAAACGTTGCACATGCTGTCAGTTGCGTCAAAGATTATCCCCACAAAAGGTTCAAGTTGGCCCAAGTCAACCACAAACAAAATATCTTTACTAAGACTAAGACTTATCATTTTCGAGGTCGTTTGTGGGATAGATCCTATAGAACCATTGTTGCTGGTACTCAACAAATGGATGGAACATGGAAACACTTGAAAAAATGGCGACCTCCGTCGATGCTCCACAAAAAAAAAGTGTACAAAAAAGGTACACTTGGGCCTACAGCTGGACATGGCGTCACAACGCTGCCTTGTTGCAGACTGTGGCGTCTGCGTTGCCACAAGCGCTCTGGCACCGCTAGCGTCGAGAAGAGGAAAAAACTGGAAGAGTGAATGTCGCCCTGATATGATTCGGATGATTGAAAATCATAAATTTCTAATGTTTTTTTTTGACCCTTGAAGAGCAAAATCGCGTCACCGCGCAGGCGAAACGCACATTTTCACTGTTGAGTCACACGCCTGCCAATCGAAATGAATGTCCATGTTGCAAACATTTTTTGACGACTCCTGCAAATACCAGCATTTTGTCTCTTAGCCTCAAAAATCAGAATTTCAAATTCGTCACCCTTACAAGGGCGCCGAGTCAACCGGTTGCCAAGTTTTTGGCTGACACGGCAGAAATTACTGAAGTGATAATGATTTCTTTAGCCTGGGCTGGCGGAAGAAATTTTACCCAGCTGGCAGGCCTAGGTATAACGAACTCAGCTCAACTTAAAGCCTGATCTTGTTAACCATGTATGTATGTATATATATATATTCACCAAGGAAGTGTTTCCTCCAGCAGCAGACAGCGTCAGAAGAGTATTGCGCCCTGGCAGGTGATATGAATCCATGAATTGGATGGGGAAACTATGGCAAAACCCAACCTTTGGCTTAGGGAATTTCATGGATTTCAAGGGATTTTTTTTTTTCGACCCACCCATTGAACCGCAGTTCGATGATGTTTGCTTGGTTTAATCCCCTTTGTTCATCATGTGTGCGATTTAATCCACCATGTTGATATGTTTTGATGGTTAATTTCCATGCCAGGGGATCTTTGCCTTGAAACAGTGGGTCGTTTCTTGGCCCCACAGCCCAAGAACATCTCGTCGGAACAACAAAATGGTTCTTGTCTTGAGACCCTATATTATATATATATACGGTATATTTATTTATAATATATATATATATAGTACATAAACATCATTACCACGGAGATATATCTCTCACAATGAAATGATATGAGTTCATCCCGAAAGCCTGGCTCAGTTTATGGCTTTGTGCAAGGCGAAGAAGTTCGGGAACAAATTGTGCCTCCCAGCGCTGGTCCGCAGAGCTTAAGGGATCAACGGCTCAGCAACCAGGACAGTTTTTTTTTTTTTAAACGATGTGTGAATATGGATCCATCACCCCCAAAGCCGCAATATAAAACACACCCCTAAAACCACCGGCTTAGAATTGGATCTTTTCATTGGGTCCCTTATTGATCCTTATTGGGTGTGAGAATCTGATTCTTCGCTGGGCAAGTCGATGCGGAGACTGCTGAGTGGGTCTCGGTCTGGTACGGTTGCGCAGAGCCTAAGCATGGGCAGCATTCTTTCACCGGCATGACAGGGTGAACATATGTGCCAAGCACATTGTGCCAAGCACACTCAGCCAGGCATAGATAGGCATCCCACTAGCGAGCGCACATGCAGTGCATTTGTTCTTAGAGGTGGTGGAGTAATGAAAACTCACAAAGGTACCCTACCTCCAACAGGGGTTTATTCAACAGTACGTAGTTTGATAAGCCCCTGTTGTTGGGGTTGATGATGGTTTATAACTTCTGCTCACAAGGCCTTGTAATTAGTTGGGCTTTGGTGGGATATGTTTCTGAAGAATGGGTGACTCACCACTGCATCACGACATATCCAAAACCATCACGAGGATCAGCTTAGCCTCGCTAGCGCAGACATTCAAAGTTCTGTCCCACCTTGTGCCTTGGACAAGTGGTGGGATGGGGGTACCGTTCTACACCTGCAATGAGCTTGGCCACTCCCATTCTATCTACAGATGGCTAGATTGCTGGGTTGTTTGTAGGGAACCTAGGTATACCTAGGTGTAATCTAGAGTACGTGTGCAGCTTGATCCCTTGCATTGAACCGTCCTGTCCGCAGGAATCCAACCATACATACCGTTTCCCACCAGGGAAAAGTTTGGGGGGTGTCATCCTGCGTGACTGACAGGTATTCAAGTGCCTCCCCAAACAACGTCAAGTTGTAGCAGCACAGCGGGTGCCTTGCCGAGAAGAGAGTAGGGCTAGCACTGACGGCCGAGTCATCCCAAGTTGTCGAATCTAGATAGTATGAAGCCATGGAATGGACGGGGAACTGTATAGCAACCCCCAAAAAAAAAGATAAAAAAAGTAAAATCCCACTACAACAGTGACAAATCATGGTTCTATCCATGTGGGGGTTGCTATAGATAACTTCAACCCAAGTGTTGAACTCCCAGTGATATGTTGCACTTGCCCTTGGGTGAATTGCAGCACCTGTGCTCCAGCTTTGGCTATGCTATGCATGGCTCGAGGTGAAGCTTTGGAAGAAGTAAAGAGTCGGCATAAGCAGTTCCTCTGCGGGCCACACGATGATGGAAAGGCTCATTGTCAGCTGGTGGTGGGCTGATCCGGGCTGAGCCATGCTGAGTCGGTCTGAAGATTTTTCCGCATTAAGGTCACTCCACCATGACTCGGGAATCGACATAGGGAACGTCTTCACCTTGAGCAAATCCCTGATGATGGGCGGAAAGTATGCCGATGGTAAGAAATACTTCGATGATCTGGAATTGCATAAAGGGGGGGCCTCTGTACCCAAGTGGTTTTTGGTGTTTTGACCGTTACTCACTCTTCAAATATCTTCAATATGTGGTGAGTCTGTGTGGTTTTTCATGTGTCTCAGCCATATTACCACTACCCCAAAGACTTGCAGTATAGCTGACGCTGTGCAGTACAGCACCAGGTGAAATATGATTGTAGAATCTCTCATAGGTATTTTGCACTTGTTGATTCTCTGTCACTATTTGGGTGTGCTTGAAAATGGGATATACCCTCAATTATATACTCAATTATGGCCCTATGGCCATTTAATGTAAAATTACAGGTACCCGCACGAGGCGGGGCGAAAGTTGCCTTAGGGTTATACTATAAGACATTTTTTTCATCTATAGAACTTGCATGCGCCGTGCGCCAGCCAGGCCCGTGCGTGCGTGCTTTGTGCGACAGTGATGCAGTGTTCCAAAGGTCGCACTTGAAACTCCACACTTCACACTGCACTTTTCACTCTTCACACTGCGCACTTACACTTCACAGTCCACACTTCATCTCATCGCATCTGAGCTATTCTCATCTCATCTCATCTCTTCTCATATGTCATCTACGTTCTCAACTATTTTCATTTCATCAGAGCCCTGCTCAACCTTTCTCATCTCATCGAAGCTCTTCTCAACTCATCTCAGCTCTTCTTCATGTCAGAAGGCTTTTGCCGTCAGAGGGAAGTCTCTTGCACACAAAAGCCGGAAAAGCCTTTACACACTGCACATGAGAAGTTTTTACACACAGCACGCTTTTACACAGAGAAGTTTTTACACACAGAAGCTTTTACACACAGCAAGCTTTTACACACGGCAAGTTTTTACACACAGCAAACTTTTAACACTGAGAAGCTTTTTCACACAGCAAGCTTTTACCCAGAGAAGCTTTTACACAGAGAAGCTTTGACACACAGAAAGCTTTTACACACAGCAAGATTTTACACAGCAAACACAGAAAGCTTTTACACACAGCAAGGTTTTACGCACAGCATGGTTTTGCACAGAGAAGCTTTTATACACAGCAAGCTTTTACGCAGAAGCCTTTAGAGACAGATGCGTTTACACATGGAAGCTTTTATTACACAGAGAAGCGTTTAAACACAGAAGCTCTTACATACAGAACCTTTTACGTATCAATTTGCGCAAAACATTTGCCACTACTACTTTGTACTACCAAACTTGCACAAAGTACTTCCCGGTACTACTTTGTACTAGAAGCTTGGACAAAGTACTTTGTACTACAAAGCTCGCAAAAAAAAAAAAAAAACTTCCCAGCACTAAGCTTGCACAAAGCACTTCTTAGTACTACTTTATACTACAAAGCTTGCAGAAACCACTTCCCGGTACTACTTTGCACTACAAAGCTTGCAGAAACTACTTCCCAATACTACTTTGTACTACAAAGCTTGCACCAGTACTACTTTGTACTGCAAAAATTGCACAAAGTACTTCCCGGTACTACTTTGTACTACAAGACTTGCACAAAGCAATTCCCAGTACTACCTTGTACTACAAAGCTCGCAAAAAGCATTTCCAATTCTACTTTGTACTACAAAGCTTGCACAAAGTACTTCCCAGTACTATTTTGTACTACAAGTACTACAAAGCTTGCACAAAGTACTTCCCAGTACTACTTTGTACTACCAGGCTTGCACAAAGCACTTCCCAGTACTACTTTGTACTGCAAAACCTGCACAGAGCACTTCCCAGTACTACTCACAGTTTCGCAAGGTACTTCCGAACACACATCAAGCCTTTACACACGGCAAGCTTTTACGCACAGAATCTTTTACACAAAGAAAGCTTTTACACGGAGAAACTTTTACACACGGCTAGCTTTTACACACGGCATACCCAGAAGCTTTTACACAAAGAAGGGTTTACACAGAAGCACGTTTTTACGCAGAAAAGCTTTTACACACAGCTTGCAGCAAGCTTTTACACACGGCAAGCTTTTGCACAGAGAAGCGTTTACACAGAGAAATTTGTACACAGAGAAGCTTGTACACACAGAGAAGCTTTTACACACAGAGAAACTTTTACATACAGAAAGCTTTACGCACAGCAAGCATTTTCACACAGAAACCAAGCCTATGCAACATTCATACAGCCATCAGATTGCGTTTTGCAGCGCCGCGTCACAAACCCGTATGTATTTACGCACATGGCAACAAAACATGGCAACAATCACGCAGCCATTCCATTGCAATCTGCAATTACAGATTCCAAAACACCCTACAACTACGCACACATGAGCAGCCACACGTTGCAGAACACCCTGGAGGAACCAAAAAACGTCAGAACGAGCGTACCCGCAACGGCCTCACACACGAGCTGCCCTTCATCGCCGGAAAAACAATGTCTCGCGCTCCGGCTTCCTCCCCAAAACCAAGCCCATGCAACATTCATGCAGCCACTACAATGCGTTTTTTGCAGCGCGACGTCACAAACCCGCATGTATCTACGCACATAGCCACACCACTTCCCCAAGTCACCGCTTCACATATGTGATGTATTGTTGCGTGATGTATTGTTGTTTGAAGTATTGTTGTGTATTGTTTTGTTATGTATTGTTGTGTGATGTGTTGTTATGTGTGTGATGTGTGTTTATGATTGTTTATGTTTATGTAATGTTATGTGAATGTTCTTTTTTGTGTAATCTATTGTTATGTGATGTTTTGTTGTCTCTTGTACTGTGAAGTGATGTATTGTTATGTGATGTTTTGTTATGTGATGTATTGTTGTGTGATGTATTATCTAAACCCAAGAGCCATGCAACCAATGGTTTCTTAAAACGCTTTACGTTGTGGGGCGTTCAATGGTGCAAAGGGAGGTGCGATGATAGGGTGCAGTGGTACGATGTATGTGGTACAGTGGTGCTGTGTCATGGTGCGTGTGTGGTGCGATGGTACGGTGCAATGGTGCGATGGTACGGTGCAATGGTGCGATGGTACGGTGCAATGGTGCGACGGTGCGGTGCAATGCCCCATTGAAACCAATTTGTTGCACCAGTGTACCCCAGTGCACCCATCGCACTGCACCGAAAAAATTGCTGCCAAAACGCGTTTTTTTGCTACCAAAACTTGCGTTTTTTCTGACAAAAAACGTTTTTTTGCTATCAAAAAATGGTGCAGTGGGCCGGGTCCAGTGGTACAGTTGACTGGTACCCTGGTACAGTGGTAGGGTACAAGTCAGCAGATATGTACCATTGAACCGCACCATCGCACCATTGCACCGCACCATCGCACCATTGCACCGCACCATTGCACCCTTACACCGCACCATCGCACCACATGATCGCCCCAGTGTACCAAGTCACTTGCATCTCCGAAAAGCATGTTTCGTACCATCCGGGGGATAGCCACAAGAGCATGGCTCTTGAATTTAGATAAGTGATGTATTGTTATGTGATATATGTTTGTGTGATGTATTGTAATCGTGATGTATTGTTGTTTGATGTATTGTTGTTTGATGTGCTGTTGTGTGATGTATTGTTATGTGATGTATTTTTGTGTAATGTATTGTTATGTGATGTATTGTCGTCTGATGTATTGTTATGTGATGTATTGTTATGCAAGGTTGTGTTATGTGATGTATTGTTTTGTGATGTATTGTTATATTGTTATGTGAATGTAGAACCTCACAATTCTATTTGTCCGTAACTGGGAAGATTGCTTCCCAAGTTCCTTTGATGATTAACCGGTTAATTAGGGGCACCCTATTTTCAGACAGACCCATTTATCACTATGGTGTCCTAAAAACTTGCTCCCTTGACACCAGGCAGTGCATTTGGCGCATGATCTTTCATCGGGGCATGCGTCATGGACGCAGGCGGGGGCACCCTTTTGTATTTTCGCAGATGGTCTTGTCCTAGAAGCTGATGAAGGAAAAAACTGAACAGGAAACATAGGAAACCCAGCATTTAGACACAGTTTGGCTCGTACATGGGAGAGTTACCAGGGCTTCCCTCCGACTCAGTGATGATACCAGTTTTGATCCATCCTTTCGAGTTGTGGGGAGCGCAATTTTTTACGTTCTGGGAAGAATGGGACATCTGATTGTTGCCAGGATCCTTCATCCTTGCAATTCCTGCCCTTCGGGTGAGAGCATAAATGCATCGTGCTGCATTTCCCCGAGCCCCCGAGCTATACCGGACTGTAGGCATATGCAGCACTAGGGTCCACTAGGCAATTCACAACTGCAGGGAATGTCCACGTGTCCCCCTGAAAGCTTTCCAGGGCCATGTTGCAGGACTGTCAAAGTGCCTGGGCAGCACCCCGCTGTCGGAGGGTTGTCACAAGGGCATCGGGTCTATTGATTTATTTGGCATGGACGTTTCCTGGTGGTTCCACTCAATTTACCGTGGAATGATGATCCCAATTCAATATTCTTGGCATTGCTTAGAACATTTGGACCTTGCTGAAGAAACTTGGACTCACTGGAAGATCCCATGGAGAGAGGTACCGGCTGGGGTTGTCTCAAAATAGGTGATACCCCAAACGTTGTCCTTTTTGGTAAGGAAAAAATGACAATCATTTAATCCGTAATTAGATTATAAAGTATTTATCTTTTCTTGGAGTTCGGGGTCCCTTATTATCAGACCCAGTTGTTTCGCCATCATTCGCTCCATGTTCACAACCTTCGCGTGTGACAAAATGCCGACAATTCCAAGGCGGTTGAGGAGACTATGTCGACGCTGAGTGAGGAATGAAATGCCCCGATTCAAGATCTGACGATCAGAGCGGGACAGAGTGATATTTGTTCAAGTTCAAAAAGTATTCAAAACTGATCGGGAAAGGGCCCCATAAGTGTAGTAAGTAGTAGCACGCAGTAGTAAGTAGCAGTATAAGTAGTAGTGAGTAGTAGTAAGTACTTGCGAATAGTAGCCACTAATTAGTAGTTTGTAGCTGTACGCAGCCGTAAGCAGCAGTAAGTAGTAATATGGAATAAGTAGCAAAAAGTAGTAGAAAGTAGTGGTAGTGGTAGTGATAATGGTCGTGGTAGTGGTAGTTGTAGTGGTTGTAGTGGTAGTGGTAGTGGTAATAGGAGTGATAGTGGTAGTAGTGGTAGTGGGAGTGAGAGTGGTAGAAGTAGTGGTATCAGTAATAGTAGCAGTAGCAGTAGCAGTAGTAGTAGCAGCAGCAGCAGTAGTAGTAGTAGTAGTACTTGCACCGGTTCTTGTAGAAGTAGTACTTGCAGTAGGAGTAATTGTAGTAGTAGTAGTAGCAGCAGTAGTAGCAGTAGTAGTAGTAGCAGCAGTAGTAGTAGTATTAGTAGTAGCAGCAGTAGTAGTGGTAGTGGTAGTGGTAGTGGTAGTGATAGTGTTAGTGCTAGTGGCAGTGGTAGTGGCAGTGGCAGTGGCAGTGGTAGTGTTAGTAGTAGTAGTAGTAGTAGTAGTAGTACTTGTAGCAGTAGTACTTGTAGCAGTAGTACTTGTAGCAGTAGTACGTAGTAGTAGTAGTAGTAGTAGTAGTAGTAGTACTTGTAGCAGTAGTACTTGTAGCAGTAGTACTTGTAGCAGTAGTACTTGTAGCAGTAGTACTTGTAGCAGTAGTACTTGTAGCAGTAGTACTTGTAGCAGTAGTACTTGTAGCAGTAGTACTTGTAGCAGTAGTACTTGTAGCAGTAGCTTGTAGCAGTAGCTTGTAGTAGTAGCTTGTAGTAGTAGCTTGTAGTAGTAGCTTGTAGTAGTAGCTTGTAGTAGTAGCTTGTAGTAGTAGCTTGTAGTAGTAGCTTGTAGTAGTAGCTTGTAGTAGTAGCTTGTAGTAGTAGTAGTAGTAGCAGTATAGTAGTAGCAGTAGTAGTACTTGTAGTAGTAGTACTTGTAGTAGTAGTACTTGTAGTAGTAGCACGTGGTGGTAGTAGTACTTGTAGTAGTCGTACTTGTAGTAGTAGGCGTAGCAATAGTAGTAGCAGAGGTGGTAGTAGCAGCAGCAGTAGTAGCAGTAGTGGTAGTAGTGGTAGTAGTGGTAGTGGTGGTAGTAGTAGTACAGGTGGTAGTAGTAGTACAGGTGGTAGTAGTAGTACAGGTGGTAGTAGTAGAGGTGGTAGTAGTAGAGGTGGTAGTAGCAGAGGTGGTAGTAGTAGAGGTGGTAGTAGTAGAGGTGGTAGTAGTAGAGGTGGTAGTAGTAGAGGTGGTAGTGGTCGTGGTAGTGGTAGCGGTAGGGGTAGTAGTAGTCGTAGTCGTATAGTCGTAGTCGTAGTCGTAGTCGTAGTCGTAGTCGAGTCGTAGTCGTAGTCGTAGTAGTCGTAGTAGTCGTAGTAGTCGTAGTAGTCGTAGTAGTCGTAGTAGTAGTAGTAGTAGTAGTGGCAGTGGCAGTGGCAGTGGCAGTGGCAGTGGCAGTGGTAGTGGCAGTGGCAGTGGTAGTGGTAGAGGTAGAGGTACAGGTGGTAGTAGCAGCAGTTGTAGCAGTAGCAGTAATAGTAGTTGTAGTTGTAGTCGTAGTCGTCGTCGTCGTCCTCGTCGTCGTCGTCGTAGTAGTAGTAGTAGTGGTAGTAGTAGTAGTAGTAGTGGTAGTGGTAGTAGTAGTAGTAGTGGTAGTGGTAGTAGTAGTAGTAGTAGCAGTATAGTAGTAGTAGTATAGTAGTAGTAGTAGTATAGTAGTAGTAGTAGTAGTAGCAGTAGCAGTAGTAGTAGTAGTAGGAGTAGGAGTAGCGAGTGGCGAGGGGCGAATGGCGAGGAGCGAGCAGCGAGCAGCGAGCAGCGAGTAGCGAGTAGCGAGTAGCGAGTAGCGAGTATAGCGAGTAGTAGCAGTTTCAGCAGCAGTAGCAGTAGCAGTAAAAGTAGCAGTAGCAGGGGCAGTAGCAGGGGCAGTAGCAGGGGCAGTAGCAGGGGCAGTAGCAGGGGCAGTAGCAGTAGCAGTAAAGCCTGGCTGTTACCCCTCATAGTTTTAATAGTTTAAGGATATATAGTCAAACTACATTAAGTATATAATGGGCACCACCTTCTGGAGAGAAGGGGTCAGAAAAGAGCTGATGGTTGCGTTTTACAGGAAGAGCCAGAGATGCCTAGAGGGGATCAAGACTTTTCACTGCCATCCTGCGCGGCTGAGCCCTTTCTCGCGCATATTTTCCAGGCACCCTGCTTGGACAGGGCAGGGGCATGTCTTGCTGCCTGGATGGCCAAGGAATCTCTTTCAGAAATACATGGGAGCCACAGCACTTGAAAAACATTCCCAAGGGGGATTCCTAACATGCAGCCTCTGAGCAATTTAAGCGGCAGATGGCGATGGATTAATCACCTTTGGCGCCAATCCCAAGGTGAGTTAGACTTTTCTCAGCGATGCACAGCAAGAGGAGCGCTGAAACAAAATCATGGCGCCCTCGGGATCTCTTGGTGTTTGAGGATCTCTCCATTTGCTGGTCATGCGCCGTTCTAGACTCATTTAACCTTCAAGGTAATTCTATATGCATCGATGCATCGACAAATATTGATTTCGGACTTATTTCGCTTTATATTGCATCTGCACCACATTGTCTTCAGCGAATCGTCGACCAGAGATGCACACGGATGCTGCTGGTCACCAAGTTGGTATAGCTCGAAATTAGCCCACCCATCAAAACCAATCAAAACCCATTGGATTTTGGTACGAAGTTGACTTTCTGATTGTCCATGGCATGGGGCATTCGCGGACTGGATGGGTCAAAAAGTCAAAACCTATGTCCCCATGTTTTGGAATGAACATCCAGCTATACCATCCACGTAGCCATATTTTGCCATTTTTGCATCGATTCAGCTATCGTTTTACCAGCGATTTCAATCCACAAAGCTGGCGCCGTGCTTGCTGATGTGGTCCCCTCGTCGTTGAGGTGCCAGCGGTGCCAGCGTCACAACTGCCTGGTGGTTTGACAATGTTCATGAAGAAAATAATGATCAAGTTTCAAGTTTGGGGTACCGTATTTTTGGACAAACCCACATTGTGATCCCAGACTATCTCGATTCACTTACTTGAGTGGGCTGAAAGAATCCACCGGCGGTTTCCTTGGAAGACATCCGCCAGAAGGTTCGAATCATTGATTCTTGGAATAGCTCATGGATTGACAAAAGTGGATCACAGAATGAAAGTCCATTTCTTTTATTTCTATAGTTGTGTAAGGTCTTCATTTTGTGATTGTTTGGCGCGTTACAAAAATATTGTTTTCAACCCCCTTTTTCGATGTTCATCCCAATTTGATTATATATTGTTTTTTGGTTGGATTGAAAGTTGAAATCACCAATCAGTCAATTCTTACTGCTCATTAACTTCAATGTTCCCTGAGTGCCGACAAACATCTGCAGGAGTGCCCATGGTGTTTGCGCCTTGGTGATATGATTGTGTCTCTGCTGTTTCTTTTGTTTTTAGCTGTATATTACGTGTAGGCATATCATGACATGACATACCAACAATTGAGTGAACGAGTATATACATGATAAATTATATACATATCATATGATTGTGCATATATGTATTCATATCTGCACACTGTTGAAACTAATTGCTTTGTGGAGGCTTTGGTGCTAGCATGCTGTCCTCCAAACCAAATTACCCCTTGTCTTTGTGGTCTAACGGTCTAATCTAATTCTGGGGGCCCATGTGGCCATGTAGTGGGTATCGTATATTAGGATATATTAGGGGGATGGGATCAACAGTTGGTGCAGCGCCTCCCTAGTCAGTCCTATGTCACAAGCATTCTTTCAGTCTGTGCGATGGGCGTCTGCACGGAGAGCAAACATGGGAGGAAATAACTATGTAGGGCCATATAGGTTATAGATATATGGTATATGGTTATATGTTGAAACAAGGACCTAGCATGACATGGGGAAGGAAAACCCGTTTGCACCTTGGAAGGCCATCAATTAATCAGACATTGGCAGATTCATACGCCCAGCTGCTGCGACTCAAGTGTGTGGCAAGGTTGCCACCTTCACGTGTCCCCGTGGGTTTGCCGGTGGCGCCATGCCATTCGAAGCCACGACGGAGGTTGTGGACTTGATCAAGTTTGTGGAGCAGCAGCATGCCGCCCCTTGGGCTTGGGAATGGCATCCCACGATCGATGATGATGATGACGACGACGACGACGTGATGGCAATGACAATGATGACGATAACGATGACTGACGACGGACGACGGACAACGGACGACAGACAACGACGCGGGGGAGGAAAAGGAGGAGGAGAAGAAGGAGGAGGAGGAGGAGGAGGAGATGACGACGACGACGATGATAATGACGGATGCTGGATGATGCATGATGGATGGTGTTTCGATGATGGATGATCGATGACCAATGGTCGATGATCGATGATCGATGATGATCCTGCAATCACATCACTGTCACTACCTTCTTCAAAGGGTGCTGCCTTGGAGGATTGTGGAGCTTAAACAAATCCAAGACTTCTCTGGGCGGTTTGTTGAGACAGCTAACATGTCAAGCAGAGTGGCTGATGTCGCGCAGGATCGCAGCAGAGAGAAAAATCAGGAAAAGGTTAGTTTTCTTATTCAGCGAGTGGCTGAACTTTATTATTTTTTTCTCAGGTTCGCGCCGTGCGCGTGCGCGAGCCAAAAGGAGCCTGATTTTGAGGTAATTATCCGCGCCGCGAACCCAAGGAAAAGTTGTTTAGCTTTTATCAGGGAAAAAATGCAGCGTTGGGGGGGTTTTCTTAGCCTTTGCTGGATTGGGCTAGCTTTTGTTAGCCTGTGTGAAGGTGATATTGTTTTATTGCCTTTGTGACGGTTGTTTGGTTTTGCTTTTAGGCCGAACAAAGTGGGATAATTAGGCAGGAGGCAAGATAAAAGCCGGGGATTTGACCAGGAAAAAACCGGAAAAAAAGTCGGATTATTTGGTTTTGACTGGTTTTGACTGGCTTTGATCTGGAATGGCCAGGAACCAAGTGTTTTTTTAGGTGCGCTTAGTTTCACATATTATATAATTTTTCTAGGATTCAGTAGAATCCACCAGAATCCTTCAGTAAAACGCATATTTCAGAGCAGCAGTGTTTAGAGCAGCAAATGACGTGAATGTGTGACATGATCGATGATGATAGATGATGACCAATGATCGATGGCGATGGCGATGGGGATGGCCAATTGACTGACTTGACTGAATTGATTGAGTTGACTGAATTGACTGAATTGATTGAATTGACTGAATTGATCGAATTGATTGAATTGACTGAATTGATTGAACTGATTGAATTGACTGAAGCTTAACTGAATTGACTGAAGTACTGCAGTGGTCCTACTTGTTTTTTCCCTTCATTGGTTGACTTTGCATGTGTTTCTATGTATAGGCAAAGAGAAATCACAATCCCTTCTGCCTTTTGTCACATCAGCTATAGATAAACCAAGATCAAAGAACGAATTTGTTTCATTTTGGTGCCTTCTTATTTTTGCAGGTCAGTTTCATGCCGTGAGGGGGTGTTTGTTTTCCAACATGTGCTGACACCACCCGACACCAATTCTCAGTTGTGACAATGGGTGATAACTGCTTCGCTTGATGGCTCACCTTCCGCGGTTTTGACAGGAACAGGGTGCAAGATTCCTGTTTCCCAGCTGCTTTCCATGTCTTCAACGCTTGAGGCATTGATTCACGAGCTCTCCGTAGCGCTGGGCCAGGGTCCCGGTTGCAAGCCTGAAGGTGGCCATGGTCCTTTCCCTGCAGTGATGACAGCACAGCCTTTTGCAGACAGAGATCCTGATGCGCTTACAGAAGGAGATCCCCATGAGCTCGGAAAATGTGGAGATGTGTTGTGTTCCAACCTCAAAGAGGACCACTTGTCGAAGGACCAGCAAGGTGACACAATGACCTCCGGGAACGAGCCGCTTCGCAGCTCAGAAGCTCGGAACGGATCCCGGAAGATCATCTTAGTAGACAGATGTAGACGGGTAGACTTATTCGATGGGTGTGCCTTAGGAAAAACACATCATTAGACCATGATAGATTATGAGCTGCTTATTATATCTGATTATGATATATTGTAATATATATATATATATTTAATAGTTACTGATAATAACTTTTGGTTGGCAGATACTTCCCATTGAGAGAATCCACCAATCTGCCTTTGTGGTACTTTGGACCGCTCCAAGACTCAGGAATCCCATGCTCAGGATGCTCCGGAAGCGCCGAGAGCTACATCAAGCAGGAGCCCTGTCCGTTTTTGAAATTCGGAGGGGCGCTTCTAGCATGTTAAATTACTTTACTTCGTGTGATCCCCACCATGACATTTATACATTTTGTTACTGGCAAATCTTCTGGCATTCTATCTGACATATTTTCTGGCATTCGATCTGGCATTCTATCCGGCATATCTTCTGGCATTCTACCTGGCATATCTTCTGGCAGATGTTCTGGCATATCTTCTGGCAGATGTTCTGGCATATCTTCTGGCATATCTTCTGGCATATGTTCTGGCATATCTTCTGGCATTCCATCTGGCATTCTATCTGGCATATCTTCTGGCATATTATCTGGCAAATCTTCTGGCATTCCATCTGGCATTCTATCTAGCATATCTTCTGGCATATTATCTGGCAAATCTGCTGGCATTCTATCTGGCAAACATTCTGGCACTTTATCTGGCATATCTTCTGGCATTCTAGCTGACATTCTATCTGGCATTCTATCTGGCATACCTTCTGGCATTCTATCTGGCATATCTTCTAACATTCTATCTGGCATATCTTCTGGCACTCTATGTGGCATATCTTTTGGCGTGGATACTCGCGGTTGAGGTCCGGCAGGGAACACTGGGCGTGGATGGTCGTGGTTGAGGTCCGGCAGGGAACACTGGGCGTGGATGGTCGTGGTTGAGGTCCGGCAGGGAACACTGGGCGCGGATGGTCGTGGTTGAGGTCCGGCAGGGAACACTGGGCGTGGATGGTCGTGGTTGAGGTCCGGCAGGGAACACTGGGCGTGGGTGGTCGTGGTTGAGGTCCGGCAGAGAACACTGTGGATCGCGGGTCGCAGTTGAGCAAGGACGACAAGGATGACAAGGAGGACGAGGAGGAGGAGGACGAGGCCGGAGGAGGAGGAGGAGGAGCAGGAGGAGCAGGAGGAGGAGGAGGACGAGGAGGCAACTGACATAAAATCTAACAACCCTCACCTGGCAGGTGGGGAAAAACGGGTTTGTTTCGGGGGATGGTCAAGCTGTCGTGGTTCATGCTGTCGCAGTGTGGCCCTTGTCCAGCAAGCCCCATTGACCAGTCCATTATTAATATATTTGTCATTATTTGTCTTTAGGGTTCAACCATCTCGATTCATCCTCGCTTTTGCCTACAAAGGTATAGCAGTAGATGCTCTTTACACTTTGTTGTTTCATGCTGTACCCTGGAAATGTCCAAGGGATTCCAAGCGGGATGGCCGTCAAGGAACCTGAAAAATCTGTTGATGGCGCCAGACGAGAACGGTGAGCCTTCCAGTCCTTGCTGGTGGCTTCAACGATATATGGACAGTATCACCATGCACCTGGGACCGGGGCAGCCCCTGGTTGTGAGGCGACAGGATGCCAGTACAGGATAGGAGACCAAAAAAAAAAGTACTCTCCGCAAATCAAACATGGCTGGAATATCCCCTGTTTCCAGATATTTCTAGATGATCTTCCCATTATATAACCACGTAAAAACCTCCAGTTCGGGTTTTCCCAGCTAGCCATGTTTGATTACCAGACACCAGAGCGTACCTGAAGCAACTATCGTGCCATTCAGTCATCACGATTCACGGATTCACTTCACGTTTAGGCCACACTTGTCGTGAAAATTGAAAACACGCCTTGGATAAAGATAGTTGAACGATTTTCAACGCGGAAACAAGGGAACACACGCCCTTCAGAATCTCTGGACTCGGACATTCTCAAGCTGTGTTGCTTCCCAAGTTATGATATTCACGCCACGCCCTTGTGTTGAACTTCTGTTGTCGACGGAGGGAGAGACAAAGATGTGTAATGATGCGTCTAGAATTGTATAGATATATATATATATATAATTTAAAGGCTTCCGCCTGACAGCCGGGCGCCGGCCAAGCAATCTTGGCACCATGTTGGCCCTATGTTGGGCCTATGTTGGCCTAAGTTGGGCCTATGTTGGCCCATGTTGAGCCATCTTGGGAGCTATGTTGGGGCCATGTTTGGGCCATCTATGTTGAAACGATCTTAAGATGCCAATTTTTCCGCCCCGGGCCGCACGTAAAAACTGAGGTTTTGTAACATCGCCAAGATGAAATCCCTTGCCGCCGAATGGCCCGAAACACCGTAAAAGACGACGTTTTTTTAACACCGCAAGCAAAAAACACCGTAAATCGGGGGGGGGGGTCGACACGGGGTGGGTCGGCGGGAGGGGGCGGAGACCTTTGGTTACTACCGAAGGCCTCCGGCAAGGACACGGGCTCCGTGGCCGGCGCCCGGATTTAAAGGTTTACGCATGACAGCCGGGCGCCGGCCAAGCAACGAAGTTTGGCTTATGGTGTGGGAAGATCGGGCCGAGATTCTCCGCGCAAACCCAGGGAGGGCTATGTTGAACTGAGGCAGGCATAATGCGCAGTGCTTGCCTCTATGGCAGCGGTCTGGGCCTTTTGAAAGTTGTGGCCATGTTGAGCAATCTTGGGCTTATCTTGGGCTTATGTTGGGCCAAGTCGGGCCCATGTTGAGCCATCGGGCCTATGTTGGCCCAAGTTGGGCCCATGTTGAGCTATGTTCATCTATGTTCCATGTTGGGCCTATGTTGGGCCCATGTTGGCCTATATTGGGCCTATGTTGGCCCATGTTGAGCCATCTTGGGAGCTATGTTGGGGCCATGTTTGGGCCATCTATGTTGAAACGATCTTAAGATGCCAATTTTTCCGCCCCGGGCCCCTCCTGGAGCCCAAAACATCCAAAACCACGTAAAAACCGAGGGTTTGTAACATTTTGTAACATCGCCAAGATGAAATCCCTTGCCGCCGAAGGGCCCGAAACACCGTCAAAAAAAAAAGTTTTTTAACATCGCGCGCACAAAACACCGTAAATTACAGGTCCTTCAGTTGACGCGGAGGCCCCCCGGGGTGAGTACGGGGTGGGCCGGCGGCAGGGGGCGCAGCGCCTATAACCTTCGTGTAAAAACCCTTGCAGTAAAACCCTATGTTCCATAGCATCATGACGACTGTGCGCATAGCGTTGCTTCAGAAGTGCCGAGAGCTTAGCGGCAGAGTTGTTTAGGTGACCCCACTGTAATATTATTGGCTGACCTGATCAAATATACAGGTTATCAGCCGTAGTCTCAAAGGTTTTGTTCACAAAACCTCCTGACCTCTAAAATCACACCTGCCGGATGGGAAAACACCATGCCAGTGAAGGACGAGGAAGCGTCAAAATTGCGCCCAAAAAGTGCATAACGGCATTTTTGAAACCTAGGAAAAATCATGCTTCTATGCCCGTTTTTGAACATTTTTTGGAGAGGTTTTGCTCACAAAACTTCCTGAGACTCTATACAGCAAGTGGCGCCTGTTCCTGTTCTTGCCCGAATCGAAAAGCACACGTGCCGGATGGGAAAACACCATGCCAGTGAAGTTCGAGGAAGCGTCAAAGTTGCGCCCAAAAATTCCTTAACGTCACTTCTGAGACCTAGAAAAAATCATGCTTATAATATGCTGGCTTTCCTAGATTTTAAAGAGGTTGTGCTCACAAAACCTCTATGAGTAGCCCGAATCGAAAAGCACACCTGCTGGATGGGAAAGCTCAAAATTGCGCCCAAAAACTCCTTAACATCACTTCCGAAACCTAGAAAAAATGTGCTTTTCTGTTTGTTTTTTTCGTACACCTGAAACCTTAGAAACAGCAACAGAAACAGCTACATTCCGGCTGCTGCCGGTGGTAATGCATGGTAATGCTGCTGCTACTGCTGCTGCTGCAACTAGTTGCAGTTCTAGTTCTACTAGTAGTAGTAGTAGTAGTAGTAGTAGTAGTAGTAGTAGTAGTAGTAGTAGTAGTAAGTGTATGTGTATAAGTATAAGCATAAGTATAAGTATAAGTATAAGCATAAGTATAAGTATAAGTAGTAGTAGTAGTAGTAGTAGTAGTAGTAGTAGTAGTAGTAGTAGTAGTAGTAGTAGTAGTAGTAGTAGTAGTAGTAGGGTAGTAGTAGTAGTAGTAGTAGAAGTAGTAGTAGTAGTAGTAAGTGTATGTGTATGTGTATAAGTATAAGCATAAGTATAAGTATAAGTATAAGCATAAGTATAAGTATAAGTAGTAGTAGTAGTAGTAGCAGTAGTAGTAGTAGAAATAATAGTAGTAGTAGTAGTAGTGGGAGGAGCAGTAGCAGCAGCAGCAGTAGTAGTAGTAGTAGCAGTAGTAGTAGTAGCAGTAGTAGTAGTAGAAGTAGTAGTAGCAGTAGCAGTAGCAGTAGCAGGAGCAGTAGCAATAGTAGTACCAGTACCAGCAGCAGTAACCGCAGCAGTAGCAGCAGCAGTATAGTAGTAGTACTGTCTTCTTCCCTGGCGCACTCCCCCTTGCTGTCGGCCGGAGTCCTCGGATTATACAATAATAATAGCAATAATGATAATGATAATAATATTAATATTAATAATAATAATATTATTAATAATAATAAATACATATTAATAATATATATATATATATGAGCAACCGTCAAAATTCGCGAAAAACTGAAGTAGTAGAGAGTGGACTTGGGATGCTCAAATTTGTGCTAAAACCTTCACAACCGATAGGGGACCACCCACTTACCGATACCCTATTTTTACACGTAGCATGGGACTACAAACCTTCACAACCGATAGGGGGCCACCCACTTTGGTCCACTGCGAGTAGTGAGTAATTTTGTTCGCCACTCATACATATAGGAAGAATCGGTTCGGTTCAGTTCCGTGCCCTGTTTGAAAACGGCTGAGAACAGCAATTCCCATGTTGCATTACAATTACTACAAAATGTTCACATTTTTTTGGGAAACCTCAGTGGGATTTTGCGGCTGTGGGCTCGCCGGGGACGGGCATTTTTGCATTCCATTTCTGAAGGGGTCACGTTTCCTGAAGGGACGTACGATGGTTTAGGCACTCTATGTTTCGATTTGCGTGTGATTCGTTTTTGTTTTGGAAGTGCATCTTCGTCTTCCATTTCGTGTTTCATGAGTGAACGAAGACAATATTATAATCATGACAATTTAGGCCCGCACTTTTAAAATAATGATTGTTCGTACAGCGGGACATCAGTCGTGGATAGCTGTTCCAAATTGGGCACTAGTTACCAAAAATTGCCGCATTGCAGCTCTCACTGAGGATCCTAGTCGTCGCAAACACTCTCATTTGGATGGCAGAGGCTCAATACGAGGGCGAAGCGTTTGGTCGTTCTGTTCCACAAGACGGACCACCGGATGCCGCAGCCCATATGGCTGCTCGCCATGTCCCTTGACAGATGCAACTTTTGTTTTGCGTTGGTGTGAGTTCACTAGAAGTGTGCAAAGCACATCTTGCACAGATGTGCTCACGGTTGTTTGTCGATGTGTTGCGGCACTCGCCTTTTTCTTGGGACACGGTCAGGTATTTGGAGTGCTTGATTTCCTCTTTGATTTCTTCTTTCTGATTGAGCTGGGCACCCAATTGGTTTCCACTGCTGATTATTTGTCTTTCGCCAAAGTTGAGATCTTTGGCATGATCTCTATGGCATTGCTCTCCTTAGTCGAGATGGGCCTGTTCCTTTGCCAGTGGTCTGGCCTACGCATTTCAGATGATGTTTTTCACTACGTCCATGCAGCCGCATGTTTCCGCAGCTTGCGCTGCCTGCGAACACTGGCGCATTTCAAAGGCCCACAGCTTCTACTGAAGGCGGCCGAACCTGTGACAGCCCTACTGTATTTTTTAATATTTTTATTATTTGCTGATTATATATATATATTGATTCTTTTTGTATAATGACATATAATTACTATTTGTGGTACGGCATTATGATTACTGAATGTTAATGATATGATATTTTGAAATATGTGTTAATGCATCTGGTCTTGTGAGACTGGGACGCTTGCTCCTGTGCAAGAGCTTGCAATTCTTTTTGCCCCGGCACTGAAGCTTCCAGAACCCGAGGGAGGTTTTGGGAATTATTGGGAATTCTCTCCCTCTCTCTTATCATCAAAGGAAGTTTTAGTTCGAAAACTTCCCAGTTACGGACGATTGTCGTGGGCAGCATTCTCACCAACATGTCCACCACATCATCATGTCAACCACATCATCATCATCGTCATCGTCGTCATCATCATCATCATCTTCTTCATCATCATCGTCATCATCATCATCAAGGTGAGTCATCAAGTAGTTTGGAAGTGTAACAGGACGGGAACGCGTGAATTCAGGTTTGACAAGACTCTCGGGCGCGAAACCCCATGCTTTTTATCGGGTAAAGTGGCTTCCGTGGTCGCCGAAGTAGGGGCTCTGTTTCCGCGGTTTCGGGCCTCGATCTGTAAAAGTTGCACACAAAACGCGCACAGGATTGTAGCGAGAGCTCAGTTTCACATACAATTACGATGGCCAACTGAGCTACAGAATGAGTGTAGTAGATTGAATTAAAGATATGGAAAATGTGAAACATGTGCTTTAAAAAGGCCTTTTTTCGAGATGTGAAACAAGTGTTTTAAACATGTAAACAAATGTGATTGAACGCAATTTTGAAAGCTTTTCCTTGTTCATGTTGTTTTGATTCATGTTTGCTTTTGATTGCTTTTGGACAATATTTTTCGAGAAAACATTTTGGACAGGAGGCACTGGTAATTTTGGTTTGTGGAGCAAGGTGCTTCTTGTTTTCTTGGTTTTGTGGACCAATCAGGTAAGCAGATGAGCGAAACAAAAACTATAACTTAATTCAGAGCTATCTGATGGGAGAAAGGGCTACCACATAAGAGGATCCAGAAGGTATAGCAAAATGGCAGAAAACGGTTTTCTTCATTTCATTTTTTCATTTCAAAGAGAGATGAACAAGCAGCTAGGATATTAAAAATCCTAAAGCAGATTGTTTTTCTGCAGTGGCAGTGTGAGCTACGCCTATGTAACTACAAAGGTTGGAACTTCAAAAAAGGTGGTTATGGGAATACATTTTTCACATTTTCAAATTACACGTTTCACAGTTTTCCAAACACATCTTCAAAATGCATTTTTCACATTGTTTCACTATTCATTTTCAAAACGCTTTTCTCTTTATCACATTTTTACATTTTTCGCAAAAAGCATATTGAAAATGCGTTTGGAAAAATGTGAAAAATGATGAAGCATGTGCAAACATGTGAAAAATGCATTTGGAAATCCTGTGCGGGAAGGCGCCGGGGCATTTTTTTGGTAGATTTGTTCGTTTTGGCGCAAGGGCAGCCCTTGCTGTTGACGACCTGTGCCACAAAAGGTTTGGGGACGACTGCCTGGGTGGCTTGTTTGGTGATGGAGTCGCGGATATATATGGATTGGTTTGAAAACAGACTACCACCAAAACTGCTTTTCAATGTGGACACATATAATCCCAATTCTTTTTATCCCATTTTTCCTTATTTCAATTAACCCATTTGGTTTGTGGGTGGTGTATCTGGAAACGGCCATCATAAACATAAAAGCCGCAAAAAAAAAACTGAGGGTCTCAAAGCACTTTGGAAGATGAGGCCGGCACAATGTGCACGAGACTGTAGCTAGAGTCGCTAGAGCTCGGTTTTAGATGAAAACGTAAAAGCGCACATGTTCGGAGCACTCTTGCAAGATGAGGTCGGCCAAATGTGCACGAGACTGTGGCGAGAGCTCGGTTTCGCATAAGAATTGTAAAAAAAAGTCACGTTCGGAGCACTTTTGTAAGATGAGGTCGGCAAATTTCATTCAGTCATTCGGAACATCCACTCCTTCATTCATTTCATTTCCATTTCGTTTCATTTTCTTCTTCGTTGTCATTTAATTTCATTGTCATTTCAGTTTAGTTCATGTCATGTCAATCTTTCATTTATTCTTTCATTCATTCCTTCGTTCGTTCGTTCATTCAATCATTTGTTCATTTCTTCATTCAATCAGTCATTCCTTCCTTCCTTCCTTCATGCATGCATGCATGCATGCATTCCATTCCTTCCCTTCCATTCGTTCCATTCATTCCATTCATTCCATTCCTTCCAATTCCTTCCATTCCTTCCATGCCTTCCATGCCTTCCATGCCTTCCATGCCTTCCATGCCTTCCATGCCTTCCATGCCTTCCATGCCTTCCATGCCTTCCATTCCTTCCATTCCCTCCATGCCTTCCATTCCTTCCTTTCCTTCCATTCCTTCCATTCCTTCATTCATTCATTCATTCATTCATCCATTCATTCATCCATCCAGTCATTCATTCATTCATGCGTTCATTCATTCATTCGTTCGTTCGTTCTTCATTCATTTCATTTCATTTCTTTTCATTTCATTTCATTTCATTCATTTCATTCATTTCATTCATTTCATTTCATTCATTCATTTCATTCATTTCATTCATTTCATTCATTTCATTCATCTCATTCATTTCATTCATTTCATTCCTTTCATTTCATTCCTTTCATTTCGTTCATTCATTTCATTCATTTCATTCATTTCATTCATTCATTTCATTCAGTCATTTCATTCATTTATTTCATTCATTTCCTTGATTTCATTCTTTCCTTTTATTCATTCCTTCCATCCATTCCTTTTATTCATTCCTTCCATCCATTCCTTTCATGCATTCCTTTCATTCATTCTTTTCATTCATTCCTTTCATTTCATTCCTTTCATTTCATTCCTTTCATTTCATTCCTTTCATTTCATTCCTTCATTTCATTCCTTCATTTCATTCATCCATGTCATTCATTTCATTCATTTCATTTATTCATTTCATTCATTCATTCATTCATTCATTCACTCTTTCATTTCATTTCTTTTCATTTCTTTTCATTTCTTTTCATTTCTTTTCATTTCATTTCATTTCATTTCATTCATTTCATTCATTTCATTCATTTCATTCATTTCATTCATTTCATTCATTTCATTCATTTCATTCATCTCATTCATTTCATTCATTTCATTCCTTTCATTTCATTCCTTTCATTTCATTCATTCATTTCATTCATTCCATTCATTTCATTCATTCATTTCATTCAGTCATTTCATTCATTTCATTTCATTCATTTCATTTCATTTCATTTCATTTCATTTCATTCATTCCTTTCATTCCTTTCATTCCTTTCATTCATTCCTTTCATTCATTCCTTTCATTCATTCCTTTCATTTCATTCCTTTCATGTCATTCATCCATTTCATTCCTTCATTTCATTTCATTCATTTCATTCATTTCATTCATTTCATTCATTTCACTCATTTCACTCATATCATTAATTTCATTGATTTCATTGTTTTCGTTCATTTCATTCATTCCTTTCATGCATTCATTTCATTCATTTATTTCATTCATTTCTTCCCTTTCATTCCTTTCATTCCTTTCATTCATTTCATTCATTTCATTCATTTCATTCATTTGATTCATTTCCATTTCATTCCATTTCATTTCATTCATTTCATTCATTTCATTCATTTTATTCATTCATTCATTTCATTCATTTCATTCATTTCATTCCATTTCATTGATTTCATTCATTTCATTCATTTCATTCATTTCATTCATTTCATTTCATTCAGTTCATTCATTTCATTCATTTCATTCATTTCATTCATTTCATTCATTTCATTCATTTCATTCATTTCATTCATTTCATTTCATTCATTCATTCATTCATTCATTTATTTCATTTCATTCATTTTATTGATTTCATTCATTTCATTATTTTTTTTTCATTCCATTCATTTCATTCATTCATTTCATTCATTCATTTCATTCATTCCTTTCATTCATTCCTTTCATTCATTCCATTCATTCCTTTCATTTATTCCTTTCATTCATTCCTTTCATTTCATTCCTTTCATTTCATTCCTTCATTTCATTCATTTTCATTTCATTCATCCATTTCATTCCTTCATTTCATTTCATTCATTTCATTCATTTCATTCATTTCATTCCATTTCGTTCCATTTCATTTCATTCATGTCATTCATGTCATTCATTTCAGTCATTTCAGTCATTTCATCCATTTCATCGATTACATTCATTTCATTCATTTCATTCATTTCATTCATTCCATTCATTTCATTCATTCCATTCATTTCATTCATTTCCTTTCATTCATTCCTTTCATTCATTTCATTCATTTCATTCATTCATTTCATTCATTCATTTCATTCATTCATTTCATTCATTCATTTCATTCATTCCTTCCATTCATTCCTTCCATTCATTCCTTCCATTCATTCATTCATTTCATTCCTTCCTTTCATTCCTTCCTTTCATTCCTTCCATTCCTTCCTTCCTTTCATTCCTTTCATTCCTTTCATTCCTTTCATTCCTTTCATTGCCTCCATTCCTTCCTTCCATTCCTTCCTTTCATTCCTTTCATTCCTTTCATTCCTTTCACTCCTTTCATCCCTTTCATGCCTTTCATTCCTTTCATTCCTTTCATTCCTTTCATTCCTTTCATTCCTTTCATTCCTTTCATTCCTTTCATCCCTTTCATTCCTTTCATTCCTTTCATTCCATTCATTCCTTTCATTCCTTTCATTCCTTTCATTCCTCTCATTCGTTTCATTCCTTTCATTCCTTTCATTCCTTTCATTCCTTTCGTTCCTTTCATTCCTTTCATTCATGTCATTCATTTTACTAATATCATTCATTTCATTCATTTCATTCCATTTCATTCCATTTCATTCCATTTCATTATATTTCATTCCATTTCATTCCATTGCATTCCATTCCATTCCATTCAATTCCATTCAATTCCATTCAATTCCATTCAATTCCATTCAATTCCATTCAATTCCATTCAATTCCATTCATGCCATTCATGCCTTTCATGCCAGTCATGCCTTTCATGCCAGGTATGCCTTTCCTGCCATTCCTGCCATTACTGCCATTCCTGCCATTCCTTCCATTCCTTCCATTCCTTCCATTCCTTCCATTCCTTCCATTCCTTGCATTCCTTCCATTCCTTCCATTCCTTCCATTCCTTCCATTCATTCCATTCATTCATTCATTCTTTCATTTATTCTCTCGTTCTTTCACTCTTTCATTCTTTCATTCTTTCAGTCTTTCAATCATTCAGTGATTCAGTCATTCAGTCAATTCAGTTCAGTTCAACTCATTTCAATTCAGTTCAATTCAGTTCAATTCAGCTCCGTTCAATTCAATCCAATTCAATTCAGTTCAATTCAATTCAATCTTTCATTTTTTTTTATTTCGTTCCACTTCTCTCCAACCCACCAACAATTCCTATAAGCAACCTGTTTCCTATAGTCTCGTCCTATTTTTGAAACTTCCGCCCCGCCGCGTGCCGGGGACTACCTGGTATGCATAGATAATGTATGTACATATGCCCATATACACATGTGCATTTGCATAGACATGTTTTTTGTGGCATGACGCTCGAACAACAGCCCAGCTCCGAAAGAACATTGTGCTAGTTTGTATGTTCCATCTTCCTGCGTTTTGTTTGTGATTGCTTTACTTTTCATATCATAACAGCACATTTTGGCCTTACCCAAGCACCGACAATCACCAGAATGTTGTGGCATCCCCGCCAACTTTCAGTAACGTAGCCACACACATGCCAGATGCTAGATTGTTTGCTCCGGCACCTGTCTCTTTAGTCTCAATTGGGTGTTCCTGGATGCTTGCCAAGCGGTAGCCAGGCTGTAAACAATAGAGTGTAATCAAACAGTGCTGACCACATTGCGCAGCAACATGCAATTGCATTGGCTGCATGATCAGTCGTGCCTGAAGCCAAGGCCTGCCAAAGTTTCTTGAATTCTTTGTTTTGGGCTATGATTTTTCTTAGTATCTTCATGACGTCAAGTGCCTTGGCTCTGGCCAACACTTTGTTCACCTACTATGGCAGCTCAGCAAGTTTCTCGGCCGTGGACACCAAAGGAGATGTTTTACATGTGTCACCAGAATGGGGCAAAAGTTGTTTGATCATGTTTAATGTAAATGGGATTGATTGCATTTTAAGGTGTGTAGCTGTGGAGCCAACCAGGTATTGATGACAGGATCTGGATTTGGCAGCGGTATGGTACTACTTTTAGGAGCCTGTACAGCTTGTTCGAACTCACTTTCAGTGGGTCGTGGCCTAGCCAAACGCGGCCGCTCATCGAGAAGGTTCATGCTGGTCTTGTACTTTTCTTTGTGATCTACATCACGACAGTGGCTTTCGGCATCATTCGAGTAATTACTGCTGCTGGGTGGTGGTTTCAGATTTTGCTCATGTTTGTTCATCCTGCTTAGGATTAGGATTCCCAGAGGGAAATATTCAAGCCGGTTTGAAAGCGTAATTATGCAGGCTGTGTTTCTCAGAGATACGCTGGACGCTGCTGCAAGTGATGCCGAAGAACAGGCGTGTTTCAATGTGTTGTTCGTTGTGCGGCCAATGTTTAGGCATGGACAAACAGTTTTTGATCCCCGGCGGAGATTCTTCATCGATGAAAGTATGCTCTTGGTTGGGGAACACACACACATATATGCATATATCATATATATATATACAATTTACATATCAATGCAAGTATCATAAAAGCTTTTGTGACATGGTATCCTTCGCCGGCATCATGATTCTGCCAGCTGGGCAAATTGCTATTTGGAGGGGTCTGGCTCCAAGCCCGGCAGGTGGCAGCTGAACTGAAGAAACGGAAGGAATATGCCGGAAAATTAGAAGAAATCTTCGCTGCCATCGATTCAGAAGGCAATGGTGTGCTGACTGCAGCTCGGCTTCAAACCATGACACCAAGTCATGGTTCCCCATCCATGCCTTATTCCAGATGGAACCAGCGGGTGTTTTAAAGGTGCCGCTTGCGATGACCAAGGAGGGCCAATTGATTGCAGCTTTGGAGTACCCGAAGATCAGAGCATATCTACAGACCTTGGAGCTTGACGTGTTTGACGTTTGGCTGAAA